TGGCCTTATACCGCGATTGTTCACGATCGCGAGCATAATATTACACAGACACATCCGATGCCCTCCGTCAACGAAAAGCAAATCGATTGTCGTTCGGCGAGAGAAACGCGGTGGCGATACTTTTAATGGATTTCGCGTAATGAAAAAAAAGAGCATTTCTGTACAATGAAAGCGTGAAGTTTTTTTTCTTATATGAAACAGTTTTATAGACTCAAGTAAAAAGTAGCGAAAAATCTCACACAACCCAATCCCACACGAATCAGGAACTGTAATTAAGGCTACTAGACGTCCCTGTATTGTAGTTGACTTTTTTTTAAACATTTTTCTAATAATAAAAAGCCATGCATATTCCCCCCGCCCCACACACACATACATTCACACTCTTTATTTGGTCATGAAGCAACTGCTCTATAGGACACTTAATTCACGTCACTACTGCTTCCGAGCACTTATTTTATAATTAGCATTTGAATACGTTGATTCGATAATAATTAACAAAATACTCTGGAAAGATATTAGATATGAATCTCGGGGACGACTATTGTAACCTTTCCAACAAACTATTATTGTGTAAGGAATCGCTGCTAAGGAATCCATATTCCATAGTAATGATATTCTTCTTCATTATTAGCCTCTCTATAGGTATTATCGTAGATATGTTTATAGTTTTTCCCTTCACTTTAAGATATTCTACACTACTAAGCCACCTTTTCCAAAGTATGCCTATTAACCTATTCCCTTCCGATTTCCGTAGCATCATCAATACCTTATAGCTTAATAGTCTCGTCGCAAGGGCGCCCGCAGGGGGGTGCTGGTGGGGGTAGGGGCCCCCAGTTACTTTAGTTGATATTAAATATTAATTGTTTTACTGATTAATGATTACTTGTAAGTTGTAAAAAAGTCTTATACTTTTGACTTTGCCCCCCCTCCCCGGTTTATATTTTTGCGGGCGCCCTTGTCTCATCTTCAACTTTTCTCAATGCTGCACGTCCCTGCCGCAAATATTAACAAAACGTACATAGCCTCTACATTACGTGTTGCTAAATATGTAATCTTATATATAGAATACTTAAGTTCTCATAGTGTTCAAGTGGGTTAACGCGTCGCTTCCCAACCAAAGGTTATCAAGTTCATATCTTAGTTTTATGTCCAGATTTATTGCATTTTTTCCCATGCTATCTACCCGACCTGGTTTTGCCAACAAATCTCGGGGTTTATTTTCGATTAAAAATCCAACATTAGCTCGCGCTCTAGTTCAATAATAAACCTAGCCGTATCAAATAATATATAATAAGCGACACATGTATGCCCACCCCTCTTTGAGGCATATTTTTATTAATGAAGACTTGACAAATAGCCCATTTTAAATTAGCCAATATTATGGCTTATTTTACACTTAGTGCTGAAGCCATGTACGTTTTAGTAATATGCGCCCCAGTCACTGTATTTTTTCCCCGGTTAATTTCTGCCTGAGCAGTCCACCATCGTCGAATCTTCTTCCAAACGTTGTTCTCAAAGGTCCTTGGTATTTTAATATTATTGTCCTGTATAACCTCAGTTTCTTCGAAAAGATTTATCATAAGATTAACTATTAATTTAATGGATGGAAAAACAAAGCGTATCTCGTTTACTCCATGAATACTCTCTCTCTCTCTCTCTCTCTCTCTCTCACACACACACACACACTTAGCGCAATTCACGCCTCTTTATTATGATCTCTTCGTGTCTGTGTAGTATAAGATCGCGATCCGACCGAGCGTCCGACTATAATACACTGCACCACACCGGTGTGGTGTAATTTTCTGGTATACGCGCGTTTCTGCGATGCACTCCTTCGCCATCAGCGGTCACGGTGTGTGTGTACGTGCGTATAACAGTCGTAGAGCGCCGGCCATTGATCGCCACCCGGTATATTACTGCAACGACAATATTATTATTAATAAACAATCGGATTCTGTACGCACTCGGCGGCAGCAGCACACGATGATGATAATGATAATAATAATAATATAATATAATAATAATTCCATTAATAACGACTGGCGACGACGACGACGACGATGGTCCTGCAGTCTATTTGGCCAAGGTCGTTGGCCTGCGGCGGCTGCGGCGGTGGTAATTGCGCAACGCCCCTCCCCGCCCCTCGTTTTCGGAAAAACGTACCGATATAGCGTCGGCGACGGGAATTTGACACGCACGGCCAAATCGAAAACGCGTTTACGGCGAAATCTTCTATAGCGGACAAGACGGCTACGCGTGCGACAATCCCGACGATTTCCGGGGCGGTATTATATAGTCGGCGGATTCGCCGAACCCGAGAGAAAGCGCTCGGCGACGACGGACATAATTATACTTTAGGTGTAAGGTATAGTCGGTCGGTCACATATTGGACGAGTCTTAGACAACGGCGATAGGTGTCCGTGGCAGTCTTAACGACGATAATATACATGGACGTGTTTTAAAGATTCTGTTTTAAACAATCTGGTTTCTAGTTTGGCGATCGAACCGTTCCGGCGATATTGTTTACAGCAATATTGTTTAATAACCGAAAACCCACAACCGGGTTACCAGAATCGGCAAACAACTAGAAACTACGATTACTGTCTTCGAGTTATCCGTTAGTAAAATAATTGCTGTACAGTAAACAAAACCTTTCGACGATATTGCATCCAAATAGCAAACAATGCAGCAAACTGTTTAGCGAAAATTGCATATCGTCAAAACACGCCTTAAACATATAGAGATCTACGCGCGAATGAATAAAGAAGTCGCGAGAAGTCAAGCGCATATCAAACGCGTGACTTGTAAATGGCCAAAGTTTTTTCGGGGCAGCTAATGCGAAGAAACGTGTAGTTGGCACAAAGGAATAACGACGGTTGTTGGGAATTGTGTAGACCGAATGTATGAGTAAATGACCTGCTCACTTGCACGTCGGTCGTCAAATGAATACGTATAGATAGAGGAATTTCAAAACCTTCAGTATAGAAATTGTACACGAATCTACATCGTCCGAACGTCTATATCAATGCATTGGGTATAGTAGGTATATTTCAAAATTTCCTTTTTTCCGCCTTTTGGTTTTTTTTTGTTTTTATCCCAGGCGTGTATTTCGTATCATGATGCATTCCTATTCCACCGCCATTGTCTATAAGGGTACGGGTCTCTGCGGATCTTTACGAATCCTCGGCGAATCCGGTTGACGGTCCGGTTACCAGGTTATAGGTTAAAACCCGGTCGGGTAACCGCGAGCGTTATATACCTATGGCGGCGTGTACCTATAATATATAATAAATACGAGTATACGATAACGTGACGTGATGCGGTTTCGCGAGTCTCGTGCGGAAAAAGATTTTTTTTTTTTATTTTAAACAGTCTCAATTTGATTAACGACGGGATAAACGAGCCGCGTGCGGTTCAAACGGAACCGGGTCCGACGCGGTCGTGATGTGACCTTCGTTCCCCTCTCCCTCCCCTATCCGTAAGACGGCTCGCGGTTCGCCACAATGTAAATGAAATCCTCTTTTTCGACAAAAACACAACATTTTCGTTTTACGATCGACGTGCAATATCCAAAATATCTACAAAATCGAGTGCGTTATAAAAAGATCCTTTAAAAAATGTTTATTGTCGTACACACAGAAAAACGATGACACTGTTGACAAAATAGACAAATCGTATCTAATAATAGTCGGTACAGTTATAGTCTATCAACAATGCAGAAAATAATAGCGTATACTAATAGTTTAAGAGGCAATTTCCTTTGAGATTTTTAGGGTCGCGGGTATCTATAAATATGACAAGTTTCTTTTTACTTATTATAAGTCGGTTGGTATTAAAATTAAATTCTACCAAAAAACTTACTTCGATTTTCACGTATAATATTTTTTCTGAAAGAAAATATTGTCTAGTCAGTGGTCATTTAGAGATCGTTTTTTGATTTTCCTTGTGGTTTTTATATAATAAAGAAATATCGAAAAATAACGGAACAGTTTACGGCATTTCACGGGGTTTCATTATTTTCGATTTTTTTTTTTTTTGTAATTCTGCTAAAAATAATATCAGAGACTTGAAACTTTCACAGAATACCTATTCACAGCATCATTTATTAGACGTGATAAAAATGTTCAAGAATTTTGGCCATTTTTGAACTATTTATAGCTATTTTACTTTTTTTCTTTTTTTTTTTTTTTTGAAATTATCAAACGATTCGTTTCTCGATAATAGGTTATTTCGAATTACCAATATTGTTAATAATTCAACACTTATTATCATAAGTGATCGTATAACATTCGGTTCGAAATATTACTTCAGTGTTGTATAGACGCGTGAGTGCCGGTTTTTTTTTTATTATTGCTCACCCCGGTGGAATGCGATTTTATGGGTTTGACCGGTTTGCGGTTTCGGTGGTAAAAAAAAAAAACAAAAACAACCAAATACATTATCAAACAGATGTTGAACGGTTCGTGGCCTGTTGCAATACACATAATAATAATTTAGGTAGTGTATAGGTACCTAATAATAATAATAATAATAATAATAATAATAATAATAATAATAATAAACGAATGTACAGGGTAATGCATTTATCATGCACCGACGATTTTCTCGGAGAATTATAGGAGCTAGGAGAACTAGGAGAAGTAAAATCCGCCGGTCTAAACTTAACTCGGTTGATATAACTCGTAAACATTAATTTGATAAAAATGTCCTCTATTCGTTTTGCGTTTAAAAGGACGAGAGGGGAAGGTTGCTATTTGAAAATCAAAAGCGTACACTCAATTAAAGTGTAATGACCGGGGGTAAAATTAGAAAATAGTCTTATTAAATAAAGTTTAAATTTCTCCACGTGTTAAAAATAAAAATAAAATAAAATCACTTAAAATTCATCAATAAAATTGCTGGTTCCGTGATAATAAGAAGATCACTGTGTGATCACTTTGTATTGTGTTGAGCGTGTGGTAAAATAAAAAAAATATGTTTTTACAGTTGTGCAGTTAACTGATTTCAATTGTTTTATTCAAACGGAATATTATTATTATTATTATTATTATGTAATATGGTATAAACGAGGCGAATTGTGAATGATTACCGATAAATGTCCGAAAATATGGCCAAATCATCGGTACTTGTATATTTTCGCGTTAAAAAAAAAAATGTAGTCCATTTCGCGGAATTTTGAATTTTTTTCTCGTCGGAAACAATGATTGAAAGGTTTCGTGCGATAACCGGACGACTTCACTTTTTGGCGTAATTCGCGGTTTGATTATTTCGGTTGTAGAGAAAATTATTCTCGCATATTATTTTATATGTACAACGAACAGACAAATCCGATTATCCGTATATGCAGTCGATTTTATTATGTGAACACGAAATTTACAAAACATTTTTAGATTCTGAGTGAAGTGACGGATGTTTAACTATATAATGTGTGATTTTGCTGCGTGTAAACCACTTTTCGATCTAGTTTGTTCGTTGAAGAAATTATTTATTTTTTTATTGAAATATTGGCAATTATTGGTATAATTTCTGTTGCTTTCTCTCCCTGTCAACCTTGGCAACAGATAAAAAAACAAAACTGCTCAGAATCGTTTTTCGTCAGAAACGGTTTATTCTCGCATCGAATCACTCTAAAACAGTGGCGTAGGTAACATTAGCTTTTTTTTGTTTTCATTAATCGTCGTATTGACGTATTGCTGGTAATATTGTATAAAATTCAATGAACTCCTCTGGATTTCGAGTAACCCGCGGATATCGATCGGATATTACCGTCGTAATCTCCGTAACAAAATAACAAAGATCCGAATTCCCGCTGCGGACGTATTCCGCGAGTCATCGCCGCCGACGCTCTTAATGGTTTTCGCGGTCCTAGCCGACCTTTTCTTGTTATTTCTCGCCCTCCCCTTCCCCCCTAGGTATTTACACCCATTCGGACGTCTTTTTTTTCACATTTTATCGTGACGAGGCGTTTTCGGCTCTCGGATCCCTGCGCGAACGACCGCGAGCGTGCCATCGCGCGTGTGCGCGTATCTGCTATGTACCCGTACGTTTTATATACCGGATCGCCACCGAGGTCGTCTCCGAAAAATATAAGAACGTAACAATATTAATAATAATAATATGTCGACCACCTTGACCGGACGGGGATCGTGCGCGGCTTGTACGTCGTCGTCGTCGTCGTCGACGGTAATAACCGCTCACAACGCACGTGGTATCTGTATCTCGCGCGGTATAAACCGCGTTATTTATCGCGCGTCGAAAGTCCGGCACGCGGCCTTAAACAACGATCGTAATGTTAATAATAATAACGATAATGATACCTATTACGCCCGTATAGTACGCGATAATATTTTTTATACAGGGTGGCCCGGTAGTCGGATCCCGAGACCGCGCGATTAGCAGTAAGGTTTTTTCGATTACGCTCGTTGGCTATTGACAACGAAATCCGGACCATATCCCGGGGCAAAGGACGCTCGCGACCGCTACAATCGATAAACTTTTGTGATTAAAATATTACTGCAGCGACAGCGTTGCGCAATAATACCGAAGACGAAATTGTCGAAATTGGCGCGCGTGTACCTACCGTTTGCGGTTCACTTTCGTTCGGGCCTGACGACTGGGCCGCGAGGGCGCGCCACGCTCGCCGGTGTTTATAACTTTAATCCGGTACGCAGCCGCCGCGCCGTGTACGGGCGAACGACACGCACGCGTACACGCGCGTTCGGTTGCGTTCCGCGTCCGTTTTCCAGGGGCCGACGAAAGAACCGACGATAATATTATTATTTTACTATGATACCCCAATACCGTATTGTTGAAAATTAATGAACGGAATTAGATTGGCGATTGCCGAACAATTTTTCCACCGTCTTTCAATGAGCGGATCGAAATTCCTCTCGATTAAAAAAAAAAAAAAAAACAATTCCGGATGAAAACGCCGAATCTCGATTGCTGAAGCACACCATAATTATTAACGCCATTCGATCGTCATGAAACGTTTCCGTTTTCGTTTGCGTTATGATTTTACAAAAAAAAAAAAAAAAACGAAAACAAAACCGTGAATCCGCGACTCGCCGGGTTTCACTTGAATAATGTAAAAGACAGGAATCGCCTCGGTTTCTAGTCGTGCGAGAACCTTTGAACGTTTATCTTTCAACGTCGCCGTCCGTTCAATTTATGGAAATATTTCGTGTCATTCTCGTGTAAATTGAACAAATCTGTTAATAGTAGCTGCCCAATTGATATTGCCTATACGCGACTCCTTAAAAAAACGGCGGGCTAACCAATAATTTGCCGGTCGTGTTGTTTAGAAGACGTGCAAATCCGCGACAAGGCGGAGGAACGTTGGGTTATAAAAAATATTATTATCATCGATTTTGTTTTGTCCCGGAGCTCCCCGCAAACACTATCGATATTATATTATGCAAATAAAATCGAATAAGTGAAATATAATATTATGCGAAGGCACCAGTCACGATACGAAACGCACAAATTTCCCGCACGCAATTCGATTGCCGTGCGTTTCAGTAATGAAATATTATGGTTTTTTTTATTTATTATTATTATTACTATTTTCCTGATTCGTTAGCGATTTATTGCTAAACGATTTCGGAGCAGTGGCAGTCAATGCAGTCGTTACAGCGTAGATATAGTAAAGTTGCATAACCGCTTTTCGACCGACTAATTACATTATACGTAGGTATTCGTTATTTGGGACAGGAGGTGAAAACAAAAAAAAAAAACCGTACTTACCGAAAACGCAACGCCATTGTCGTTTATGCACGGTTCGTATAAGCGTTAAAAAAAAAAAAAAAAAAAAAAAAAAAACACTAATTATTTTATTGTCCAATAAGCGAAATAATTAAAAACATTTACGAATACCGGACGTTGTCGCCGCGCCCCGTTTATAGGAAAAATTACAATACGAAATTCGATTTCGCGTCGAACAAAATTCACGAAAAACTCGCTCGTGTAAACGATCGCGTCCGGCACTTGAAAAATAATTCTAAAGACGTCCGGACGGTTCGTCTTGAAATTTAAACAACAAGAAGAATAAACGCCGACAACAAGTGACAAGGTGGTATGGTTACGTCGTCGGCGGCATAATTGTTGTCGGCGTTTTTCTTTTTGTCTTATGGCTGCGATTCGGACCGTCGCTAAACACACGCCCCACTCCGCCGGTTCCGTACGTTTTCGAAAAACTCAACGGCCCCGTAGAAAAGCCCGAATCTTCCGAAACCCGTCGTCTGCACGCCGACGACTGCCGCGGCGGCCTGCCCGTACCGGTAACGGTCACGCACCGATTTTGAAACTTCAATACCAAACCACAGAAACCGTTATGTTGTGCAACGGCAACGCGGGGCACTAACGTTGAACGACGAAAACTCCGAGATTGCGGAGGGGGAGGGGGGGGGAGTATTTTATCAATCGCCCCGCTCCTCTTACCGCAGATACCCGCCACCGGCCCGCGGCGGCGCGCGAAGCGTGTCCGACCCGTGCGATTTTTATCGCGCGATATTCGATCGCGTCGTACACGTGAATATTAATCACCGTCGGCCGAAACGCCCGCACGCGGTTTGTTTCGTATTTTTCGGGCGGCTGACTACTGTAACGGTAGGTCTGGTAAATAGGTATCATTACACGTCACGGGTATTCCTTATGGTCATAGTATTTAATTTGGCGGGCACACCGCGCGTCGATTGGCCGGCATCTCGGCGCGCTCGTTAATCAATAATACTATCCGAAATGCGATTCGTCAAAACCGTACGCGCACCGTGACGCGCGTACGCGACGTCCTCCGCTCGGTGAACAGAGTATTTTTTTTCCCGCACAACATTATATTTTATTAGCGTGTAGTCCGGGTAGTTCGGCGGGTTTGAAAACAATACCAATACGCGCGTTTACGTTGGATTCGGTACCGTGGCTCGCGCGCTTCGACGTTCGCCGCGAGCGGTTATGATATTATCGCGCGCATGCGATGGATCTGTTTTCATCCGTGATAATATGCGGACGCGTATAGTGTGCTTTAAACGGGAACGATTATTGTTGTTTCGGTTATTTCCGCGCTCGCTGCGTACGAAACACATCCGGCGTTCGGTGTTTTTTCACGACTGTCGCCGTTTAATACGTAGTTGTATACGACGCGTAAAACTCGCCGTAAAACGTTAGAAACGCGTAAGGTCCACGCGAAACGGTGTTCGATGATTGATCCGGCAACGCCACACTCCTCCGCGATCGTACCGGCTGCTGCGGACCGTGCAACGTGTAATGATAATTGCCCGTACGGTCGTAACGTATCGTCGGTGCGATAGCCGATAAACGCTATGCGAGATCGAGCGTGCACAAAACGCCCGCACTGTTATCGCCGTCGAAATGTTCACAATGACCCGCGCCGCCGTTAAAACCCGCGAAGGTTCGCACTACGCCGGCGGCGGCGTGGCGAGGGCGAGGGTAGAGATGTTTTTACCCGTTCAAATGGCCACACTACGGCCGTTATTTATGTTGAAAATCGTCATATTTTTACCGTACGCGCGGACGCAGATGACGTTTGTGTTGTGCGCCCGTCTTCGCGCAATAAAGTCTATCAAAGAGTTAAACGCAAAAAAAAACAAAAAATCCCGGCCACGGCGCCGCGCCGCGCCGTCGTCGTGGGCAAAACGCACGCGCCGGCGTACGATGCGAGCCGCACTCGGAACACACAAACGCCAAACGGCGTAGTATTTCACACGAATTACGTTGTAAGTTTATTCGCGATTACGCGATTACAACGGTAAATTCTTCGGTAATCGTACGTCCGCCGATCGGCGCCGGCGGGGCGAGAAAAAAACAAACCCAATTGAAAAACGACACTGCGGTTTAATGTGTTGTTGACATTTTATGCGCGTCGACCGGAATAACGCGCGCGCGTGCAAAGTTTCCTCGGAACGCGTCCGGTTACTCGAATATTCGATGATTGGAATAAACAACGTCCGTCGAAATCATTACAATCGACGACGACAATGCCCCTTTTATTGGACGGGGTTCTCGGGGAACAACGTTTTCTGCCATTTTCAATTTCTACGTCGGTTCTGTACGCGGATTCAAGCCGCGTCGAACGGTACCACTGTATTTCACAGGGGTATGCGTCCGTATGGTTACGTTATCAAGACGTTCGGAAATGCGTTTGGTGATCATATTAGTGATACTGTACGAGCGGTATTTCGTGAGAAATATTCTTGTGTAATGACGGGGGAAAACCAAAGACTTACCGTCCGAACGCGATATCGTTTAGTCAAAATCACAAAGGGCAAACATCGTGTAAGTTAAACGCTATAATAAGGTCTTGAGCTAAAACCGTTGAAAATAAAAATAGTAATTCATTAGAATCAATACACAACACGTTGTAAACGAAATTATAATTAAATTAAAGTTCTAAAATTCAAAAAAAAAAATAATAATAAAACAAAATGTTACCAAGTTTTTCCCCTCAATAAAGTATTGTTGTTTTTGACTTGAAACTTTCGTTTTAACGTTTTAACACGAAAAGCGCAAAATTTTTGTTTTGTGTATTTGTATAAGACACGGGCAGGAACGGTTTTTTTTTTTTTTTTTTAATTCAAAAATAATAATATTTTTTCGTCGCCTTCCCCGAGCGATTTATTGATAAATCTATTGTTGTTTCTAGTGGGTCTGTGTCTAGGAATAGTTCGGGTATAGCGCGACAAAAATGTCCCCGTCGAATCCGCGTGTTTATTGTCAATGGCAAAGTTCGAGTATTGCACCGTACGATTACCCTGTATATACGGAAAATATTATTATTATTGTGTTCTCTCCGAAAACCGAAACGACACAAAAAGATCGCGGAACGCGGAAACCACTCTGGGAGCGTGTTGAAACTACGACAATGCAGCGACGACAATAAAAAAATAATAATAATAAACAAATTTAAAAAAAAAAAAAAAAAAAAAGCAATAATATTATATTATATTCGACATATTGTGCTTGATAATAGTCCGATATAATATAATGTGCCGCGCGGAATCGGTCTCGTGTCCGAAAAAAACGGTCGAGGCCGTGCGTACCGTCGAATCCGACGATCGTTCGCGCGGATATAATACCGCGTGGCTTCGGGGCACATACGCCACCCGTAGACCGTCGGATTGCGGCGCAACAACAAATATCATTCTCGCGGTCGGCTCATCGTCGTGTTCATTGCACGGTTGATTCGCGCGTACGCGCGGCTGTTGTCGACCCAAGGGCGCGATGTCCGTGCCCCCACCGTCGGCCGTGCGCCCGCGCTCGAAAACCGAACGCGATTTCGTCTCGAGACGCGGTTTTCGTCGCGAGCGCCCCGCGACCGCCGAAACGGACCGATACAACCGAAACGACTAGCGCACAACGGGTGCGCAAAGGCGAAATCGTCTGCGTACTACGACGTCACGCGGCGGTTTAAACTCCACCCTCCCGCTCGGCCGCCCCCGGGGTAATCGCTCGGGACCTTCCGCGGAACACCCGAGCCATTCGCCGCTCTTCCGAACCGCTCCCGGACGTTTCGCGCGCTCGAATTACACCGGGATAAACGGAACGGGGAATGTCACGCCGGGTCGCGTTTCCGTGATTAGACGCGAACTTTACGGCGACGACCGCAGCGCCGCGAGATCCCTATCGGTCGGTTGGGCGTATTATAATACACGTGCGCGCATACATATACGCGTATAAATAAGTACGTCAAGCGCGCGCGTATGGGTTAGGTCCCCGTCATTATTATTCCGAGTAAATCTCTGTATAAATAGGATACGAGCGCGCGCTGGGCGGCACGATAATAATATTATGGTAATAACGTTTCGGACCATTATAATATTATTATTATCGTACGAGTATTATTATTATGTACGTTTACGACGCGGGTAAAAAGAAAAAAACGGTTTTTTTTATTATTATTATTATCATTATTATTTTCGAACACGTATTATACTGCGGAGACACGGACGACTGTGATCGCGCCGGGCGTTGTGATGTGCGGCTCTCGCGTCGGACGACAACACTCGAGGCCGAGAAAAAAAATATAAATAAAAAGAAGCCGTGCCCAAAATCCGTACTGGTGGACAGCGGTGCGACAACCGAAAATATCCAAGAAATCCCGCTGAATAAACGTCCGTACCGTACTTTGTCGCGTGCGGTAATGCGTATCGCTTACAATATATATATATATATACAGGGTGATTTTGTATTATAGTTTTGATGCGGATCCGCCGATTTTCTCGGACTAGGATTTCAAGTATGTAAATTTAATTTTTATCGTGCTTTCAACCGTCGCTTATACGCGTGGAATCGTCGAAACTTTGTTTTAACACTATTTGTTTTTTTTTTTCCTGAAATATTTGTCTTTACTTTTTGAACCTAATTAGTAGGGGCGGGTGTTAAATCGCATAGACGATTATAACAACCGTTCTCTAATCGTCCGGTTTTAAATTTGAAATCGCGTTGTATTATAACTCGTGTCAATATGCGTATCGACATTTTTAAATAGACAATCTTTTTATCGAATCTGTGTTAAAGATGGGGGAGGTATGGGAGAGTTGGCCAATTGAAAATCAAAATATTCAATACCCATTTCAGGTACGTTCGCGTGGGGGGTGAACATTTGAATTCAGTGATTGAATAAAGCTTACACTACGATACCGCATAACGATTGAAAAACCCCGAAAATTATTTACACGAGAAATCTCCGTGCACATCGGTGGATCGTGATAAAATAAAAAAAAAGAAAAAGAAAAAGAAATCGCCTTGTATGTGTACGGCGACGGCGTACGTGTCGGGTTTGTCGATACAACCAACGAGATATACGTTTTATACGTAGAAATATATCTCTATAGACGTGTTTTACGTACCTATATATTATAATATTATAATTCCGTTTCGTGCTCTCCGTCGTCGTTTTATTTATGCTACTACTATAGGTACTCGTATATAATATGTTATAGTACGACCCTTATCAGCTGAACCGCTGACGACTGGACACGTTTTCCGCCGAAACGCTGACCCCCGGCCGGTTGGTGTACCGACCTTAAGGTCTTTGTTTTTTTGTCCATGCCTATATAAATAAACGGTACGATGACTAAGACCGGGAGAACCGGGCCGATAAAATATAATCCGTGAACATAATATAGACAAAACGGCCATATATTACTCGTATACTATTACCTACGGCTTGATGGTGAGGGACGTAGTCCTTTGTCCGAAATCACAGGGACAAACGAAATACGTGCGTGATCCGGTACACGAACTGGATTGTGTAGCACGTGTGTCGTGCATAGCTGCAGGTATAACTAGATTTCGATTATTATTGACATCCAACGCGCGTGTAAGCACGGATAAAGACATTTGCCTCGTGTATTATAATATAGGCAACCGATGTACCGGAGGTGTTTCTGGTGAGAGTGGTGAAATAAACGTCTCAATGATTTGATAAATGAAATACGTGAGATGGCCGAAATGGATTTGATGAGAAATTTTTAGTTCTAGAAAACCAATATAAAGTAACGAATTGAATGCGATTTGAAAACGATTCCGAGATTTACTAAAACAGATCAACGAACAGAATACTCTACGGTCGAAAAACAGATATTTGTAATCGTGAGATGAGAATGTGTAATATGAGTATATAAGAAATAGCTTAGGCGTTGCTTCGATAGCGGACGGAATACGAGAAAATTGACTGAGATGGGTTGGGCATGTCACAAGGACAGAAGAATAAAGAGCAGTAAGAATTTTGACGGAAAAAAATGTAGGAGGAAAGTGGAGGAGAGGAAGACCGAGAAAGATGTGGTTAGATACGATTGGGAATGATATGAGGACAGCGGGTGTATGCGAGAACAATGTGGGGGATCGGGCCGAATCGAAGTTTAAGACGAGGGTGGCTGACCCCAAATAATTGGGATGAATGCGACGATGGAGGAGAGGAATAAGATGATATTTATAATCATTTTCTAAGAATTTATATTGGATTGTTGACGAGATCGATGATGAAAACGATAATAATTTCCATCGGAATCACCGCGAGATGAATTTATTTGAACATACAGAATGAGACTGGTGCGATCATACGTTAATTTTCCAGAACAACCCACCAGATCGTTAGAAAACGTGTGGTTTCGCTTCGGGCTTTTGGCGCTCAGTACCACAGGACCACAGGACCAATCATCGTGACGCACTCCGAATAATAGGTACACCTATATTGATGAACATGCTTTCGTTATGTTATTATTATTCGGCTCAAAGGACACTAGGCGGGGAAAAACGTACACAAACAACAATACTTCGCGGCGGCGGCGGCGACGTTTGTTCGTATAACAAAATGAAAAAAAAAAAACCGACTATACGGTTAAAAACAAAAGACTCGACCGGGGCGATCATAATTCACCGATTACCATCGGCGTGCGTATAGATAGAGTCTTGTCTATATACAGAGGATAACAATCGTCGTCGGTACCTATCCGAGTCGTTCACAAACCGATTAATTCGATATATCGGAATTTGACCCGGACCTTGACAGGAGTCAACAGCTCGGCGGCGGCGGTTCAGCTGGTTCTCTCCGGACGCGTGGGTGGTACGGCGGTTTTCGTTTTTATAAATGATCCGACGGGCGTCGGCGGGACTCGATCGGCGTGTGTGTGCACAGAGTATTATTATTATTATTATTATTATTATTTATTTACTTACGTATTTGGCAGCGACGATACCAGAGTGACGGTAGTAACCGCGATGACGGCGTATAAGTATAAACATGATGAGAGTTCGTTTTCACGTCGCGTCGTGTCGTCGCCGAAACCCTGTATACACATTTTGTCGACCAAAAAAAATTGTCTGCAATAAAGTTTACGATTAAATCGAGATTTCCGGTGAAAAACGTATCAATAAAAAAAACGTACATCGTAATAAAACCAATACATTTGTCGCTTCGTTCAGAATCCAAAAAAACCGTATTGGTTATAGGTAATGTAAAACGACCCGTGTACTTTCGATAAATAAAGTTTTTTTTTGTTTTTTTTTTCTAGAATTCCCCTCAGAAATGTAGGAGCCTATTACGCCGCACCCTGCACGCATACTATAAATACCGTTTAGCCAGCGAAAACGTCAGCTATAAGTGTACATATTTTCGACCGTCGATTTTATGGCTGTGCAATACCATTGTAATTACCGTAGGCATAATATTATCGACGCGGAACGAACGGGAAATCGGAAATCCGACACGTTGCAATGCGTTATTTTTTAACGGACGTCAATAGCGATTCCATAGGATGCGCAGCGCCGCCGCGGCCGAATCGAAACCGTCGCGACGATAATATTTTGTTTACGACGGCAAAGTTTGTTGCGTACGTGCGGCGCGACACGAGCGGTACGGCCGCGACCGCGACGACGCCTCTACAATAACGCGCGGACAATTTAAAAACGAATACTATTACATGAATTATTAACATGATTATTCGTCGTCAACGCCGCAAACGTGTCGCGGCTAATGACTTCGGGGCCGGCATGCAGGCGACGCGTTCGTATTTAACACGCGCGCGTCACGTATTATTCGATATTATCGCGCGTATCACTGCTCACCGCGCGGCCAGTAGAGTGGCGGCCGTCGTCATACAGGTCCGCGGCGATAGTCCGCCGGAAACACTACGTTCGGTCGTCTAGAAGATTCGAAAACAAAATGAAAATTCGCCGGGTTCTCGCGATTAATCATGTCACCGGCGTCCGACGTGAGAGCATATGTATTCGTTCGCGGTGTATTGGCGATGAAGTTTGCCGGTTGTTCGCGATTGTAGTGGGCCGCGATATCGCCTGCAAAACATCGCGTCGTATCGTCGAACGTCCGGTATAGCGGCGATGCGGGAAAACTCGATATCATACCGAAAATAAAAAATCGTCGCGAGTTGAAATTCAGTGTTCGGCAGTGAAGTTTGACGGGGCGAAAGTCGATTGTAGCGCGAGATTTAAACTCTTGCACAGCTACACCACGCGAGTATAACGCTCGACAGGCGGAGTTGACTGAAATAACAAACTGCATAGGTATACTACACACGGGAAAACTGTTACATTTTCACGCTATCGTTACCTACGCACTCGGTACCTAATACGCGTTGACGGAAATGCCGTCGTCAAAGCCCCGCGGACGAACATTTCGCTTCGGTCGAAAACTTTCCCCGGCGGAAATCCATTTTTTTGATTTTTACGAGTATACATAACTGGTATTATGGAGACGGCTGTAGGTTATCGACCGGAATATTTGTGCCCGTCGACCTACGCGATAAGATCGTTACAAAACGGCGATAACATTATTTTTGTGTGTCCGAAAAACAGCCGGTTTCTCGACTAGGTTAGGTTATGTCGACTAGGTATAATTTACTAAATTTTATTGTGTACACAGCGTTTGTGACAAGGTGTGAGAAAATGATTTAAGTATAATTTTCAAGATACCGGCGAGTGATAAAACCGACCGTATTATCGCTCACTGTCCGAACGCGGCGCGGCCAGTCGAGTTTTTCGGATTCGGTCCGGCAGACCGCACTATCTACAAATCTTAAATAATCTCGCGGTTGCGACTAGCGTTCGGATTACAGTCGTTCGTAATTAAACAATATACGTTTGGGCAGAAAACCTTCAAGTGGTTTTTTCTATTCTGTGTATTTAAGAGTATTAAATCGCGGTATTAACGCCCCTCTAACTTAACCTAACCTAACAGTTGGTCCGGGCGGTCGAAGACCCTCGAAGACCGGACGGCGGACACGACGATACCGCCACCGTCGGTCGACAAATTAAACTCTGATAATCCTAAGATTAGTGTATTGCAGCTCTCCGTACATTATTGTTGTCGTAACTCGGTTCCCTTAGAACATTGTATTTTTACCCTATTCGAGTCATATATTCCGCCGTCGGTAGAAACACTCACAAAAATCATATCTACGTAGACCCCGTACTTGCAGACAGACCAACACCCGGTATTACAGGGTCTTTCAGGATTCAAAGACGTTTGGTAATCCGTACAGGTACGACGTCCGGTAGCGTCGTGAACTAGCTATACACGAAGCAGCTGCGGGCGTGCGGCACTTAATTGCATTATAGACGCGTAAACGAAAAATATAGAGCGCAGGTATATAGTACGCAGAAACTGTACGTCTGGTGTAGCCTTTATAAAGCTCCCGGATTCTTCGGCGTTCGGGTTTGGGCCTTTAAGAGGTTTTTCTTTTCGAAATTGTACTGAAACTGTACGTCGCTATCGGCGACACTCGCCCCGGCCCCATACAGGTGTCGATTCCGAAACGGAGCCGGAAAACCGGTGAAAAAACCGTCTCGGAACTCCCCGGACCGAACGTAGTACGGTATGCCGGTATTGTATTCCGTTCGCGAACGTGCGCACCGTTCCGGTTTATTATTATTACGTTTGCGCGCGGCCGCTCGTGCTGTGCAGCGCGCGATAAAAGCGGCGCGCGTGGTCGTGTATTTGCGCGCACAGCCGACACGCGTAATATTATTGTCGGCGTAGCACCGGCGCTGCACCGGGTGAAAGACCGCCTTTATACGTTACAATCGCGTCGCCGATTTTTTTTTTTTTTTTCCCCATCATTTCTCTCCCGCTCTCGATAATTCATTCGCGTCCCGGGTAGGCGGCCCGTCGTACGTTTTTCACCGGAGGGAGACGCGGCGGAGTGCTCTTTCGTAACAAGACCGGGCGGCCCGACCACGGCGACAGTTCTCGCCCGTAGGCCTGTTCTAATCACGGGTGATAATATAGCGCGGCGCGGCTACGGCGTCGGCAACCGCATACCGACTTTGCAACGCCGCGTGATTTATCGCGCGAAAAGCTGCCAAACTATTCGTACTCACCCGCGGCCGCCTGTGCAGGCTCGCCGCATAATATACAGGCGCGCTCGAACACGTACGCACATACTCACTCGTATACAGGACGGTTGCCGTTTTATCGCGAACCTACAGCGGCGATTGTGAACCCGATCTCGTTCCGTCGTCGTCGTCGTCGCGTAGTATTTTTTTTCTCGAAAATTGTCACCTATATTGCATTACCATACGGTTGCTCGGAAACGTTTTGTTTACCGACGGACAATCTACAGAGTGTAACGTAACAATAATAATCGTTCACCGGTTCCGGGTCGACGAAAAGCGCGCACAGTTTGTCGAACGGTATAATTCTGGGGCTCGGGTCGATAAGGGCCGACGTCACATTTCGGTGAAAATGAGTCGTGTGGCCAATCATATACAATTGCGTACGCTTTTTCCGGTGGTAAAAATGCGCTTTTCAATAACCGCGTTGTTGCGAGATTCGAGAAGACCGGTGTTGTTGGACAAATTACTGTTGCAACATCTAAATGGCCCGAAAATGTGTAGTGTTTTTGATTTCCCGAAACGTGGCCCTTTTCGACCCGAGCCCCGGAATCGCACCGGCAATAAACAACGTCGCCGAAACGCGATATTCCGACGTCCAATACCCGTACACAATAACGTTATACCGCGAGAAATGAATCGCCCTGTACGCACAGAGCCTGTGCCCGTATATTACAATAATAATAATATTATTATTATTATTATTATTATATAATATAGCGACAGAGTGTTCGTCCCACGAAAAGGCGAACCCGTCGCGTTTTTTACGTGCGTGTCCGCGGTCATAATTCACGCCTCCCCGGTCGCGTGTGTTTATTTTCACTTTTGTTCCGGACCGCGCCGGACCCGTTCCCCAAAATATACTTTCGATTCGGCGGCAACAATCTTTCGTGCGTTTCGGTATCTTCTCGAGACCTACACCGCAGCAGACCGACAGACCGGGGAGGAGGGGGGGGGAGGGGGGGACGGATCCGACGAAATCGCTTAAGTCGGATTCATACAACGTCCGATGTATGTCAGTTATTACACAATAAACACGGAGGGAAGGGGGGTAGGGGAGTTTGCTCTTGAACGTTGAATTTTTGTTTTTCGTTTTTCGCGTCGTGTTCCGACTCTCCGGCTATTCGACGCGGGCCTGCCCGCGGTGCGAATTTCACGTCCGACCGCGTCTTTCGGTTTTGTTTTTTTCTAAAGAGAGAGAGAGAGAGAGAGAAAACGCGCGGACTTTCGGAGTGCCCGGGACGTATGATAGTTAATCAACGATGGCGGCTGTGCCGTATCTGAATAAAATTAATAAAATATACCTATTTAAAACGGGGAGGAGGGAGAAACGTACCGCCCGGACATTTCGTATTATTTCCCATGATATGGTTAAATAATATATTATACACGCCGTCCGCCGCCACACCGTCACGTGACACGATGATTGATTTTGAAGAATATATGCTTTTTTTTTTTTGTTTCGCTTTTAACGTAAAAAAAAAAAAAAAGGAAAAAAAACCAAACACATATAATGTATTATAACGATTACGTGCCCGTAATATCATATTACACTCTTCACAATAAATAATAATATTACGCGTCCTCGGAAAAATATACGCATGCGCGTAGGCCTAAAACGCATTATCACAATAATATTATTGTCATGCGGGTGGCCGGTGGCAGACTTTCACGTCCGATTCGTTTTCACCCGAAGGTCGGTCGGCGACGTCGTTTCCGGCATGAAAACGCAGTGTGGTACCCGACAGTGGGGAACGTTTAAAATATTAAAACTAAAAAAAAAAAATCAAACAAACAAACGTAAACCGCACTTTATCATCACAGCCGTATAATAATAATTATATACTGAGTGACTTTCGCTACCGCGTAAACGTCAATATTTACCCGCAGTAAACCGAACTGCCGACAGAAGTCGCCGCCGCCGCCTCGAACTGCGCACTACGACTCAACGTACTCATTGTTGTACACAACAATTTTCATACAACGGTTTTTTTCCCCCTCCCACATTAAAATAATATTATGGTTATCTCGCCGCGGATTGTCCGTCTTAAACTATACGCTGCACATACGCCCTGCCGTCATTTAGAAAAAAAAAAAATCAAAAATTTGATCGGTGCGAATGAATTCTATTCGAGTGTTTAGGTACGTGATATACAGTCCCGTTTTGACGTCTCGTTGTAATAACATTTGATCACAACAAGTACAAATCATTGTGTACAGTCCCTAATAACCGATAGGGGGGCATGGCGGGTAATGAACCACGGGCCCAAGACGTCTAAACTGTGGGACTCAAAATTCCACTCGACACTTGGCCTGGGATAGAAATTGTTGATTGGGATCGATGTTTTTTTTTTCTGCTCATCTGCCTTTATACGAAGCCTTTGTAGGAATCGGAATCTATAAATCTTATGCTAATGGCCCACGTGATTCGGTTAATCTACAATGTTTCGCCACGTGCGTTAGAAGTTCTAGTCATAACGCCACCGATTATTAACGCCGTGTGTTATGACGTTCGCGGCCGTTCGGTACGTACACGCGTACCCGAACGAGACGTTCGGAAACGTTCTACAATAGATTCCGGACTCGCGCCGCCGCGTCGTAATAATATTATTATTGTTGTTGTTGTTGTTGTTGTTGTTGTGCACGCTGTCCGTCTGCGGCGCTGCCACGGATAAATACGATAAATATTATGTCGTTCCGTTTAGCCGCCGCCGCCGCCGCCGGTGTGGGGGCATATTATAATTGGACGCGACGACGACGTGCCGGTACATACGTATATACGCAGAGCATACGCGCCAGTTTAGCCATTCGACCTGGTACCGTGGCCGCTATAACAATACGCGACAATAATATATATATATATATATATATATATACATAGGCACTGTATCGAGTACACCGGCTATTTACCCGGACGCGTACTTACTTACCGGCCCGCCGGATTACCGGGAATTTCCCGGTGGGCCCTACTCGTGTGTAGGCCCTTGATCTATACGCGTTTTCCAACTTTTATTTTTCTGTATACCCGTTGTAACATCGCCGGTTTCTCGGGTAGGTGGTAGGCTGGTAGGTAGGCAGGTAGGCAGGTAGGTAGGTAGGTAAGTAGGTAGGCTGTACAGGCTGCTGTCGGTGCTCGGAGAATATTTATGATTTATGGTTTTAAACGAGTCGCCCGTTAGATAATTTCCCGGTACGAAAATCGAACTCACCGCTCGCCTGTACGAGGGCTAATCGCCGAGCGTCGAGACTGCGGGTAGTATTACGCGGAAACCGAGCGTTATTGAAGAACAGTATCGGGATCGGTATCGCTCGCTTTTTTTTATGCACGACGTTCACCGAGCGCGTCTGTTATTTTCATTGATTCTCGGCGATGTGATTTCACCGCTGAATCTCGTGTAAAACACGACTTGTCGGGTTTGGCGATTTTGTGACGGGTCCCGCAAAAGAAGAGCGACCCGACGGTCCGTCCACACACGTATACGACACCGTGCGCGCGCGTGCACAATCGCCGTCGCGTATTGAAAGTACGCGCGAGTCGGTCTTTTTACGGATTTCGCAAAACCGCGGCGACGGCAACACCGTGTCGTCGTCGCGACGAACGCCGAGGAAAATCGAATAACGACCCCGCGGCGCGCCTTTACCCGGTGGTAGACCGTAGAATGTACGGGCACGCCGCGTGAAAGTAGCCGTGAAGAGTTCGGTCGGTTGCGAGATTTCCGCCGACAGAGACGGCGGTCAGGGCCGAGGGCATTGCAGTAATAGCAATAATGTGTTTACGACGAGAAGAATCTAAACGGTGTAAACGCAGACGAATATTTCTTCCGCCGCGTCGCACACGTATATTAATACCCACGTCGTTTCACGCGCGTAATGTTGTAGAATATTGTCACCGCAAAGTCTCGCGTATGATATTTTTTGTTTGTATTTCTCGTCCGAGTAAACACGCGCGTCACTACGTAACTATCTAATAATAATATTTTTTTTTTTTTTCTACATAATCCGATACGCGCGACTATGCGACGCGCACATTATCATATGTGATTAATAACATTATAATACGCCGCGTGTGCGTACGAGCGAACTCGAGGAGGGCTCGGGGATTAATGTATACGCGTGTACTATACGTACGGAATAATAATAATAATATACCGGACGACGGTAAGGAAAGGGGAAGAGAACAGTGATGGAGTGGGGAGGGGGGTTGGGTTCCGGGCTCGAAATTCGATAAATCATGATACACCGGCGACGTTAGATACAGGTATACAATAATAATACTGTACACCCGACTCACCCCGTTTTTTTTTTTTTTTTTTCTTCCACTCTTCTGTTGAATTCTGTGCGCCGCCGCCGCCGATTATTATAATATAGTCACGCGGACACGTGGACAAGTCGTGGAAGAGACGCGCGCGCGCAGCAACAAGTCGATGTATTAATCATAGACGACATACTCGGACGACGACGACGACGACGATTTATAATGACTTTTCGGCGGTCCGAGTGCCGTCGGACCGGCGGGAAAAAAAAATAAATTCATAAAAAAAAGTATTAACGACGACCGCGCGTGTCAGCGAACGACGACGGACGATTATTACTGTCCGTTTTTAATTTTTTTTTTTTTTTTTTTTTTTCCCCCCCGATACCCAATACATTATAACAATATTTTGACATGTTTGTTTTAATTTTTCTTTTCTTTTTCGTCGGCCGTCTTTATATCATATCATTATCGCGGTATAGAGAGAACCGTCGCGGTTAGGTTCTATCCGTGCGCGGCTCCCGCATAATCGATATCGTATAAAACATTACAATAATATTTCATCGACGACATTTTATTATTATCCGTCATCGTCGATAACGTTTTCAACGGGCCAATCGTACGGATTTGTACGTGTAGTAGGTATACGGTTTTTTATTTCCCCGTTTCTCTCTTCTGGTCCGTTCACGTCGTTATGAAAAAAATAAATAAAATACACAACGACGCGCGTCTTCGTTTTCCCGTATAACCTACCCGCGAGACGCGAACGGTGCGGCCGCGGTCCGACAAAACCGACGGAGACGTTCGTTCGACGACAATTACAAACAATTACGACAATATATCTCGATAATAATTCGTCGCGAGACACTATCGTAAACGGTTTGAAACTGATGTTTCAGATTAAGGTCGTCGCCGCGGATTTTTATTTTCAAATTTTAAACGACCGCGACGAACGGAAGGCCGGTTGAATATTTCGCTGTGTTTTCCGTTCGGAATCGGCTTCATGGATAAAACGGTAAGACGGCGGCAAGATTTAATAATAAAAAAAAGGACGCGATATCACTATGACGTAGGTTGAAATTTAGTGATAGGGAAGGACTCAAGACCGGGGGAGGGGGGGGGAAATAGGGCGGTACCGAGAGACTTGATAATAACGAAGAAAAAAAAAACTTTTTTAAAGGCCTTTTCGTTTTTTTTTTTTATTATAATATATCAGCCCGTTTAGAAAAACAGAGACATTCGACTTGACGTTTCACGTTTTTGATTATTATTTTTACAGTCGTCTTCGAAAAAAAAAAAAAAAAAAAATCTAATTTATCGATTTCTGCATGTCGTTAGAAGACAATATCCAGCAATATATTATGTTTGTGTCGGTACTCGGTTTCAAAAACGAACCGGACGACTCCGGTATTGTCGATTAAAATCAGTTATAAATAGTGTTGTTATACTCTTTGGCGGTAATCCGATTTTATAATATATTTATCAAAAATTATTTTCGAAAACACCGATCACAATACGCGTATTGTATCGGTGGTGAAATTCGAAATTCACGATTTCTTAGATATTATTTTTGTTCTTCTCCGTTATTCACGATAAGAAAATAATAATAAACATTTCTTTTTTTTCTTTCTGTACCCAAGAATTTATTATAAGACCCCACACACCGTTAGGTGTTTCCGAAACCGGGTCGTTTTGAGTACCTACGTCGCCATATAGAATAGAATTAACTGCGGTGCTACAAAATCGAATCCCTGAACAATAATAATAATATAAAAGCAAACGGATTTTGAATAAAAACGATTTGCTTTTTTTTTTGCCCCTCGTGTTTGGGTATAGGTATAAACGCTTTATCAATAAAAATAACTCTCGTATTTCATTATAATAATATATATAAAATATATTATAACACATACCTCCAATCGACGAGATAACCAAACATATACGAGGTACATCAAAGGAAAACAACAATTGTGCACAGTCGATTTATTTTCTATTCTCTACGTGAACTTATTCGATTCTTGCATTTTATAAATATAATACGTGCCGGACTCTGTATATAATAATATTATATTATTATTTTTGAACGCGTTTACCTACAGAGTTTTATTATTAGGACCTTTTTCTATTTCTTTTTTTTTTTTCATTTTAATGGGATTTTAGATATACTTAATGTATACGTACGATTAATCAAAGGGACCGAATCGATTGCAGCGGCGGGGGTCCAGGATACTGCAGGACTGCGTAAGTGCCGTATATCGCGCGTATCTATTATTTACTCGGGCTGCACACAGTCGACTGCAACAGCAGGAGCCGCAAGAGAGGCACAAACGGAAATAAATCCGTAAGAATATCATATCGGGGCGAAAAAAAATGTAGGTATAGGTATACCTAATGTTTTGTGCAAAACGACCCACGTAAACACACGTTGCGTGCGCCAAAATTTTGTAAATTCATTGCGTATACACAGGCTACAGGCATGTCTAGGAGCGCGTAACGTTTTTGGGTACACGACCTTAGTGATGGAAAAAAAAAAATCTATAAAAAATACTGGTTTCGGTATATTTATACGCACCTGTATAGAATGGTATTGCATATATGTACGAATATAGTTTCTATCATCCGTGAATTTTCAATAATAACCGATTAAACATGAAGCAGTGTGTATAATCGTCGCGGTTTTACGATCGTCTGCTGCGGGTCGTAATAATAAGTATACTTACATACGATTTTTTTTTCCTATCCCTAAAAAATATAATATAAAAAACAATTTCCAAACGAACCGGTTTCACACACACATAAATTGAATCGATATACTTATAAACGATTACCGCGCGTCGGGATAATGTAGTATCGTTACTTTAGACGAGTCAATCTTATTGGAGCGCGGCGTCGGAAAACACGCGAAACAGTGATTATCGCTACGATACGAGGTTTGGCTATTAAATAACGAGACTGCACGCGCACAGGGCGTCCCAAAAAGGTTAGGAGAAAACCGAATATAGCACTGGTTAGCTGGAAGTGTCTATTATGCCAGTACAAAATTAAGTTTTTGTTGGTGCATTAGTATTTTTTCTGTAGCGTTTAGAAACGAACATGTTTTTTTCTCTTGCCGAAAACGATATGTGACGAAAAACATGAGCAACGGATAAACGTAAAATTATCTCGTTAAACTAAAAAAAAACTCCAACTGAGTGCTATAAGTTGTTAAAAGAGTGTTTTTGAGTGGCATAAATTATTTTCTGAAGGTCGACAATGCACCGGAATCCAATTCAGTCGTAATCCAAATTCAAAACCATGCTGATCGTTTTCTTATCTGATATCAACGGCATCGTGATGACTGAATGGGTTCCAGAGGGTCAAACTGTGAACCAACATTACTATTTGACAGTTTTGGCAACATTGCGCGAATGAGTTCGTAAGAAACGGTCGATATTGTAGATAAACAAGTCGTGGATCTTGCACCAGGATAAAGCGTGAAGCGTTTAATCCGCTTAAGGCACTCCAGTACTCGAACACCCGTCTTACTCACCCGACTTGGCATCCTGCGACTTTTACTTGTTTCCGAAGATAAAGTCTGCCTTAAAAGGAATCCGGTTTGAGTCGATGGAAGAGGTGAAACAAAAATCGGCGGAACTCCTGAATGGTCTTACGAAAACAGACTTCCAGCACTGCCTCGAGCAATGGAAGAAACGAATAAAACGGTGTGTGGCGAGGGAAGGGGAGTATATTGAAGGGGAGCATTTGAATGTAGAATAATTTTTATAATAAAACACTTTTTCGTAACCAGTCTCGTTATTTAATAGCCACACCTCGTATACACAAAAAAAAATACACATAAAAACGATGTTCCAATGTCGTAGAGTAACGATCGCCAAAGTGTGTACTTAGAGGGCTTAGAACCGATCGCGACAATCGCAAGGGTATTCTCCGCGAGTTGTCTAATATTCAGTGATAAAATCTGATTAATTAGGTTTGATGAGGACGTACAGGATAACATGAGGCGTAGACGACGACAGCGCGAATAGCTAACTGTCCTTTTAGCCAGCACAGAGGAGTAAAGGCTGAATAACGTGCAATTATACGCAAATCATTAAGGAATGACCTGCAATACATATTTACAATTATTTGAACGTAAAAGAGCAAATATTTTTAACGATTCGGACACACGAATAAAGATAAAAAGCCGGCAAGTCAACTGTATCGACTAATCAGAAAATGACCAAAAGGACGTAAGTAGCTTAGGAGAGGTGAATATGAAAAGAGGTGTCAGTGATGATGACCAAGACTCTAGAAGAATAATGAAAGAAGGAATTACAGGATTTTCGTTGTAGTTTGTAGGTAAACGTTTTCCGCGGAAAAGACTTTTCCGTCTATTGTTTGTACAGGTACTCGATTGACGAATGCGTATATGAACGGAAATTTTCGAGAAAAAAATTAGAATAACTTTTATACATACTGAATGATTTTCGTGGAATTTTCCCCGGGACCCTTGAACACTTCCGATGGCTTCCCTTATACCAACTATGAGCTCTATCTTGGGAATTAGATATGTTTTTACATGCAGGTAGATTAAGATGAAATGTTAAATTTGAACGGCATAAGTAAGCATCACGGATGCGTCTATTTGGAGATTTAATTTTCAACCATCGCTCATACCATTTACACTATTTTTTTTTTAAGTATTACTAAATAATATAGCTATGATATTTGGTTAATAATTATTTGTTTACAAAGAATATTTTTTTAACGAAAAATAGTTGAGAAAGAAGGGAATTCGGATTCGTATAGTGACGGGGCTACTCTGTTGCTAATCTTGGATGATTATTTATTTATTTTTACCCGGCGAAAAAAAAACTAAAACGCCCGGAAATTAATTTCACGATTAATCGTACTCTGTATATCCTCGCTGCCACCGTTGATTGCACTGTACACAGGACAGTTTTGTCTGACGTTCAAAATAATTATATTATTTGGACGGTTTTCAGGCGTGCGCATCACACACGCCAAACACGAAGTTCTTCGGTGTTTTTTTTTTCCAACCCCCCGCCGGTCTTTCTCACTCGGTAAAATCGGATAAACGACCCGACCAAATAGCCACGAGGAATTTTTATAGCTCGGAACGTTTATAATATTTTTATCATAACTATTATTCTTAGCTGTATCGTAGTACTGCGTCGAGTGCGTTACGGGCAGACGTTTTTACGGTAAAACAAAAAATAAAATATAGGTATATAACACAATATAATCAAAGGAACCCGCGATTAAGTGGTCTCGGGTGACAGACATCGTTTCTTTACACTATTTACGCATTAAAAACCTCTCCAGACGCGACCCATTATGAAAACCTAACCGAGATAATATTATCATTATTTTTATTATTATTATTATTATTACGAACGCGTTTACCAGTTTATGTAATAATAATAATATTTCAAAAGTATTAGGTGGTTTTGTTAATGTTTTTTTTTTTTTCACTTTTAAGAACGTCGTCGTTTCGACCGATAATGTGACTATAATATAATATTCCGCCGTCTGCAGAGCCGGGTGTAAGTATACTTGCAGTTTTCGTTTTCTCTGCAATACAAATAATAATATACAAAAAATGTAACGAATCTACAGCGAAATACTACGTTCCGGTGTGTTTACGAGTCCAGTATTTTTTTGTATTTTTTTTTTTGCGATAACACGCATAATGTATTATATTATGTAAAACGTCATAATAATATTTTCGTGGCGTTTTTTCTTCTACTTTTTTTTTTTTTTATTCCAAGTCGGTTTTCGGCGTATACGTACGAAAAAATATAATATTACTATTGCGATTGTGGGAATTATTTTTTTTTCAAGGTCGTAAATATTATTATTATTGTGACCGCATCACGATTATTGTTATACATATATACACGCGATACTGCAGCTGATGTTGTTGATGTTATATATTGTTGTTTTTCCTCCGTTCGCGGTACGGGAGAGGAAAATATATGACTGTAAACGTTTTCTAAAAAACAAAAATAATATAATCGCCGTCGTCGTACGAGAGACGCGGCGGCGGCGGCGGTGGCGGTTTAAGACCAATTAAAAAACGTACGGAAAAACGAAAGAACGGAGGGGGGGGGGGAAACGAAACGATTTTCGGCGAGCGCACCTTCAATATTTTATGCTCCGGTCGAAACGCACGTATCACACGCGCGTTGCGATTGTATAGCTGGGTGATACGCGTACCGGGTGTACCGCAACAACCGCAGCAATACCACAACACGACGATTGTAAACCGATATATTTATGCGTTACACCCGATATATATATATTATTTTTATGTATTATATGTTCCGCGTGTAACGAGGGCACGCTGTATAGCGGAGGACCACGGACGGCTCCGGTTCGAGAGTGCGACGAGGAGCGGCCGGCCGGTCGTCAATCATCCGGGCCGCCGTGGAAGCACCTAACCGACTCGCGTGCCGTTCGCGTATATATAATACTATAATAATAATAATATTATGTGCCTCGCCCATCCATACCTATAATAATATTATATTTCTGCGAGTCATATTATGAAAATATTTCCACCTCCCCGGTAGGTATTTATTTTTATTTTTTTTTTTTCTTCCCCGCGTCGCCGTTGCGTTATTATTTTCGTCTCTGAACCGCGCGGAGCTGCACGGATACGCGTGCGGTGTGTACAGGGCGCGCGCGTATACGCTGTTCCGCATTCGATTTTACCGTCACGGTACAAACGCGTCCGTCGGGGCGGTCTTTAGTTTTGCGAATTTAAATATTCGACGACCATTACTACCAATTTCGTTCCGTCCGTATGAGAAAAATAACTGTAATAAAGTTTGAGCGCGATTAGTTCAGCCCCTTGCCGTGCCTCAAAGTCGGGCCATTTTAATTGCATAGGCATATTAATAAACGGACCGCGCTTTCCTCGCGTCTCGTCTATTGGCTTTCGCGAACGATATTGAATGAGAAGGACAGCGATAGTTATTGGGGCGACCGTGGACTTTTAAATTTTTGTTTCACCGTGAAATGTATTGTTATTATTTCTACTGTAACAGATTAAATTAAAGCGGTTCGCTGATAAACGATAATAATTTCATGGTGTAAATTAAAATATTCAATCGTTCTTTCCATGACTGCCCCTAATTAACGCTGTTTCTCTCACTCAATATGGGTTTCGCGTTTCCTTCTGTGAGCGCGGTCCGTTTATTAATATGTCTATGATTAATACAAGGACATTGCATTACGGGAACAGTGCGCATTATACTTATGTGTCGCGGTGTTGCGGCGAAATCAAAAGATGATGCGGACGGTGGGCGATCGGCTAAACTGCAAAGTCGGTAGTTTTTCGGAGCGGAGACGCGAGGACGCGCGGAACGGGCGAAGGAAGAAACGACGCGGACGGATATGATGCGGGGGAGATGCGGAGGCCGAGAAGAGAGGTATTATTTAATGACTTGTTCGGGATACACCGGACGAAAACAAAGAAGTAATTACGGGTATTCGATCGGTTACTGTATGTACGTGTACATCGTAAACGAAATGTGCGAAAATTACCGACCTAACCTAATTCCCGGCTATAGGGTATGTCGCGGGACATTATCGCCGAAAACCACCAAAAATAAAAAATAATGCCAACCTGCGTAACGAATACCTGTCGATCCGAAAAATCCGATAGACAATAATGTTCCGAGAGAATTACTGTGTTCGAAGTGTAAACCCGAAACATGTTCGATGAACAATCACGACTGGTTTAAATTGATAAGCCAGTGGAGGGGATAATGGAAAAACCGTGTCGGGTCGGTCACTGCGTGATTCTAAGCCTGTGTAACCGATCGGGTTTTTGTTGTCCGGTAGCATAGTAAAGTGTTCGGGTACATTATTGCGCGTAATATACGCGTTCGAATATTATTTGTCCTCTAGCCTACTACATACGCTTGGTGCCGGAGAAAAATAAGGGCTCGAGTCGACTATGACGTGTACAGTTTTCAATACGAACGGATTGAATTCCGAAAAACGTCTAATTTAGACCGACAATCAAAATTACACCGGACGAAATTTTTTGTTTTTTTTTTGAGAAAAAAAAAAAAAATGCCGAAAACCCGAAACGAGCCCTTCTCACCCCGGGGACCCAAAGGTTGTACACCAAACGTGATGCGGTCGCGTTGGCCTCGACTCGCCGCGAAAACTGGTTGTGCCGCGCGTGTTGTTACTATCGGTATTATCGTACGTACTGCGCTCGTGACGTTATGCCGCGGCTATTGAGTAACAATTTTCGCGGGCGTAATAACGGAGGAGATTGACGGCGGGCCGTATATTATTTTTCGACGAGTATCGCGCAGCGTACGCAACGGTCGTACCCGTACGCGATTTATCACGGGGCGTCACGGGTACGGTGGTTCGGACACGGCGTAGTACGAAAACGTTCCGCAGTTTGTAGTCGTCGGCGCTGGCGATATTGATTAACAGCCGCGAAACACCGTCGAAAGAGCGCACCACCTCCCGTATCTGCAATATTACAACGTATCCGCGATACAGGTATTTTACAACCGCGCGCGTATTTGCACGCGGCGCGTATAATTTATCACCCGAATGGGTTGCCGGCCGACGGTGCCGCGCAGCAATTCAAAACCGATTCATTTGAATAATAATACGTCGCCGTATATTATCGTAATACATTATATGTTAAAACGGTACCTATCCGTATAGTATTATTATTATACTCGCGTGTACCTACCCGTACTCGTACATACCTACTCGTCGTAATTTAATGTCCATTGCGATACGCTCGCCGAGCGCGTATAAATAATTATTCGCGGATATAATGATGGTTTGGTTTGGTTTTTTTTTTTTTTTTTTTTTAATTGACCTAAATATCGTGACGTATATTATTGTAACTAACGTGTTATTCGCCCGCGTGTGTTAGATAACATAATATATACGCGTGTATCGGCGTAAAGTGTCGAATACGCGTTTTCGACGACCCCGGTATAGGTTTTAGAAATAGAATTATTATTATTTTTTTTTTTTTTTTATCGAAAGCTGAAGCCGACGCGCGTGCCGCCGTTCTAAGACGGGGCTATACTGACAACATTGCATTATAGTGCAATGATGTCCGTACGCGACGGTAAACGGTTACAAGCAGAGTATGTGATATTATGATCAGTCGTTTTAGTTTTTCCGTTGTCGAAGTAACACAGATATCGACCAAATGTATGCGAAAACGATTGGTTTTTTGCCGTTTGTTAAGTAAACTGCAACGAACCTGCAAACGAGTTCCTATACAGTTTTCAAGTCAATACGGTTGAACCAATCGCTTCGCTCGGAATCTGAAATAAACGGTTTAACGATTGTTCGAGCAAGTTGTCGATAGTATAAACCGCTGTTGGATATTGGTATAGACGCAGGACGTTGGCCTATAAAAAAAAAAACGAGCCGATAGTAGCAGAGGGCAATACTTTGTTACGGAAAAAGACGACGTATTTAAAAGCGTTTAAAACGGTGCGACGGAGCGAGAGAGAATCTCAAGACTAACAAAAAGATAACGACGCGTTGTTAAGCGGGAAAACGTACTGCGCAGTTAGTGTAGGTCCAATCGTAGAAAAAAAAAACATTACGCTCGGCTTATTGGCTATCTCATTTTTTTAACGCGATGTCGGCACAAACGTGTGACCCTAGAAGGAAGGGGAACGCGAGGTCCGTGTATGACGTGATAATAATATTCGTCTGTGGTACGGGAAAAATTGTTGAGCGCCTTATAATAGTAAAATCGTAGGTACTGTTTCGTAAAATACTATTACAATGAGTAATCGACCGGCGACGGTGATTCAGGCGATATTGTTATATATTTTTTTTTCTTTTTTAATAGAGTGTTAATAACTATAATATTTTTGTTTACGCGCGCCGCGTATAGAATTTAAATGTTTATCTTGTTTACGAGGACTGCCGCGGTACGCGGAAAAAAAACCTAAGGAATAAAAAAAAATCATTAGATTATTCATTTTTTTTTTCGGTTTTATTGAAATATAATAGCGTGTAACATTATAGGTATCGATAAGACGTAAAACTATTATACGACTGATAAGACAATTATATAACCGTGATCTGCGTGATATGAGATCAATTAAAATTGCGTATAATTAAAATTATTTCTATTAAAATTTTGGGTTTTTCGGGGGGTGGGAGGAGGGTTACTCGATTCGATTGTTACTACATGCGCGCCGGCTGAAACGAATATTCGATTTTTTACACCCACGCGCGTCGTTAACGCGGACAGAAACTACGGGACGACCGCTGCGTTCAATGTAAACCCGACCGAAACGCACGAATTCTCAATGAAAATCATAAAAAATAAAAGGGGGTGGGGAAAAAATAACAGACCGGCGCGGTCGTCCGTCGTCGTCGTCGGGAATTCCGACCGTATCGAAATGAGACCTCGCGTTTTGTCACCGCGCGTACGATAATTCACCGGGCGTCTATTGTAAAACGACCGCGACAAAGTCGGGAAACTCGGAGTACCCGTCGGCCGTCGGTTTCGATAACGCACGCGTGCGCGCGCGCCAAAAAGGATTTCGGGCGGCGTAGTACGGCCGCAGGGCGCGTACCGCGGTCTCGGCCGCACCGCTCTGCGGGTACCTATACCGCGGGCGCGTACCTGGCCGTACCCACTACCCATTAACGATTGGCGTCCCGACGACGGGCGGACGTCTGAAAACGTCCGTGGCACCGCGGCTGAGAGACCCCGTCACGCGCGCTATTCATCGTCCGCCTCCGCCGCCGCCGTTCTTTTATCCGTTCCGGGCATCGTCCCGTCCCGGGCGTTCGCACAATACGGTCCGGCGAGGATTCGTGGCGACGACGACGGCAATAATAAGGCGCGGGTCCTCCGGCGTCGCTGGGCGGCGGCGGCGGCGGCAACCACAGTCTCGTATCATTGTTGTGTCGCCCCGCCTCGCGCCGACCTCGTTAAAATGGTTCACGTTTTTACGGCGAAAACCGCGTGGTCCGTGGTTGTACGCCCGCGTTACTATTACACAACAATATCGTACACGCTGTTGTATAACAATAATATTGTATACGAAACCGATGTAGCGATTCGCGCCCGTTTACCCGAGATCGTTCGGCTAGTGTGATAATAAATAACTCTCGGTTTTGCGTGTTACCTACGCGTGCTAAAAGGGTTTTCGACGACGGGTATGACAAACGTTTTACCCTTTACCCGCACGCTGGCAACGGCGTTACCGTATTGGTGTACGATATTATTATTGTTACAATATCTCGACGGGGTATCGCAATTCTCGCGGGTGACTGAACCGAATCCATACCGGGCAAGCGTTTAACGATCAAAGAATCGACGAAATTCGTTTATAGCGGCCGTTTTCTATGGGAAATTGTTGACCGCGCGGGACGTTGTGCGTCCTCCGGTGTATAATTCGCGTTGCGGAACGTGCGGTCAGCGGTAATAAAAAAAAAAAAAAATCGCAAATCGTTCGTTCGTACGTCTACAACGCATTTACGTCTAAAAAAAACAGTGGGTAACAGTAGGTCAGTGGCGGTTTTAGTACATATTTTTGCATGAGGCGACAAAATATTAAATTTAACTGTATACTGAGTAATAACAGATATACTTTTTGTCGACCTAATTCGTGTTTTTCGTAATAACTAAAAAGTAATTTTGAGATAATACTATATTTTAATTAAAAAAAAAAAAGTGTAAATGGTTCAACAATTTTAGTTTTTTAAAATAATATCATCAAACACTGTTATATATTTTTAATTTTTAATTATAAAGATTTTTACTGTACCTATACTATAGGTACTCTCCTGTTAGCTGGACTGCATCTCACTGAAGGTTCGGTTTAGGTGTATGTCCTTTAGACACGCTGCACTTCGATCGACTTCCTTACACCCGTATCGAGTTTGGAGTGTTTCGACACGCGGGTCATAGGTATATGACGTCGTCGAGCGGACGCTTTGGCGGAACGATATTTTTTTTTTTTTTTTAATTTCATACGCTATTTTTAAGGTTTGCGTACAAATAACACTTGAAACGCAAGTATACGATAGACACAATCTTATGTCATTCGTTTGTCGATTAATAACGGGGAGTCGCGATGCATAAACAATCAATGAAATGCAGTCCTCGATAACAGGTAGGTACCTAAAACGCTGTCGTCGGTCAAAGGATCGCGCGACACGCGAGTATAGACAATGAACTGCAGTCGTAACGATCGTCGTGTAACAGTCGGACGCGTCCGACGAATCGGTTGACATTGAAACGACGATTGCCAAACGCAAGCTTTACCGAACAGACGTATAATACACATAAACTAGATGTTTGTTTTAATTCGTTTGATTTGACGGTTTTTGAAAAAAACCTGGGACCAATAGGTAACAAATGATGTCCCACGCGCAATATATGACGTCGGGACTCGGATCTCGCGTACGGTGTTTTGCCGAGTGCGTTCGAAACCGCTTATATAAATGCGCAAACGATATTATAATTTATAACATATTATTATTATTATATTTCTATAGTAATGTATGCGTATATTATATCGATGCGCGGACGATTGCGATTTATTTACCGACGGCGAGCGGTAGTATGCGATAATCCGACGGCCATCAACAACTATACAACTACACTGCAGCCGGCAACCGGCGGTGTGGTATAATATAATGCGAATTATAACAAACACAGATGCGTATAATAACATTGCGTACCTACCTGCCTATCTGTATATAATAATATAATACGAGTATAATATACGAAATGCGACTGCCGCGATAATAAATACTCGTGTATTATTACCCCCGTGCTGCACTCTCGACCGCGTGCAAATTGCGCACATCGCGGCGAACAAAGCTCGTAAAAAAACCAGCTATACATAATAATATATTATACTCTCGTTATAGTCCTGTAGTCGCCGATTCGGTTCTAAAACGAAACGCCGTTTGTAGCTGTATTCCGCGACTGTACCGTCCGGGGGACTTGTTAAAATGTAATGAATTGTGCTCGAGTAGACCTACGGGTATCTACGACATTGTATATTATGTAAAACAAAATACTCATATCCGAATTAAATCGGTATTATCATACCGCAGTTTCCCGTAGAGTAAAATTATGCGCCGAGCATAGGACGCGTTACAACTGGGCCTCGGAGAAGCTATCGAAAAAAAAACAATTACGCTTGAAAAATAAAAAAAAATCGCCCGTGTTTTATTTTTGAAAATAGGAATATCTGTTATGGACGGAAGGCGTTGGAGTGGATCAGTCGACGGAAAAAACAATGAACATAGTATTGAAAACCGAGCCGTAGTTCTAACAACTATAAATCGATTTCGAAACTTTAACGCGCGCGTGCGTTTTCACACTGTAAGACATCGAATAAAATAATATACTATCGATTAAATTGTTCGGCATACGGCGTGCGTCTGAAAAAACTGCTAGTAAATGGATTTGTATGCATTTAAAATACACAATAAAACGCTTAAAACCGTCAAAAATCCCTTAAAAAATCGCATAAAAATTATTTAAAAGACAAAAATTGTGGAGTGCTTTTAAAAGCGCTTAAAAATGTTAAAATATTAACTAAATTATAATGCGAAAAATATTATAATTTCATTATACTGTCGTTCCCGACGGGCAAATAACATTCACGTTTCACCATGCGTATGTATATTAAATATGTAGGTATATTGTATACAGATAATTTATTCCGTCGATTTAGATATTTTTGTCAATGAGCCAAATAAATATTAAAATAAATTGCAACGTAAACACATTTTTCGATAATATTAAAAAAAATCGATAAGCGCGCGTCGATTACCGTTCCCGGGCCGTGTTCCGGTATACGCGGTACATAAAAGTGCGCTGTTACACCGGGTGTACATATTATATATAAACACAAATAAACCGATAACCGTCGTGCGTGTACCGGTCGTTCGAAAACGTTGGGCTTTGGTTTTTTAGACGTTATTTTTATCACCTCGGTCGATCGACGGGTGTCGGACAACGGCTATATTATTCTTCTGATGGGCGCGCGCGCGCGCGGGCGCGAGAGAGGGAATGACACGCGTCCGGAATGCAAATCACGCGCGCGTCTCGGCGTTTGGACGAGAGCCGCATCGTCAATAATAACATATAATAAAATTTAAAAAAATTTGATACAATACGACAGAACCTCTAGACGTACACGAAATATTCGCAGCGGACGACTATAATATAGTCGCATATTGCTCGCGGAATATTGATAATCCGTCGGCGTGGCATACCTGTACGCGAAAATTCGCTTATGATGTATGCATACACATAAATACACTCGCGAACGACAAACTGCGCAGGTGACGCGAAGTATACGCAAATCCGGTGGCCGCGGAATTGATAATATCAGAATGACAAATTAACATGACGGTTTCGGTGCGCAATGACGTAGTTTCCTCAGAGGCAAAAGAAAAAATAATAATAAGAATCGGTAAACATTTTTAAAACATCTCCCCCTCCCTCTAAAAAAATAAAATCTCAAACGAACGTCCGAAAAAAGTCACACTATTTTACTCGATCTTACCTTAACCCGAGCGGTTATTTTTTCGTATCCACATCGTCATCGCGATAATGTATTATCCGCTCATGTTCGTATTATTAAATTCAAACGTTTCTTTACGATTTTTACGGTCGGAGCCCCGTTAAATCCCATCTGCGCACGAATTAAGGTTAACGATTACAATAATAGGCGCGTTTTGGCGATTCGATTTTGAGTGACCGGTAGTTTAGCGAACAACAACTGTTTCGGCATTGTTTCCTGAGATATTATTGTTCGATAAATTCTCGGCAAACAAAGGTCAGAATCGGCAATAAGTAAATGAAAACTGCATTTACTGTTTCGGGTTGCTGGTGAAATACCGGTGTACGTTTTGAAGATAATATCGCAACTATGTGCCCGGCAAACAACAGCAAACTGTTTGCCGGAAACTACATCGCCAAAACACGCCTGTTACATCCGATATTTACTAAAACTAACAATATACAAATTGACCAATTTTTTCTGTTTTCGGACGTTGATTTTTAGTCTTTGCGGGCGTTATACGCGTTTTTTTACGGCGCTGTTGTATACGAGCAGTGCAGTATCTTTGAAATATTTTCTCAGTCGGCGACAGGAATCCGAGATATACTACATTACGCTTGTATACACAAACAAACGGTTTACCCCAAAAGAACGGCTACTATTAAAAACGTATCACGAAGTATAAGAGAGGTGTGCCGACGCACGGTGTAGTCGTGGGATACGGCCAGACGGTCGTTAAAAACTTATACGCCGGCGACCAATTAGGCGCACCGCGCCGCCGTCATTAGATTTCGGCCGGCGTGGCGTAGTGTTGTGCGTATACGGCGATACAGAAAATAAAAGTAAAACAAAATAAAAAAATAAACCGTAATAGTAAGTATACAGTTGTCGTGTTGGCGTCGTCGGTGACCGTGAACTCGACGTCTATCAAAGGGCATCGGCAACGGGTGTGGTGTTCCTCGGGCGCGCCTCGAGAATTCGGGTAGGAAATAATCGAGAATCGGACGTTGTTGGTTTCAGTAGACCGTCGTCGACCGGACAAAATATCGCACCCCGAACACGACGTAATAAATAATCGATTTCACGGCGAGGAAACGTGTTCGTGTATACAACGGGGAACGAATATCGGTTTACTATTCGTTTCGGACCAGTTCCAATAACGACATGGCACGGGTAAAACAAATATGGTTAGAATTTGAATTTCACACGACAACCATGTAATGTTATCGCGAACCGTTTATTGTAAGTGGCGAAGGAAATATGTTGAAAACCTCAGGGGACGGAAGGGGAAAATACGTATTTTCCGAATAGTTTTGTACTAAATGTATTTTGCCTTTAACTGGCGATAAAAGCAATTAAAATTAAAAAAGTCATGTTACAACATAGCCTAATAACCTTAAAATAATTTAGTAACCTAAGTAGCCTTTATACGAAATTCTTACAGTAGATCTAAGTGAAAAGTCTTATCGTTGCAATGTAAACAAATAACAAATTATTGTTAAAACGCCCACGACGACAGGAGACTGCCGGTGCCACCCTCGCCACCCGTCTAAACGCGTCACTGTCCCCGGATACTTCATCGCGATTGTTAATATTTCCAAAATCGAATAGAGCGAATTGTTTTGTACAGTAAACTTATAATTTCATGTACCGGTGTACGTGATGCCTTTATGTTTTTTTTTCAAACCTCATCGGATCGGCCGTGTAATAATAGTATAATAATAATAATAATAATACTGCCGGTAATAATATTTTCTCGTTCTCCCGAAAACCGGTTCGTATAATATTTTTAGGCGCACCGTGTCGATCGGGGATAGGTTTGGCCCGCAGAGCACGTTTTCGCTTATACGAACCGCGCACTCATCGCCGCGCGTCCCCGCAGTCATATGGGAACGGGGGGAAGGGGGCGAAGTAAAAAAAAAAAAAAAAAATCAACGCCTAAAAGTTAAACACAGTCATTATACGCGTAATACGTGTATAGTGTCGTAAGCCTACGTGTACCGAACATATATTATAATATTATGTCTATCCACTTTTGAGATTTCGAAAATAATACGTCTAGCCGCGGCGTGGTAGCGACGCGATTTATACGAGGCGCACGCGCGTGTGTACATAACTGCTAGACGAGTCTGGTGTGCGGTTTTTTTTTTTTTTTTACCAGACATATCGTCGTCGTTACCATATTATACGTCCGTATCTGTTTCCATATATTACCAATACGATATATTATGTGTACAGCGTTGAATCCGGAACGTTTTCCCGGGGTACGGGTGGGGGGGCACCATATACATTTTTTTTTCGGACATTTCTACGGGTAACATTTAACGGGTATCGTACGCGTTTTATACGAATACGTCCCCCCTGACAAATAGGCCTTTACTGGGTGAACGAAATTTGAGGGGAGAGGGCAAAAGTATACCCGAACTCAACACTGCCGACGCACAAGTTCGGCGGCCGTCGCGAGAAAACTGCGGTTTACGGCGGGCGGTTTTTGTCAACGTCCGTCGCGCGTCGCATTATAATGATAATAATATAGTGAAACGGCGGGCATTTCGCAAAAAAAAAAAACGCAATAAAAAACGAAACCCGAGAACAATATTATGAAAATACCGCGAATGCCCGTGTAACGCGAACGGTTCGCCGCGAGTCCTGTTCGACGACCCCGCGAATATTCTCAATAACCTTCTGTTTAGCATAATTATATTATCGGGTGTACGTATGTATAATATAAGAGCCGTACAAATAATATTATAATATCGTATTATTAACGGCGTCCGTTTAATATTATATTATATTCGAATGGAGCGTCTATCTCTCTCTCTCTCTCTCTCTCTCTCCGTGAAAAACGACGCCGACGACAACGTACGTTACGTACGCCATTTACATAAAACGGTTTTATTCGCCGTTCGGATAGTGTATATAGGTACGTTATATACGTATTACTATTATTATTATTATTACCGTACGGGACTGATCCCGCGGCGGAAACCGAGGTTATTGAGCCAGTTATCGGTTTTATTATACGGACAGAGCAGAGGTATATTATAAACGTATTATTATTGCTATTATTTTTTTTTTCGAATCGATCGTCGGCCTACTGCGGCAGGTATTCTCGAACCGCAGCTGACGACTACCTGTAACTCCGTAAAGGCCGGTGCCGTTCCTCCCCCCCATTTGCCCCCTTACTACCGTCTTTTACTCACCGGTTTACTACAATATACCAGTACTTCACTACAGCGGCGGCCGTTTTGTCGTCGACTGTAATAATAATAACAATAATAATATGCGTGTGTTGACCCATTATTATTTTCAGCTTACCACTCCCCCCCCCCCCAAACCGCCGCTATAGAATTCCGGACGATAATAAACAACGATATTCTTTTATACGCCCGAACCCGTATATACAATACGGGACCTCGGTTGTTTTTTTTTCACCTTTTCCGTCTGTCGGAAAACTGTTTTTTTTTTCTCTCGAAAACGACCTCCGCAAATTTATTATAAATTCCCGACTCGATTCTCGAGCCTACACCGTGTTTTAATCGTTGCCGACATTCGAATTTATTTCCTGCGTAACTGCGGGCGACGCGTTTTATGAAAATATATTACGAGTATTTCAAAAATCAGTCATGCGCGAGAGTTTTGCAACCGCGCCGCTGATTATAAACAGTTATCACATATTATTATTATTTTTATTATACGATTAATGCGAGACACACCTGTTGTAGCTGCTGGTCATTCATGGAATATTATTATTACCGATGGCGAAAGACGATTTCGGCGTGCTGGCGCGAGTACTACTACGTCAATTTTCAAGGGCAATCGGGCGTGTGTTACTATAATGTTTATAACGCGCGCGCCGGCCGCAATCGTTTATACGACAATAATTTACGTCGTATAATTCTTTACTTACGGAGAACGTGTACAAATTCGATCGTCCGGCCGCGTGTTTATCACAACGCGCAACCGAGGGCGGTTCGGTCTTAAACGAACGGTCAGTGTAAAAATACTTGATCCGTCTTAGCCGGGTTTTAGGTTCACTCTCAGGAATCTATCGGAACATTATCGGGTTGAACGATATTTGTTCTGTCGAGAGTTTTCTTTACTTACCGCCACCATCACCACCACCCCTCTTACGAACAAATCGAGACTAAATAATTATTATACGGTTATCGCTTCAAACATGTTCCATTGTTCTGTAAAGTCTTACGTCTCCGACCACATATAACCAACCCACCGATTTCGGTCGAGGTGTGGCGTCGGTCTTAAAAAAAAAACAGTCTTTACCGCTGGATGTATAGATGAGTTTTTTATTTTCCCGATCCGCTATACATCTATAAATCCGCGCGAGCTTTTCAACTATAGGCGGTACACTATGGCTGTTTTATATTTACACCCGGGACACTGCAGAAATCCTCGGAGCGGTATCGATTACAAAACGTTTGAACCGACAAGTATTATCGGCTAGTATGTTCTGTAAACTCCTGGGGCCAATTCTGTCGCGTTTTGAACTCGTATAGGGTCTGTAAATACGGCACCCGCTGCGGCTTATCGGGACGCACGGGTCGTCAAATATTATAATAATTGAATACCATACTCTCTTTCGTTCATTACGGACGCCTACGCAGCATCAGTACGGCTGCCGAGGCAATATATATATATAGTATAGGTATAGATATACACACGATATAGATACGCGATGAGATATTTTATTATGGCTGTGTATGCTCGGCGGTACTCTGCACATTCCGCCGATAGGTATAATAATAATAATTCGACATAGCAAGTAGCGGCCATAGTTCCACGGCGCGTATATATTTTTTACGTACACATAGAGGCGCGCCACCGTCGTTTTTTAATAATAATATGTATACGTATAGGCGATTGCCCCCCCGAGCCACGACGACGACGACGATCGACTTATCGACTCTAGTATATTAATAATAATAATACGACCCCGTCTCTTCTCCAGAATAATTAAAAAAAATAAATCCGATCTCCTCAAGGACGTGCGCGCGTTTTAGCGATTAAATATCCACGATATATTATCATACCTATACGATAATATACCGCTGTGGGCGCTGGACACGACGATAAGTTATTGACCCACTGTCGCGGATTATTCGCGAGACCGCAATGAAATGACGTGACGTGTGCGGCGGTTTGAATTATGTTTTCGTTTTCGATTTTTTTTATTTTTTTTTATTTTTTTTTTTTTGTACATTATATAGTCCGTAAAATCTGCACTGAGGCGTTCGATTTGCGCGCAGATTCGGCATACGAAACTTGTATCGCTTCTGGCCGCGAACACGTGATTTTTCTGCCACCGCGGCGGTTCTGCAAAAACATTGTAAGCGTATATTTATTTTTTTTTCCATCCCACTCGCTGCCCCGGCTAACGAGATCGTTTTTCTCGTTAATGACACCACGGCGTATTATATACGAAACTCCGGACGACCGATAAAGCGCGACCACCACCAATATTACGATTTATCATCATAAAATATACTCCTGCAGCGTACGGCCCCGAGGGACGCGATATTAAAACGTCTCCTACACAGAGCGGTGGCCAGCAGCCAGTCACATCATCCACTGCAGGTGTGGGTATGAATCACAGCCGGGATTATAGACATAGTAGCCGCGTTTAGGCGATCGGATATCGCGAACTGGACAAAGAGGTAATGAAACCGTATTACAAAATATCATGTAGAACCCGAGAAGTACAAAAGACCGGCCACTCGAAAGACTTTGTCAGCTGCAAGATCGTAATAGCGTGAATATAAAGATAGGACTTTGCGGACATTTCAGAATTCGAACAAACATAAAGGAATTCAGACTGGCGAAAGGTATATTATGTATAGACGAAACCTTCCCCTTAAACTCTTCGGTTTTCCCCCAGTTACGCCACCCCACACCATATTTTTCCCATGTATAAAACACAATGTTCTGTTACAAAATCTACTAATTCGATAATTTGTTCAGTTCTTTTTTTGTCGATACTAAAATAAATCTTATTGGGTACTGTTTGGAGTGCTAATTTTAAACTTGACGGTGTTTAAGACATCACTATCACTCCCCTAGTTGAGCGCCAATGCCGGAACACGGCAGTCTAAACAAAACCGTACTCTATCGGTCGTCCGATGGACTCTGCTGTGTCCCTCCGTTAGAAAACGTTCCGTTAAAATTCGATAAAATATTATGCTCTGACGCGCGTTTGCGTAATTTTCTCGGAGTTTGTGCATTGTGACTTTTATACAGGTACCTACGTCGTAACAATATTATTCGGGGGCCAAGTGCAAATAATATTTATTATTAATTCCTCCGTTTATACACGCGTTATTCGTGATGTATATAATGTGTTAGTATTATTATAATGTATACACGCATACGCACCAAAGGTATCGTAACTTATTGTTGTAAACAAAACGCCTCCGGTACATAATATTATATACATGCGAGTGTACGTATTTCATATACGAGACATAATCGGAATTTTTTATTATTATTATTTTTTATTTCGCCACGGTGCCCACTGACGTCGTATAATTGCGTGTCGCATCCACGCGCGCGTAAACCGTTTAAATCCGTTTCGTACGTACCGACTCGATCGTATTATACAGGTACAAGACGATTTCTCTCCCTCACCCTTCCCGTGTACAAGTTCGCCCAGTTTTCGAGTTGGAACAATGGATTTGTTCTGTTCTCGTACTCATCACACGCGTTCGATAATATTATAAACGAAGCCAATAGTATTTTCCGATTTCGTATAATTATACTGTTTCGGGAGTATCTATATCATGGCGGGAAAAGCTTACGCTTTTGTTTTTTGTTTCGTTTACGGATCTCGGTGCGTTCTATCTAAATATGACTTGGGGGAGAACCAGTAGCAGCAAACATTTTGAGGACGAGACTGGTTTTTTCTAAACATTACTTTTTTTTTAAAAATGTATTATATTTTTTTATGCATAAATAAATATAAATACTGACGAAGACGAAAAGGTCATGGGATATCATGGTTCATCATCAGCCTACATAGGCAACGTTCTGTTGAAACAGCTGTGTCCCTCTATTGGACGATTCCCGTTGCATTTCATGACGGTAGGAGGTACAATTCATATTATAACTACACAGATATCTTTGAAGTAAAACTGTCTGGGTCTACCTAATCTACCTCGAGGTCTATTGTCCGATATTTTCCCCTCCATTATGTCGTTCGAAAAATTGTCGCGTCTTGTTATAACGTCCGATCGGCTTTATTTTTCTTTCCGCGCTTTCGTCGACTCGTTCGTTTTTCCCCGCGTTCACATTTCCGCAGTCTTTTCGTCTGGCGCGCTGTCCTATCATTCACGCGGTAATTTCGGAAAGTCCGTTTTAAAAACCAACGGCGCGGCCAAATTGAACCGCCCCCGATCGCGCCGCTCGTTAAAACGGACACTATATGCACGGTAATACATTTGACCGAAGTGATGTACGTAACCCCGCCGACCCGCAGGAAACGCTTACCCACGCGCGTTATGAAAACAAATGAAAAAAATATTATATACGTTTTACGGCCCGTCGTTTGTTTACATATATACATATATATATATATATATAATATACGTAATAATATTATATGGATCGCGATCGAGCAATATATTATTATTACAAAATTTACGATTCGATAATAATTTTCTCGACCAACCGGACGACGACGACGCGGTCATACAGATATAATATACGCATATTATACACATTATAATATCTGATATCTATACATTTCGGGTCGACTGTATATACGAGGCGGAAAAAAATGCGTAATATAAGGCGGCACCGGTTTATATCATACACGTATGTGTATTATATATACGTACGAAAACGACCGATGGCAATCGCAGCCTCTCGTCGACTGACCACGTATATTATATTTTCATAAAAAAAAAAAAATAGACATATATATAATATACAGAGCCGCATATATAGAGGTGACAGTCGATAATTATAACTGCGAAATAAAACATATGATATAATACGAGTATAATATCATATTATAGTGTTCGTGTAACCCGATCGAAATAACAGCCCGGTGCGACCATATTGGTCGTATTCGTATAAGTATGAAACGGTAAACCAGAATCGGCCGACAATTTTAGTCGGAAACAACCCAAGATTTACGATGAAAAACATTCTGTTCGCGATCGAGCGGATAAATCGAATAGCCAATAGATCCGTAACGTCGCCGATAGAAAACAGTTTCGCCTCGTGTCTCTGTAAATGCTCAAATTGTCTTATACGAGTACATCGCATTTTATAGGGAAGAAAAAAATAACGCGAAACTCCGGCGTAAATATCGCGTAAAATGCGCAAAATCTAATTAGAAAAACAAACTGTACGCCATTGCATAGTTTTTTGCTATTATTATACATATTCTTTTGAGGTACTATAGGTATTATAGGTATTATATTGGGCGCCGATCTTCAACGTATTCAAAAAAATTTTAATTTCTAGTTTCTTAGGGAAAAAACAAAAATGAATAAACAATCTGTATTCGAGTGACATCCCGCGAACGTGTCGAACACAACGCTTCGGTGACGTTTGCCGGCCGTAGTTGTCGCACTTTATACTACTTGTCGTACATTATTATAATTGTTGTGTTATTGAGCGCAGTTTCTCGTCTTTTCCGCGGTCAGTGAGCAAAAAAACATGAAAAAACCAATTAACGGAAGAAAAAAAACCTTTCCGTATCTTATTGTGTATAAAATCTGTCGTTTAAGTAAACTCGCTTTAATAACCAGTGCGTGACAACGCCAGTGTCGTATTTTCGCATTGTTGTGATGGTAAGCGTATCATCCGAGGCCCGCAAACCCGACCGAATTACGTACCGGACCGTTCTACGAGTCCGTAATTAATAGTACGGGGTGCGCGCACTCTCGCGGCGCGAGAGAAGAAATCGCGGGTGATCGCATCGCCGCCGCCGCCGCCGCCCGGTAATCTGACGTGCTCTGGCTAATAACTGTACACGGTGGTTATAATAATATTATTATTACTACCCGCCCGCTTCCCCCCCCCGGATCCTTAAATATCGTCATCGTTATTACGACTTTTATAACATTATATTATTATACTTATTTTATAATATACGCGGTCGCGCAATTACACGGTTTGTTTTGCGCATTATAAACGCTCGTGTTGCGACGCGTACGCGACTGCATAGTTAAATACGGCGGAATCGCGATGGAAGTAGGAAAAAAAAATAGGCGAACCCGAGTATAGATATATAACGACAGCGGCTTTAGATATAAAAAAAAAAAAACAAAAAACAAAACTAGATTACACCGTCGACCGGTCTCCACTCGGCCCGGGGGGCTTCCTGTGCACGCGGACGGACGGAGCCCCTCCCCCCCCCGCGCGCGTTCGGTAATCGGTCAATAATTATTGTGCGAGTTGCGTAACACAAGTGTAATACCCACGAAAGACCGCGCGGCTGCATTATCGTTATCACGTTTATTATTGTTATCGGGTTTTTTTTATTTTTTTATATACGTGTAAACGTATGAAAACCGATTTTACAATCGGTTTAACCTGTCTGGGCCCTTTGATGACCGGGTCGACATAGGAAGGGGCATGATAATAAAATCAAACACCAAAAATTAGAACAAAATTATATGAACTATTTAATTATAAAAATTATATTTGAACTTTTGAAGTTCAGGTGGAGCCGATGCCCCATCTTTCCGACACTCCGGTCGCCCACGGTTCGAACCGACTTTGTGCCGTTAGTTTTGATACAAGTGGAGTGAATCGGCCTGTTACCGAACTTATAAAGGCGATAACCATTGTCTGCGTTTGTGCGTTTGCGCGTTTTTCGTTCGATATTTCCATTTTTAAGCGAGATGTAACGAATTTTAAATAATTGATAATATTTCGCACAGTCGGTGTAAACTATTAAAATATCGAGAACAAAAAACTAATGTTCGTCACAAAAATGTGTGTTAGTTCACGTATAACATCCATGTCAAATCGAGTTTGATAATAGGCCGAGGTTTACTCTGCGGTTAAAATAAATAGCGCGAAATCGGATCTGCCGAAGGGAAATTCGACGTTATCCGATTTATTCAACATTTTTGCGGATACGCGATAATAATAATATCGATATAATGTACATATGCGTTACGAAAATTTAGAAAAAAAAATAGTCGAGGCGTCAGAATTTTTACGACGCAGCCGCGACTCGGTGACGAGTGTTTGACCGGCGGATCCGATAGGTGGCGCTAGAGTCGAGGACGCGGCGGCGGCGCGCAACTAGGAAGCGGCTGGAGTGCGTCTGGACTGCGCCGCACCGCGCAGCCGGCCAGTTCAAGTTCGAGTGCCATCCGTCGCGATTTGTACGCGTCGCCCGTGTGTCGTCTGCGCGCGTCAAGTGTGCCGATTCGAATTGTTATTGTCGTGTTTTTATTTTTATTTATTTTTTTTTTTTACCCTCAATTTTCTATAATTATTTCGATACTCGATTGTGACCCGCGGTTGATGGACAATACCGATGATATTTTCGCCGCGCTATCAACATTGATACCTACCATTATTATGCCTTTGTCGTAACGAATTCGGTAAGTTTTTATTGTCTCGTGATAGTTCTAATGTTCCGATGAGAACATTTGTTTTAAAATTGTTTTTTGTGCGTTGCCCCGCAATTATTACCGTCGCCAACCCTCTTTATTAATAATAAATCACGAACGGATCGGTAATAAATCGGTTTTTTTTTTTTATTGTTTTTTCCAAACTCGTTCCCCGGGGGGGTTCTAGTATTCTCCGACCGATCCGCCCACCGATTTCGCAGGTTCCGAAAATCGTTTTTTCGCCGCATCGTCCACCGGTGCACGAAAACATGTAGGTACCTTAATAACTGACATTGTGGACCGACGTACACATTAGGCCGTTGTTCAATGTTTACCAGGGGATAAAACCGAATCACGTCGATTAGCAAATCGTAATATTCAAAACGGACTGCCGTTTTCGATTTCAAACGTGATGTCCGTACAATGGGCAGCTCTACATAATACCTAATTGCCCGGACGACTCTATTGAAAACGTTTAACAATCGAATCCGCGGACTACCCCGTCCCCACCCTCCAACCCTCGCCAATCGATTAAAATACACTCGTACATCGCAGGCTTAACGGTTTACCGGGATTATAAACCTAATTGCGGTCGTCTTTCCGCTTTTACTACCCATTTATACTCGTTCGAACCCCCTCGCGTTATATTATTGTTCACCTCTAATATAATGTGTACTGCTGCTCCTGTTGCTGCCGAATCGCGGTAGTTACCAATACGGATCCTTCGAGACGTATTTATATCGGCGTAATAAATATTTCCGATATCGGGTAGGTAGTTGTATAGGTAGGTAGGTAGGTAGGTAGGTATTATAAACACTAGTCGTCGGACCAATTACGAGAAAACGAAATGATTCATCGTCGTCGTCGCGACCGTGTGCAATTCGACATTCGTTCGTAGGTACACGCACAAGTAATATTATTGTACCGACTCGCGTTTGTTATGCATTAAACATTGTCCGAGACGATTTTTTTTTTCGCGTAGACCGTCTGCACAAGTGGGTAGATTTACAATCGTACGATTTTAAACGAACTCGTATAAATTGTCATCGTGTTAAATGAGGGGGTAACGATCAAATAAAAATAGCATATGTCTACTCGAGGGGGCTGCGCGCGACTTGCCGGAAACGCGATTTACTGGGTTAACTGTTCTGCATCGCAGAGCCGTCCGATTTTGATCGTTTTTATTGTTTCGTCGAAAAGACCGAAAAATCGTGTAGGGCTCTCGTCGGTCTACGAGGCGGTAGAGTTGTAACCCTGCGAAGCATTAAGAGTTTTTTTGTGGTTCGTGCGGTTGTATATAATGCAAAATCGAAGTACAATGCGCACCGCTGGAAGTTGTCCTCTTTCAAATAATTGTATCGAAATCGCATGACTCTGCGAGGAACGGAGTGTTAACATCTAGTATACCATGTTTTGAGCAAAAATAAAATTTGATTGCGTTCTTTTGTTAAGAATTGTTACGATTTTACGATTGTAAATGTTTAAAATTTGTAAGAAAAAAACAACGTGCAGGGCTATTAGTCATTTTTTTTTTTTTTTCAAAATTGGTTTTATACTTACTATTGGAACGTGCCGTTATTTCGAAGGTGTCTCGTCTACAATACATAACAGCAAATTGTAATATATTACGAATACACGGAGAGTAATAATTGGGAGTGTCGCTTCTACCCCAAACGCCGTGAAACACTTGTGTAATTTGGAAGACCCTGAATATTGCATATTATTATATATTTATACAATAAGAGACTCTGGGATTTTAACGGAACAATAACAACATGTGCTGGGTATTCGAAAAAAGGACGAAGGTCGGCGTGTTTTATTAAAATACGACGCAGGGACACAACGGTAATAGCGCAACATATCAAAGACTATACCTAGGTACTTGAAAAACACGAATTTGTTTTCTGTACATCGGAATAACGGTCGGGAAAATATACCGAGTTCTCGCTGTATGTATATGGGTAATTTACTGTGGGTAATCACTCCGAGGATATTTGATAATATTATTTATTTCGGTAATATATTGTAATTTGCTTATTATGCGCGTATACACTTAAGATTAAAGTAATAACACTTGTACATGTATGTAACCCGATCGCGCCGGTTATAAAAGACGATACCCGATAATAATAATTATACTGCATATACACGTATTATTGCGGGTATAGTTTACTTGCACAACCGCGCGACCGGCCCGGTATATTATAAAATGTGACATAGTGAACTATACGAAAAAAAAAATAATAATAATAATAAAAAAATTAGTCCGTTTCGTCGGCGCGCGGTCGGTCACAGCGATTCGAACATTTTATAACTTCCTGTTCGCGTAATGTAATCTATGTGATAATATTATTATACCGCCGAATACGCCTAAACGCGTGCTAAGATGCGTAGCCGCCGGCACGGGTAAAGAAGCCGTAAAGAAAAGGAAAAAACCGGTACACGACGAGTTGTAATATTTTGACGATCGAACGAAATTATATTCACTTATTACGTCACGTTTCCGACTCGTAACGTCACCGCGGCCGGTGTTCGGCAACTCGTTGCACTTTCCACCTGTGGCGGCGGCCGGAGAGACCGTTTTGTTTTTTTTTGCAGAACGACCCGAAGCGAAATTTTTAAAAAAAAAAGTAATAATAAAAACGATATTTTTCGTGGCGGCGGCGGCGGCGATGTTTCGTCATCCGCATACCTGCCGCCGAATCGAAATAAATCCGGGAAAATTCGAAAAAAAAAATCGTTTTACTACACAGTATGCATTCTACTGCTGCGGTACTGTACCACGCATACTTCGTCATGGTTTCGGTTAAAAACGATCCTCGACCTCGTCGTGCGCGTACAGCGCCAGGCGTCGGCGCGTTCCGATTAAAAAAAAAAAAAACAAAACAATAAACGACGAGATGATTCGCCGCCGCACAGTTATTTTAATAAAGCGCAACGTATATAACAATACGCGCGTTTTCCGCGGCTGTGATATTATTATTTTTTTTTTGTAGGTACAGCGAGGTGACCGCCGACCGGAAGGCGATGTGACCACTCTCGTTATAAATATACGGCCAGATCTCCTCATGCACGCGCGATGCGTTTTATGGTACCTGCGGATGCGCTCGCCGCTGCGCATAGGTATTTTCACTGTCTATAGCGAATTCGTCGACCTTGAAACGTCCGTCCGACCGACCGATTGATTGTCCGTGTGTTTACGTTGCTGTTGCACACGCGCGCGCGCCCGGTATACGGCAACCGATTTAATGTATAAAAAATAATAATAATAAAATAGACGGGTGTATCGGAAAAACGATCGACGTTCAAATGGAAACTCTTTAAAGAAAACGGTTTCGAAAAAAAAAATAAACACCCCGTCAAAAAGTGTTTAAAATGTTTTTTTTTTTTCACCAGCCCGCGGTAACAAATGTTCTATTTACAAACGGGTGCAGGCGAGACAATTCACTTCCGAAAATTATTTATTTTTTTTTCTTTCGCCTCACGGACGGGTGTCTTAACATACGCTATAATAATATTATAATGACTTATCGTTTGGGAGCATTGGTATTTTTTTTTTTTTTTAATTTTTCAGTCGGAATAGTTGTTTAAACGAGTTTTTTTCATAAGCGATATTATTACGTATAGGTACAGGATGTGTACCGCGCATAAAGACGTTCGGAAATACGCTAAATGAAATTTAAAATAAAAAAATGCCCACGTTCGTTTTGTTCCGCGCGCACATCACTGTTTTATACACATATATAATAATAATATATTATGTAGAATGAGATTTGTACGCGATATCGGGTGCGTCATCTGTTCGTAGAAAAACGCCGGTGCACACGCCGCGGCCATTCGGTGACGTCAATCACGACCGTTGAAGTCTCTTTCCGACCGGTTTTTCGATACTATTATTGTTATTAAGTATATATATTATAGTCTCCTACCTAACTGTATGACAATAATATTTACTATCGGAAAAACAAACTAAAAATTATTTACTTTTATACGCCTAAATAAAATACAACGGTATTATTGTATCCGACGACCGTCTACTGGCTACTACTCGTATATCGTAGTAACGTCGAATTATCGTAAATTTGAAACAAATAATAATAAATAGCTACTATATACACGGGACTTTATAAACAATAATGTGACGGTGTATATTTTTTCCTTATACGAATATTATATTAAAATATCCATCTAATCATTTTATATCGCAGACACCACACTATGCGCAGCAACTTTACATAGACGAGTGTACGAATAAATCTGCATAGCTCGGCGATCGTATAGATAGATAGAGTGCGAATTTGTTTCGATTAATCCTCGTCGTGAAATGTAATAATGAAATAAATCGAAATCGATCGCAAATTGTTTCCGTCTGTTATATTCAAATACCCCCCGATTCACGGCGTGACCAAATATTTCACGGGTTAATCGATATGACATTTTAATTCAATCTTATGGCTGTTGATTTCGTAGGCTATCTTTTATGATAACATACTATTACGGCTATCTTATAGAGTTGTTTTGCCGTTTAAGCTTTTTGTAGAAATTCGATAAAACGTGCACGTGCACTCGAAATTTACGTGGCCGCGGAACAAAAATATCGTTGGGACATTTTCTTCGCCACCTGCGACACGATTATTACATCGTATCCAACAATAATACTATTCGTCGATATGTAACGAAATCCGTAAATACGCAGCAGAAAAAAGATCACTCAGATCACGTTCGGCGAATATATGGAATTATATCGGAATTCTGTCGCGAATCTCGGGCAGAATCATTAATCATCGATCGGCACACGACGTTGACGTCTCGAAACGATTTATGCGTCGAAAATCGACAGATTCGCATAAACTATATGATATACGGGGTTCGCCAGTGAAATGTTATTTGGATTTCGACGAGAGTAACAATAATGCTGCCGCTATACGGCTATAGACCGCAAAAACGATAATACCCGTGTAAGTACTATACAATACACTGCCATGCGGTTATACGACCGTTTAAAATTATTGCCGCCGCTATACATAGGTACCCGGAGATATTATTTTGTATTAACGTTTTAAAACAAACTATTCGGTTTTCGTGAAACGCAAGTGCCTGTACCACGCCGGCGCAGCGCAGCAGTATCTCGGTTACGAGACGGCGGATGGGTGTTGGTCCGCCGCGGTATATTCACTCCTTTCGGTCGTCGCGAACCCCTTTTTCCCGTCGACGTTTTCCGGCCGAAACCTCCGCGCCGAGGAGAGGGGGAGGGAAGGGGAAGTTCCGGACGAACGGCGGCGGCGACGTCCGGGCCATCACTCGTAGAGCCGGCGGTAATAATACGAGTATATACGCGCGCGTAGTATTAGAACCGGACCCGCCCAGGCAAATTTTACGCTCCATTAACGGCGCGCGGCGGTAAACGACTACCTATACGACGATCGTCGTCATAATAATAATAATAATATGTAATAATATCTCGTGTGTGTGTGTGTGTGTGTGTGTGTGTGCGTGCGTGTGTGCGTGCGCGCGCGCGCGCGCGCTAGCGAGCGAGTTCGCCGGTGCGAGGAACATCATCATCGCGCATCATATCAACGACCTCGTTGACCGTATAGTCGTCGTCGTAAGTAATAATAATAATAACACGAGAGCGAATATTAGGCGTTATTATTATTATTATTATTATTATTATTATGTGAGAACTGAAATCGAAAACCTATTGCGCAACATAACATTTTATTATACGGACTGTGTGCTGCGCCGCCGCGGATAGACGGATAGAGACAGAGAGAGACAAAGAGAGAAGCTGTAATAAAATTATTAGAACATAATATACTCTGGGGAATAATTAACGCGAGCATGTTCGAAAATACGGCTCCGGGGTAAAAAAATGAACGAAAACGCGCGCCTGCACGGTGTAAGACGGGCGCGCTCTTCTTCCATTGTTCCGGCTCGACGCGGGGGAGTTTTTTTTCCATACGCTTCTTATTTCCACCAAAGGGTATTCTGTGAATCTCTCTCTCTCTCTCTGTGTCTATCTCTTTCTCTCTCTGTACACATATACGCGCGCGGTACATAAAAAACATAACGACAAAGAAAACGTACACGCACTAAATCCGTAATACACGCGGTACATCTTATATTTTTTAAAAAAAAGGGGCGGAGGAAGTGAACGAAAAAGTAAAAATGTTTGTACGTCGTCGTATACATCGTCGATTCGTAATGTACGTAAGTACGCGATAGCGTTCTCGTGTGAATCGTATTGTGATGATTGTACACGAGTATCATTGACGATATTTTGTAAAATCCCATCTTGTACAATACGTACGCGTTGGTTACATAATGATAATCGAAAAACGATCGCGAAAGAAATTTCGTTGATAACGTTTTTTTTTTTTCTGATACACATGTATAAACCTTATAATTATGCACACTTGCTCGTAGCGTATGTATGTGTACAAACGTTGGACCGGTCAAAGAAACGCCGCCATTATTTCGACATTATATATTATACGCGATAACTAGCGATAGAAGAAAAAAAAATACACCTATATATTTAATATTACGTTTCATCGATCCGCGAAATATATTATTATCAGGTAGGTAGGTAGGTAGGTAGGTAAATCGCCATTGCGCTCGAAGCGAATTCGTAATAATTCAAAAAAAAAAAACTCGACCGTTACGTGATAACAGCTGTAACGTTCGGTTTATCAGACGATATGATTGTTACGTAACAATGATAATTATTATGTTATTAATTCCCAACGTATTTCGCGAGTGTGTCGATTTTCGTATAGTAAGGTTCGCGCGTAGGTTCGTCCCTTTTTATGGAACAAAAAAAAAAAATAAACCGTTCAAACACGATTGTTGGAAATGTGTAGGTATCATATAGCCGTACAATTATAATACATCGGCGAATTTCGATCAGAATTACACATTTATAATATAGCAGGCCGATTCGAATACGACCAATACGTTACTCGCTCCGCTCGGAATTGGCAAAAAAAAAACCGTACGAATAAAACCGCACGGGTAAAGTAAAACCGATACCCGAAATATTTCCGTCGAAAACAAAACGCGATCGGCGGAATTGTATATTATTATGACGCGTGTGTACAGTACGTACGTGCGTATTTATATTAGAAAACGGCTGCGAGATGCGCGCAGATTCCGGCCGAACCGCAGACTTTCCGACGACGGCAGGAAGTTTGTTGTGACCGCGCGCGCCGGGATGTCCGACGGGGAAGCGGCGGAGAGCGCGAAAACGAAACCTCGCAACCGACGCGCGCGCGTCGTCGTTCCATGTGCAGCGATAATATTTTTTTATAGCTGGTCACATCCGTTTCGCGTACATGGAAACGACGGGTATTCCTTTTATGCGCCGTGTCGACGACGTTTGCCCCGCGACGCGCGTATCGCGTCCATGTCCTTTTTGTGCGATCCGTACGCCGTCGTCGCGTTGTAATTAACAGGAAACGCGGGCGAAATGTACGAGGGGAAAAAAACCGAAGAAAAAATACGAGTACAATAGAAATTACGTCGTATCGGGGCCGTATGTAAACACGTACCTACGACACTGCGGGGGCTCCCCCGTCGTCGGAGGGTAAAAATCACGTATCCGAAATCCCGAAAAACCTATACGAATTACCGCGGACGTATAGTACCGCCCGGAAGACCGGGGAGTGGGGGGGAGCATAAGTATCGTAAAAAAATATTTATTTTTTCCCCCGTGATTATTATTCGGGCACTCGGCCAACCTTAATAATAGAAAGAAATAAAGACGATAATCGCCGCCGATACTACGACGGGTAGAATAATACGGTACGAGTAATCGTGCTCCGAATAACAATAAAAAAAAAAAATAAAAAAAAAAACGTCATCTTTCTAACGTTCTTTCTGTATAGCATCGCCTTCTGAATAATATAATGTGTCGTAACGTACTTGTTATAGGCACGCACGCAGGCGTTCGAACAATTTTTCAATAATATAATTTGCCGACGGTCGATTTGTGTCGGTTATATTTTTTCTTGTCAACGTGTTTCGGTTTTTACCATTTTTCAATGATTTCCTAATTTAATCTTTTTGATGATATGTCGTGTTTTTTAAAAACCGGACTCCTCCCCATCCGAATGAAGCCGAAAGGATGCCATTTTGTGTATTGCTCACGGCCATGGTGTATTCGGCAATTATTTGTTATTTTGCAAAGGATATTTCCTAATATATAAAACAGGCTGGAGGGGGAAGGGGGAAGTTCGACTCTAGTGACGGAGCTCTGGCTGTAACTCCCTGGTGTTTTTTTATTCTTCTATAATACTGACGAAAATATGTCGATATTGTTTTTGTCGAACGTCCAAAATAATTAATCGTAAATACCCTATAAAGATGAATAGATATATGGTAATTATACGCGTATTAGTTAATATTATCGTTGGAAAATATTGATACAGTCGTTGGCCAATAATTTATTAATAAACGATATTATATTCGAATCTTTTTGGCAATATTCGATTTGTTTTTTTTTTTGCCGGTCCGGAAATAGTCCAAAATATTTTACGTCTTTTATCTTAAACTTGTCTCGACGTAATCGACGGACGACACAGCAAAATAACGTTACTTACATTAAACGTATTAAACTGTCGTCGTTCGGATCGGAGTTTAAAACGCTAGAATACCGAAATTCACGGAGAAAATTATTTCCGATGGTAGCTATTGATCGGGACAAAATGTTTGTACAAAACATTTACAGCAGTTATAAAACGAAAACTAACGAACGTTCATTGTAAAACACAATTACGTCAGGGAAAAGCTATACGTAGTTTCGAAAATATTCCATACTCTTTAAATCGTCCATACATTTTTGTTTAAACTGGTAATCTCAATCCGAACGGTCGCAGTTTATGTTCTCCAGTATAACGTAATTTCGCCATGCGTTGGTCGGACGAGGAGACAATATAAGTTCGTGCCGGGTATACGACATCGGTGTTAAGTACCTAGTACCTACCCGTGCATATTTTATAGAATCGGTTTTTCTTTTTAAATTCGAATCGGCGCCCGTTGTATATTATACGTATAGGTGTGTAGACAGACAAACACGAGTGTGATATCGTAACGATAATAATTATTTGACCATTAGTATGTAACGTCCGTGCGTGTAAATATAATAATAAAATACTCGGCGGGTTTCGAACGCCCGCCGGATTTTTAATGCCGTTAATATATTTTGAACGTACCTATCTGCACCTACCGCCTCTATACGGTCGCGTATGATGTGTTTACGAATGTTCACACGTACGCGTCGTTTTATACGTGTACACAATTCGTGTGCGCATTGTATGTAAAACCGATCGTCGGTAGTTTTTTCCGACTGTAAAAAACTAAAAATTGCGTTTTCCGTATTGTCCGTACATTGACATGTATCATTTTAACGACGATTTACGAATTCATCTGAAATCTGGCCTTTCCGACCGAAAAGTCGCGCGTCTATTATACCAGCTAACACTTTCCGACGATACGCGGCAAATCCGTAGATAAATACAGAGGGTAAATTGTTAATCACATTAGTTTGTACACTAGATTCCGGAACACCACGATTTTCCTATAAAATTACTAAAGATTTCCTGTAAGATTACCAAACGTATGCACACTGGTTTACCCTCTGGGATGAACCGAAACTGAGGTTATAGCGGGAAGTGCGTGGGATTACAGAAATCTTCTGGTTTTAACGCCATCTACGTGTTAATTGGTGAACACAACCGATAAAAATACCCATTCAAAAACGGAACACATTTTCATTTAAAAAAAAAAAATAAAAATATGCGTGGCATATTATTTAGTTATACGCTAAACACGTGTCAAAGGATCACACCACCATGGGCCAAGATATCCGTTATGTAAGATTGTTTCCATAATTATATGCTACACCGGATGGCGTTCGATGGTCGCCCGGTTTTTACGTGTAGCGCGGAATAATGTTAAATGCGAAACATTTGATAGTTCGAGACCCCTAACTTGTTCGATGCCTGCCCATTATATCTTGGTCTGTGATATACGTTTACACTATTGGTTAGGTATGGTATTGATGACAACTCGACGTATTTGGGTTGTAAGCCGCACATGTGTACACGCCGATGCGTAAACATTGAAATTTCACAGGGAAAAAATCTCGGCCGACAACGATTTTTATCGCGAGATTTCTATTGTTAGTTATCACTTTATCAGTAACTGATCAAATCACCGTCGGCGACAGCCATGACGCGTACCAAAGAATTCCGAATGTACTGCGATATTAATTTTTATATTTTAATCCGGGCCCTGAAATGTAATGTCGATAAAATCGCATTGGTGCGAAACGAATAATTGTTTCGTTTTAATCATTTTAATGACAATATTTATCGGTGAAACTTGAATTTTTATTTTGAAAAAAATGTCCTACATTAATAATTTTCGGTTAAATTGTACCCCCAGCCCCCTATCGACCAGTCAAATTATACGGTATGTATTTTCGTTCACCGTCAATACGATGATATTATTTGCGGGTACGGAACCTCGGCGGGACCACGAAGATGCATGTGTCCTGCACATGGTGCGATTATAATAATAATAACGTATAGTATTATTATCATTATCATTATTATTTATATACAGTTACCGGGTTACGGTGTTCGAATTAGTCGCCTATTCATATGTGTATACCTATGGTGTAGGTATACACTTACACCGGGCGGATCCGTAACTCGCGTTCGTTAATTTACATGACGTAGAAATCCGCGCGCGTTTCGACACACACGTGACCCCGTTTATAATAATATAATGGCCCGATCGCAGGCCCGTCGTTTTATCCGACAGCGTTTTCATACACATACAGGTGCAATATTACACGAGAGGAGGGAGGCTTTCCCGAAACCGTAAAAAAAAAATCAACAATATCTTATCTACAAACGCGGGACACTGTTACTTTAGAGCCCTTTCATAAGAACGGTTATTTGTTATTATATTATTATTTTTTTCTTTACGACCCACTGGAATTTCGATACGCATTCCACTTTGTGTTCTAAAACGCACTATTTAAGACTCGTCGAGTGGGTATAAACTGTGTCATGAGGCTCGATTAACAAAAAAAAAATCTATTTTTTATCGCGTGTGAAAAGTATCTATCGTAACGCCCCTTGAAATTCTGGATCCAATGCTCTCGCTTCTCTGCTCCCCTAAATACGCCCCTGTCTACGCCACCAAAAAACAGTAAAAATTCTGACTGCAGTTCTGAAGTGAAATACGGTTGTATTAATAAACTTTATATAACTAACACGTCGTGTTCTCGTCTATACACAGTATACACTTCTCCGGTCAAGTGAAAATCTTCAATTTAATATTATTAATAATAATAATAATGGTTTTCTTGTTCGTCACAACTAAGGTAACCCTCGAATAAACGAAAACAAATACCTAAACAACTAGATATTCGAATACCGAAAACACCTAAAAACTCCAATTTTATCCCCTTGAATTTTCAAAAATCCTCTCTTGACGAATACCTCCGTCATAATAGCTATCTGTACGCCAAATTTCAGCCCAAACCGCTGAATGGATCGGGCTGTGCGATGACAGATCGGCCGAATCAGTCAGGGGTTGGTTTTTTTTTTTTTCAATTAAAAATGGTGTCCCACTGAGTGCCGGTGATATAAATACTGATATATTTCCGAGACTCTTGCGCAGCATCTCGCCCGCGCGGTTTTTCGCGAATTCCAGCGAAATTTCTGTAGAACCGGCCGATATTCTGCCCCGGCGCCGACTCGGCGTACCGTCTATATCTCGTGACACGCGTATAACGGCGTTTTTTCCGGATATCCGACGGCCGGGTATCGCATCGCCCCGCGTCCGCGTGACGACTGTATATTATACGCATGCATATAGATATATTTGTTGGGTATATATATATATACGGCAACGGCGATAAAGACACGCGATGTTATACCGACGACGATAAAAAAAAAAAAAAAAAAAAACGATACGATGAGAGAGAGAAACAGATAGAGACTGACGTGTGCGCGTATGTATCGTGGAGTCGGTAGGTGCATTCCGAATGAGCATCCCGGTTGCCGCGGCGGCGGCGGCGTCGCGGAGAACGCCACCGAGCCGCGGAAAAATCTCCGCGCAAACTGGTTCGCGACCCACAGGTGTTTCAGCGACGGCGGCAGCCGGCGTGCGCGCGCGCGTGTGTGCCGGAAACCGTTATGTATACCTCGCGGACCGTGCGTGTAATATGCAAATATGCGACCTTATCGCCGTCATCCCCCGTCCTCGCCGCGGCGGGACCGTCTAATACGCAGTGTAATCGATACAAACAATATATAATACCTATATTAGTTCGAAATTACGAAAAGAAAAAAAAAACACGCCGACGGACGCGCGCCGTCGTTTCAGGAGGTCTCCCGTCGGCCGGAAAATCGCCAGTTTTTCCCGTTCAAAACAAAGAAAAAAGACCGTCCCGACGCGAAAACCCTGCGAGAGAGTCGGCCGAACAGAGTTTTCTGCCGGAGCCGTCTACGGACAGAAAAAAACCCCCGCACGTTGCGTAACCGATATACATTCCTCTCGCTTTATTCGGAACCGTACAGACGTCGCGCGTGTCACTTACCCGTAACGCCCGGGACTGTAATTCACCGACGGTCGCGCGTGCGGGTAGCGTGACGTCTCCCATTGACGATCAACGAGTTCGGTCGGGGTTAGGTTTCGGTGGCGGGATGGCGTGTGCTCGGTCGAAGTGGTCGAAAACGCGGCCGTCTCATTCGCTCCTGTGGCGTGTTATTTCAAACGACAATTCCGTCCAGTGGATAAAATATCAAACTCGTACGCGTACGACATTTTTTCATACGAAAAATTGAAATCGATAATTTTATAGAGTACTCGTTTCCGGAAAAAAAAAATCAACGTCGCTTACCGCTCCTGTCACGCCAGACACCATCGATAATATAACTGTGCCAGACGATCGGGCCTGACGTCAACTTCATTATTAGGGGTGGGAGACACTTTTTCGTTTTTCGCGCATTTTCGTCGTGTACGGAGCCCGAACCGGGCGGGATAGGAACTAAGTAATAATAATACGAATATTATTTTTGGGGTATACGTCGGAAACGTCGAACGGCCCGATTTTTCGAGAAAAATTCGTCCGCGCCGGGTGCCGTATAGAAGAATTTTACTATCGATTTAAGTATCGCGGCTACTGTATTCTCGTTGTTGTTGTTGTTTCGTGTCCTCCCCGTACCTCCTCCTTCCCGCCTAGCGGCTCATTGTTATCCCGGCGTCGGGTTGCGGTCTGCCGGTTAATATTACCGCGAGACCGAGGAAACGCCTCCGCGCTTTAATTACACGAACACGATAATAATATCCGATCCGATGCAACCGCCGAGGAGATAAAATTCTGAACTATGGGCACATTCGGTTATTTACGCAATGTAATGCGGCCATAGTGCTCGGGTTATTGGGTTCCGGGATCCGGCATTTAACCTTATAACCTTATGGACCCTATCGATTTTTCAAATATACCGATATGACTTAAATCGTTAAAGATATGAACAGGCCGTCGGCTGCGGCTGTTATCGGTGTTCTCGCACACGAAGATTTGTACGTCCTTCTGTACTGCAATATTGTATAGTGCCTCCTTCTTTTTAATCGTATCATATCCGGTCCGATAAACCGGCGTCGAATTCTTCGAACGGAAATGGCCCGTCCGTATCTTTGGATGAAATCCCGCGCGTGTTAACCCGGACTCTGGTTTTCCATATCCTCGGCTCGAATCGCCGGTAAATATATTTGTAGGAGGTAACTATCGATGTGATTATTTTGTGTGCAAGTTCTGCTAAAATATTTCGTTCGAGAGGATTTTTAAATTTTAATAAATTTAAAAACCGCGTGTGTAGACTGAAATGTGTGTTCATAAGCGTATAATAATTCTATACACTTTATTTTGATGCACTAAAATTGAATGCTGTTGTCCTTGCACGGTCGCGGAAAATGTCGACGCGTGATTTTTAAACGTCGACGAGTCGAACTGACGGACGAGTACTGCGCAGGGGAACGTGACGGTTTATTTCGCGTACGACGACAAACCACAGATAATTTTTCACTTCGATAATCGAAATATTGCCAGGTATATACCCAAACGTTGTTATATTGTTTTAAGGCGCATACCTATAAGTAATAATACGTTTTGAATTGCGTACGTATTGTATTATTATTATACACTCAGCTTATACGACAACGTTTAGAGTTGAGGCGTACGCGATTATTATAATTCAGTATTGGCCGGTCGAATAACGTACGTACCTAACGAGTAGACATAATATAATAACGTTTTTATAATATTCGTTATGTCCGCAGAAGAAAAAAAACTAATTTCGTATTTTCGTCGCGCGCTCGTGTTGTATAGGTATTGCGCGAGCAATCGTCGCTTTGCACAAACATCGGTTATAAATCGCAATAATGCGAATAATTTCGAAGCTGCCTTGTCACTGACGTTTGTTTTCTTCGTCTTAACATAATAATATGACGTATAGTAACTGCAGAGGCATTCCGTACATCCTGCAGGATTTTCCGATCGAGTTTAACGGGGTCGCTATTATTCAAACGATTTTTTTTAAAAAAATGTATTTACAAGGGCTTCTTCGGAAGATTTTTTCGTAGCGATATCCGTTCGTTTCCCAAATCATTAACGGTTAAAATCGAGTTGAATTCAAACGCACGCGTTTCAAGATAAAAACAGACATGTTCGAAGACGAAAAGGAGTACTCGCATTTGTTTCTGCACGTTAGTAGTATATTATTACGCGCGAGATGGACAGACAAAACAAAGTTCATTCTTAGCTCACGAGGTTCGCAACTCGACTACATAAAAAAAAATCTGCTACATATACGTCACCGCGAAAACGACGACGATTTGAACGTACTCGTAAACGATCGGCGACGTGACGACATCGCGATTTTTTTTATTAAACACTGCCGCGTTCTTATAGCCGGAAGGCGCGTGTGACGTTTAAAATTGTAATTTTTCCGCGTCATCCGGACGATATACAGCGTGTGGACTAAAAAATAACAAAAGTGTTTTTTTTTTTTTTTAAATATTCGTTCCATTCTTCTTCGTGTTGTTATTTGTTTTAATTCGACCGTCATTACAATATTAATCATTTTAAAAAAAAAAACCCCGGCGTTAATTGCGACAATTACCGCGGTAGTTTTTCCGAACGTTCCGAACGTATAGTGCGTGGCGCAAGAGGGCCCGGTAGCAGAGAACCTGACCTTGACAAATTACGAGACATTTTGCGGCGTCCGTTGCGAAACGAAAACAAAAAATGTAAAAAAACAATAATAATAACAATAAAAATGATGTTCGCGACTCGTACTACGGGTTGTAGTGCGAAGGTCGGGTATGCGGCGGTATTTAGCGAGGATCGAAACGCGAAATCGCCGGCACGATTTTATCACGCAGAGCATATATGCCGAAGACGAGCTACGGAAATAATAAAAAACTGCGAACAATATTATTATACTTGTAGCACGACGACACGAGGCCGTCTTCGAAAAAATACATACCTCGCGGTGCACGAAATTTTCCTGATAAACACAAGCGGGAAGCGCGTATCAATACTTTGATCGCACGTCGATATCTGACGATTATTATTATTATATTTTTTTTTTTCGAAATTATCACGCGTCGTGTTAATATTTATATTTTCGACTGGGAGGAAGCGATATTGCGTTATTGTTTTGTGATGACGTGTACCGGATAAAACGTATTGTAGAAAATTCCGAATTTGCCGCGTGACGAGAAAACGATTTCGAAAAAAATTAATATTCACGCCCAAATTTTTAGTAGGAAATTCTCAATAAATTTGCCTACCATATATCGAAAACATGACTAATACGCAACATCGCCCATACCTATGCGCTTCCTAATAATATTTCGGTCTTCGATCGGTTTAGCTATACACAATCGAACGAGTAAAACGTACCGAATTGCTATACGCGCGTGGTAAAAGTACTGGAAGGCTAGAAAACTGACCCAGTGTGCTCGCTTCTTTACAAAATATTATTAATACTATTATTATAAGCGTATTGTTGTTGTTGTTCGAATGTGTTTCGGCGACGGCAATCCGAATGACCGCGTTGAAAACAAAACTACTACTGCTACGAAAAAGAAAAAAAAAACACCCACGCGCGTTTTTAATATCGTATATTATTATAAGGTTGTAAGGTCGAAGGTGTCAAGGTCCCGGACCCGGTTCGACCGCGCGAAAACCGTTCGACGGGTAACGCTTTTTAAAGTGGCACGAAACGGCAGAGGGTGTCGGGATGGCCGCGGCGAATTGTTCCGAATTTAACGAGCACAAACACAAAAAAAAAAAAGTCTAACCCATTCTTTCTTTATTTATTTTTTCGACATTTGCGAATGTACAGAACTCATGTGGTCGTCATAATTTTGTCTTCTCCCTAGTATACGTCTTATGGTGTAATTAAACAAATCCGAACCCGAGATAAAACTAAAGCGGATATCATTTGGAAAATCATAATCTCCTCGGTCCGCCCACGCCGTCGACAGGACGCGTATAATAGGTACACACCATCGTTAAAACTCGGGGTTCTATTTAGTATCACGTTTCTCGTCTTCGCCTCCTCCCGGGCAGGAAGCTCGTATCCGATTTCCGATAGTCTCGCGATCGTTCGCAGAATCCTTCGGGTATCGGGCGACCATATTTCATTTGATCGTTATGTTATCTTCGCCGGCGGTTGTGCGGACGATAACCGCGGCGACCGCGCCTCGTCGATAATACACAACGCTGCAATCGGACGATAAATAATAATATTTTTATAACGATCGGACCTGTATAAAAATTCGATATTTTCACATTTTTCCCTTAGCACGTTTTCGTCATAAAAATACCCTAGTCGTTAACGTATAAAAATTGTATATAAACACGATGATATTTTTATGTCCCTGTATAATTATTATCGGCTACTACTCGGGACCGTAGAATTCCCGGAGATTTCACGTGTACTGCACGCTTTCGCATATTCGCGTGAAATTAACATTCGAATCTATAAAACTGCGTACACGTGCGTAATTGTTCACGTATTTTCATTGGTGTCTATTAGGGGTCTAACAACTGGATGTGCTCCTCCCTCTTGGAAAATACTAAAACCTACAAACCTTAACGCATAGCCTGGATGACTATTGATTCGCTTTCTCGTAATGGACCTGTCTTACCTTTTCGTGCAGGTCTTGGGTTCTTATACCTACATCTATTACTCTTTGAATGCATATGTTTGGTTCCTGTTTGTCCCTCCCCTGAAAATAAGCTTATGCCCACGTGTATTTTTACGTGGATATAACACTACTACTACACGTAAATACGATTAGTAAATTCACGTGTACACGAACTCTGTTTTCGCGTAAATCACGTTTACAATCGAGACCTCTACTCGGAGCGCAGCTGAGTTTCGGTATACCTCTATTTTATCGATATTTCGATATTTTATTACGACGAGTTAATGGTTTTTATTTCACCATACGTAAGATCGCGTGATTTGATAATAAAACTCCGTTTTTTTTTTCTTCTTTTTTTATTAACACGATAACGCGAACACAATATTATAATCATACCCCCTACAAAAGTTTCGAGACGATACGGGGGGGGGGGTTTATCGCATATTATTCGACGGTTTCGCGCGTACGACGTACGAATCGCGTTTTATCGCCGTGTTAAAATTGCTCGCGTCCGCGTGTGAACCGCGCGCGGGGCAATATATACAGGGTGTACCATGTATATAATATATATATATATATTCGGTCCGGTAGATTTATTACGCGTACGTGAGAATGGACTACGTACGGCGGCGGTGTCGGAGGAGTTAGCTGCTGCGTAAAGGGAATATTGTGATTTATCAAAAAAAAAAAAATAATAATAATAATAATAATAGTATAGGTAACATTATCGTAATAAATAACGCGGACGGTTTAACCTTCGGCGATATAATAATAATTACAACGCGGATTCCTGTTTTGAAATATGCAAATACTCGCGCGTACGCACATTATAATATAAAATATTATACAATACGTACGTGTGTACGGATACCGCTGCACGGGACAGTGCGGTGCCCGCTGTCGCCGTTTTTCATCCGGTTTATTCGCAGTTTTCTTTTCGCGCGGCTGCGCCGTCCGATTTTCAGCGATACGCCGACATCGTAACAGCCATCGACGATAACAACAACAACAACAATAAAATGTCTCCCGCGCGTCGTGTACACATAGTAATGTACCGGTAAGCCGGAATATAACCCAGTGCACCCGGTCCGGCCGGAGAGTTCACGGTCGGGTTTACACGTCGTCGTGTACGACAATGTTTTATACCGTGATATCATTATATCGGGAGGGGGTACGGCGTGAGGGGGAGGTGGGCATATTATTGTGTACGCGCGCTAAGGTCGCCGAAGTAAAACGATGATGATGATGATAATAATAATAACGAAATAATTCCTCTGTTCGCAGGTACAACGACTGGCCCAATACGAAACGTATTTCCAAAGTCTGTTGGACGAGACCAGGCCGGAACATGGAAGAGGCGCCGAGTACCACGACCTGTGCATGGCGAACAGCGCCGTCAAACAAGTGAGTTCCATTATTATTATTATTATTATTATTGTAATAATAATATTGTTGTTATGTATCTATAATAACGCGTTAATACCGAGAATGCGTGTATAATACATGTATAGGTTTTTTTTTTTTTATATACGTTGTTTTTTTTTTCCACGTTTTTCTTTCTTTTTTTCTTTTTTAATCTCGTTTCTTTTCTTATTTCGTCCGGCGTCCGTAGGCGTTCATACGCGGCATATCCGAACACGGACGTCGCGTTTTCGTCGATTATGATAATAATAATAACAACAACAAAACCGACACCGACAACCACCGCCAATGACTCCTCGTGGCGCGCCGATAATAAACAAACGACGGTTATTGTGTCCTCCTCTCCCCTGCGCGCAGACCCACTTTCTTCGGTGTCCGCACACGCTACACCGGTGCAGAGCACCGCATATTTTATTATACATATATATGTACACAAAGAAGGATATCACTTTTTCTCTCGCCTACAAATATAATAATAATAATAATAATATTATAATACGCCGTGCGCCGCTATATACATTAGAAAAATATCGTTTTCGATCGAGTGAATATAATAATAATAATAATATAATAATAATAATAATAGTCTTTCATTGTGCGACGACCGCACAGCGCACAGACCTTTGAACCGCCGCCGCGTCGAGATACACATAATATGTGCTCTGCGGTGCAGCTCCGAGAGCAATGATCGAGTTATTTCTTTGATAAAAAAAAAAATAATATTAATAAAAAACGACCCACTTTTTTTTTTTACAATATTATACTTTTCGATATCCGTCGCACAACGATATGCGGGTCTACCGCCACCGCCTCGCGTCAATCGTAACGGATCCATACACAGTACCGAAGATGATGTATAAGCGCATTAATTAGAAAAACAAAAAAAAAAAAATACTCCGAAGCTTTTTACGGACAGTAGTGCGCGGCAGTATGCTACGTACCCATACGGTTTCGCCGTCGCTCCAATTATTCGAAAAACAATATAATATAATTAATTATCGAGAAAAAAAGAACGTATACATATATACCGAGTCGTTTATTGTAAGCGGTGTGAATGACACCGTCTCGCGATCGCCTCCGCCGCCACACCTAAAAAAACCGATACGATAAATCGCCTCGGAGTCCGGCCGCGGAGCGTATGTGTATGTTTAACACACATTTTTTTTTATTTGCTATGTATAAATATATATATATATATATAATAATAGTAACAATAATTTAATATAGTATACCTATTATAGGTAACGGATTCGCTTATAAGTTTTATAATATACCTACACATACGGGGGCTAAATGTGCCAAGGAGAGACACACCGGTCCTCATAAATAAAATGCGAAATGGTATAGGTAAATATACCTATCCAATACCGTACAATGACCATATCGGTCTCGCGTGCCCCCGCGAGTGTTTCGGTACACTACACCTAGCGTTACACTAATATTATACTTTGTGCAATTATTATAAATTACTACGGCGAATATAATATAGAGAGGAGGCGTTGAGATTATTAATGCGTATTGTGGACTGTCCGCGGGCGAGAATTAAATAATATATTATATTATTATTTTAACAAATCGGCTATTTTTTTTTGAGATAATATTATAATATAAAATATACATAATAAATACTCTTCTTCTTTTCGCCGCTATCGAGCGATAAACAACAACAAACAAAACAAAAAAAAAAAAAACCATCGAATTCAAAAAAACCAATTCGTTTGCAATGTACATATTCGCGTCGTCAAAAATACTGAACGATACAATATTCCGTCATTGATACGCGCGGATGTACATGAATAACATGCTGCGGCTGCACCGATAATATTATTACAAACGGCTACACTGTTTGAACGGTATTTAGTGTCACATATTATTATGTTACATACGTTTACGGAAAGCAAAAAAAAAAAAAAAATCGTCGTATTAGATTCTGAGCGGAGCGAAAAAGTATTGGTTTTAATGACGTGATTTTTTATTTTTTATGTCCGTAAACAACTTTAACGCCAGAAGTCTTGGTTCGATCAAAAACTGTACAGGTGCATTGAAGGGGTTGTTTTTTTGTTTTAATTTTGTCTTGTAGTTTAACAATTGACAAATGTACGATATTTGTTTGTATATTTGAACATTTTGATCACCATCACGATGCCAATAATATAATATAATATATCGTTGTAATATTATGTTACTGTTCCGCGTATTATTATACGTGTACAGTATAATATACGCTCGTGTTGTTATATCGCCTAATCTTCGTATATCTCATCTTACGAGCGCGTGCGCACAATACTCATAACAAAACGGTAGGTATTGATATCTTTTGCTATATGTTTCAACGTTTTTTATACGCTCACGATATAAGTACCTTCCATATATAATACCCACCTGTTATTTGCATACAATGAATATAATATAGTGTACCGGAGCGCGTAATATCGACAAACGAAAAAAAAACTCTAATATTATATTAAAATATGATTATAAGCACTTCCCACTTCGCCGAATCTCGTTTCGCCGACGAATAACGACCGGTGTCTTATGCCTACGTATTGCAAGTAAAAAATTCCATAATTTTGCGGAAAAATGATAATATTATATATATATTATAATTATAAATATCGAAATAAACGAAAAAAACGAATAGTAACAACCGCTTCCAAAACTCCACTGGAAACGACCGAAATTTCCATTTTATCGGCAAGGACACCATGAGACTTGTGTAGGTTTTACCGCGTGATTTTTTTAAATTCTGAGCAATGTATCGATTTTACTATGATAGGTGTTTTTGTCTGTGTCTCTAAACACAGATGAACACAATGAACATGTAAACATCTTTAGTATAAGAAATCATGCTCCAATCAAAAACTTTCTTGTATAGCATTTTGTTACGTAGCTATTGTCTGGGAAGTCTTTTTTTTTCAAATTTACTTTGTAGGTTTTTCTTGAAAAATTGCCAATTTATTAAGATAATATATGTTGATTTCTGAGTTACCTACGAAACAAATAAAAAAATACTGCTACTTATCTGTTTATATTTCGTTTATCGTTTCGACCAACATATTATGAACAAAATTACTCTGAACACCTTCCATTTCTCCTCCTAAAACCCATCAGTGATAATAGTTAATTTAAAAAAAAGAAATTTTTTTTTTTTTGAGGGGGGATAGTGGATTTATCCACCTCAATCTCGGTTCCGACACAGTATGTACGAGGGAGTGTATAATAATAATTGTCAAACATTGTACTCGTTTGTCGAAAATTATTTATTCGTATGTATCCTGCAAATACGTTTTGACCGAAATCGGGGCCGCCTCCAAACGTGTCAAACTCATTACGAGTATAATGATAATAATAATAATAATATTATTATTAATATAGACACACTGTCCTGTTAATCGTATTATTTACACTTTTAAATCGCTCCGAAAACACGATGCATATACGTATGAAAGTTGGCTCCCGGCAATAAAATGTACAATTATGTTTAATGTGTCTACGCGAGTATACAATCACGATAAACTAATAACCGCTATATTATTGTTATTAGTATTATTATTTATTAATTTCTCTTCTAATTAAATTCGCTCCGAAAAAAAAAAAAGACAACGAAATTTTAATCATTGTTTACCTTTGTATCTCGGATATCCTGTTTAGGAATGAAAAAAATTAACAAAAAAATTATAATACCTACTGTTTTTGTTGCAGACAATAAAACGTGTTCATGAGCAAAGCGATCTAGAACGAATTCAAGATGTGTTCCCAAACGATTTCCTCAGATTGTACGACAAAGAAGCGCTCACAATGGTAAGCATGGTTACGATATTTTTTCGTAGTATTTTATCCACAAACGACCGAAATAATATATTCTAATTTACAATAATAAGTAATATCGAAGTGAGTATTGGTTTGCTAGTATAATATTATACTTGTGCGTGTAGTATTCGTTAGAACAATGATACTCATCGCGGTGTCAATAACTTTCTATATATTTGAACTAGACGTATAGTTACAACAATTTATTGCACTATAACAACATAAATGTTTTTTTTTTATCTGATAAGACACGTTTTTAGTTATCTACAATGAAATAATAATATACACATATAACGTAGACACTGCAATACATTTTAGTGATACAGGAAAATGTTTTGTAAATCCGGATTTTTGAATCTTCCGAACAATGTTTTATTTTTTTGATAAACTTAACTTTAGAAAATAATAATGATGATAGGGAAATTGTGTCGATATAAATATCATTACTAAATAGAAAAAACACGTGTTTTTCCTATCACTGCGCGTGCGTCTCTGCACCTTGGTTGAAACGGTACATTAACGATCTATTCTGACATACCCTGTTTATTTAATCAGGATAAATACAATAAAAAGAACATTAATATTATACACAAACCCAAATTATGTTACATCGCTACTACCTGTAGTGCATCCCAATTATTTTCCGATATTCATAAAACATTATCGACGTATGTGTATGAAACATTTTTTGACTTTGTTTATGTAATGTATAGAAGATGAAAGGATTGATTCGGAAGAGGGGCGGAACGGGCACGGCCGCTCTCAGGAGAGCCCTGTCTTCGAAATCTCTGCGTTCGGAGTCGCCACCGTCCACCCCGAATAAAATCCGAAACGAGAGTCCCAGAAATTTCATAATGGAAACTCCCGTCCAATTCGTCAACGTAAATAACAATGATAATAATTTACACTGTGATAATTATATTTTCGTGACGTGTTCTCTTTCGTGTATACAGGGCGTACACTGCCAGGAACGTCATTTGTTTCTATTCGACGACCTGCTTCTGGTGGCCAAAGCCAAGTCCGGTAGTAACTTCAAGCTCAAGGACAAGGTAAGGATATCGGAGATTTGGCTCAACGAATCGCCCGCGGTCATCGACGAGGTTGCCGAAATCCCAAAGTCGTCCGATACGTCGTTCGTCATCGGATGGCCGACTACCAACTACGTGGCCGTGTTCAGGTTGGTGAACACCGTACTATTATACTTAGCTATGTAACGTATTAATTTCATCATCGTCGGGTGTCCACAATTTTTTTACTGTTGTGTGCTGCTGCACTTCGTGGGATGTGGTCCCTCAGCGGGGGGGAGGCACCCGCGCGGTTTCGGGCTCTGTGTTGTCATTAGTATATCGCGAGAGAAGAGGGTCTTTGAACCGACCACATTGTACGACGGCGGCATCAGCAGCAAGCTATAGCAGTCCAAAAACACATATTATAATCTCATCTCTCTCTCTATCCCGATGTAAGCGCATCGTCGCCCATATAATAATAGTCATAGATATATATATAATAACAATAATATAATAATAATATGCTCATCACCAGAGAGTACTCGCTGATGGGACGAACGGTATTGTAATATCGGAAAAGGAGGTTCGATAACGGTACACTGCTACACTGCTGCCGTTGCTGCTGCTGCTGCTGCTGCTGCTGCATCGTCGTATCGCATAGAGGAGTTTGTGATGCCGACATAAACGAAGCTCTTAATTAGACAAAAAAAAAAAAAAAGCATAGATATATATAAAAAAAAACTGCCTATTGTTACCCATCAACGGGGCTTGTATAGGTACGTAACAACGTATATGTAGGCACATAGTATTATAGGTATAGGTTCACGTAGGTAATATGCCCAGATATATACGATCATTATTATAATATACGACGAACAATAATTTTCGTTATAAAATTGTGCGTATGTGTGTATGTGTGTGTGTGTGTGTGGGTCACGGATGGTGGTGTCGTAATAAAATAAAATGCCGAGTACCGTACACTGTATATACCGTATACCGTGTACATTGTGTGTATTACCTAGGTAATAATACGGTGATATTCGTAAAATCCCCATATAATACAACGGTATTAAATTACTAATTATTGTATACCCGCGCTCGGCGAAAACGTGTAATATTATGTTTCGTTTTGGAGTCGCTAAACTGCAGCGACATAATAATATAATAATAAATCTACTCGGTATACCATATACTTAAAAAATAAAATAAAAATAAATATACATACTATTTACACACGTAGGTACCTACATAATATAATAACGGGGGTCGCAGGAATAAGGCTCGGGGGGTCAAATTTTATAACTCAAGTCGAGAAATGGTGGTGCAGGAAAAAGCGAAGAGTGTAATGGAAGGAAGTGTTGTATACCACGAGAATCATCTATTATGCAATTTATAGACGGCTCTACTTTGAAGACAACCTCGTCGGGGGTTTTTCGAAAATATTAATTATGTATACCAGTACTTACAGTTCTTTTTAAAAAAAATATGAAAACTACGTTTTTTTAATTTAACCTTCGACAATGAGCATTGCATATTTAAAAGAAATGGAAAACGTTAACGAGGTTTTGATCGAAATTTTGTCATGTACGTATTGTATAAGGTGTGTTTTGTCTTTAGAAAACAATTTAGAAGCCTTTTCGTCTGTTTTACGCAAACACTTGTGTGTTTTGCGTTAAATAAGAGTAAATGTCACTATTACAGTCTCTTATGTATGATAATTAATTTTTTATTAAAAAAAAAAACTTGCAAGGCCAGCGATGATTTACGGATGTGAGTTCGGGAAATTATTTGGAGTGGGTTAAGTGGGATTAATAAACTTCCCGAGATTACCAAAAACTATAGCCCTCCTTGAAATTTAACAAAAATAACCCTACAACTTCACGCCATTACGTCTTTGTTTTTTATGTTCGTCAACATCGTGTGGTCCGCCATAACACACCCAACCGAGTTAAAAGTTTGTAATTACACGTATTATTTTAGGAGCACGCGCGCACAATATCCTGCGAAATTATCACGGCCACCGCCACTAGAAAATCCAAAACATTTCTTTGCGCAACCGCATGAATATACGCCATTTCGTATATCCCTGCGGAATTATCTTAATTATGTTTACGTGTTCGTTTCCTAGATGCAGGCTCGGTAAACACGAGTTCCAAACAACGATTGAAAGATAATTTTTTGTTCGAAAAACAAAATTATTCGAATCGTATAACACGGCGAATCTAAACCGATAATTTTATCTTAACAAAAAAAAAAATTTAAAATTCCTGTAAACAACTCCGCGGTGAATTCGATCGAATCGACAACAATAACTGCGCGCATAATTTACGATATTATTTGTTACATATTTTATGTCGCCGGTTTTTCGCGTGTCCTACGCTGAGGTCGTGTCCTTGACAATCTGTCGTAAATAACACAACGATAATAATATTATTGTTATTGCTGAGAGAAAAATTCTCACTGGGCACGAAAGAATACCTGTTGAGCTTTTCGAGAGGAAATACTCTAGGGCTTTATTTAATCTTCTGAATTATATGTTTGACACAAAAACAACAGAAAATGAACCAAAACGATCGCGGACGTCGTATAATATAATAATTATGATAGTTATCTTTTTTTTTTCTTTTCTTTTTTCTTCGTCGTGTACACACAAACAATTATTAAGTATTTTATATAGGTACATATACACTTGACGGGTTTAGCAATAACGCAATATAATATTATAACAATAAATTCGGAGGACGGAAAGTGGGGGGAAGTACTTGGGTGTGCCGATAATGTCGTTTTTTTATCTTTTCTGGCGCGGTATCGTAAATTTTCAGAAAAAAAAAATATAAAACGATAAAATACGTTTTGCTTGTCGCGATAAATCGATAAAACACATCATTTAAGAATTAGCTATATCGATTATGTCAATTTATTAGCGAACGAGATAGAAGTTAATATAGTTTTAATAATGCTAATTTCGTTTTTCGCTTCTATATATTCGGGAACGCTAGTCTTACGCTTAAGTATATATAACACATTTTGTTTGGTAACACGTAAGGTATTTTTAAGAAAAAGCAATGTATACGTATAATACATGTAAATTTACTAAACTTTTACAAGTGGTTTTGCCCAACCCTGAAAGCGAAGTGGACAAAGTCAAATAATTGTTCAAAATAAAAATTGGACTACTGTAATTATGTTTATTTTACTACAGCCTTATACTGGTGTAAATATGTGAAAAAACGAATCACTTCCAAACCGCCTTGATGAAAAAAATAAAATAATTTCTAAAACTGTCTCTCTTTATACTATTAGCCGTATTGATAACCCAATGCAGCCCTGTACTCGCTTTCCAACAAGACCGTGTTTGAGATAATTTGTTTGTTTTGCCGATATTGTTATTTAAAAAAAAAAAAAAAAACACTATGGGTGGGCCACTGTGTTGTAGGTGAAAAGTTAAGATTGTAAGATATTGTGGAATTCTATTTATATCGATACGCTACGATAAACCATTGCTAACGAAAAACGATTCGGAGCAAAGTTTCTTTTATACATGTATCAACATTTTTCTCGTTTTTCCTAATTATTATGAAAATCGCTTGGAAATTCAAAAACGACCTTTTCGTAATAGCATTTAGATACAAATTTCCTTCACAGAAATGGTGCTGTACTTGATACATCAAAACATGATTTCTGGTAGAAAAATTGCTTACAGAATGAAAAGAAATTTAAACGTCCATTGCAAAACCAATACATTCCGCGTTACGCTACGAATTTAAAAATAGGCGGTATACTATAATACCTAACCTGTAAGAATCGCCAAAAAATCGGAATCGCATTTAGGTGTTTTTTTTTTGTGTATTTTAACTCCGGGGGTCAAGTCTTTCGGTCGTCACCGCGCGTTTTAGAAATAAAACGAAATATCGTAAAAACGTACCTGACCTACGTTATTGTTGTCAATTCGCAGTAATTGTTTCGAGGTTAGCCGAAAGCATGCTAATTTCCCATAAAAGAATGCGATTTTTTTTCTATTCGGCTATGATCATTTTTTTCCCCTCCTAGTCAAACACCGCGGTTCGCCGACACCGACAACCCACGGGTTTCGATAAATCATCGACTCGGACGCGTACTGCGCATTACGAAAATAATACAGCGTGCATTATTATATTTACACTGTATAATGACCGTATGATAGTAATCCGAATCTGTCGAATAATCAATATTTACGATTAAACGCGTATTAGTATAGATACACGTTTACACCGTGATAAAGTCATGGCGGTCATTACGGTGTTTACCTATATAGGTACTGACGATGTACACCGGTCGTAATCGCCGTAAAAATCGGTATAATATATTATTATTATTCATGTTATTACGATTTTTTTTTCATTGTTTTTTTTTCTCCCCAAAACTATTGAAAACATTTTTTTCAATCGGTCTCCCCCCCACTCCCCTCCTTTGTATATATCGTAGTCATTATCATCGCATTATCTATACGAACCTATACGTAATACGCACGGTGTGATGTTTGTCGAAAATATAATGTATACATACATTTATATTATTTATAGTACTAATAGTTTAAATCGTCGAGCCGACGCCGTCGCTGCCGCGGTCTTCAGTCTTCGTAATGCGGTCAACGGAGTTTAACGTGCGTGCCATCGCGTGAATTTTACGTAAAAAAAAAAAAAAACCGACAACAATAAATAAAATAATATACCCAATAATATATTATGCTGAAACGATTACGCGTTTCCGACTCCGACCCGACCGATGTTATCCGATTGTTGCAGTGCGGCGCACGCGATCGACAAAATGATTTTCAAATACGTAAAAAAATGTCTGACGTTTTTCGGTCTCGGTCTGTTAGGCGACCGCGACGGCCGCAACGACAAAACACTTCGCGTCAAACTCTTATTGCCTGGTTTAGAAAACGGTTGGACCGGCTGCAATAACGCCGGTAGTTTTAAGTATAAAAACCGATGCGAAGAAAATAATAACCATTGTCTGTGAGTAATATTTTAGATTCTGAGCTAATGCATTATTGATATATTACTATGAGTTTTTTTTTTTTTGGTCTATTAATAACTTTTCAACCAGAAATCTAGCGCCGATCAAATACTTTATAGAAACTATTTTGTAGCGTTTACGATCGTGTTGATTTTTAATTTTTCTTGTACTTTTCTCAATTAATGGGAAATATTGGCAATTCAAATTGTATAAATTTTGTTGATTTAAATATCAGTATTATTTTTTTAATTTGAAATTAGAAAAAAAATAATAACAGCAATTAATATTCAGAGAGTGTATAAAAACCGCAGTAATAATATTATTATCAATCTGGAATATTTTTTATAAATTATTTTATCCGACCAAACGCTTCGTCGTCCTCGTCGTTTTTTCGACGAGAAAATACCTAGCGATCAATAATAATAATTATGCCTATAAGTATGTACTTTTTGTAATGTATTTATATTAAACGGCTAACAAAACGCATTAAAATATAATACTATATTAGTATAATATTTTGCGATACGATGAATAAATCGAATTCATTATCGTCTGGCTGCGGCCACGTAATCTCTGTCGCCATTTTTCTTTTTATCTTTATTTAATACTCTGCAGAAACAACGTCATATGCTGTATGCGGCGTTCTTTATACTTGTATCCCCCCTTTCCCCTCACAATTGAATGTCTGGCGCCTTGTGTATAGTATATTATAAATACTTCCCCCGGGGACGAAGACCGTAAAATATTTTCGTTGAATTGATAAGGAGTTCTCCGCGCGCGCACGTCGAATTCTTCACATACCTACTATATTATAATGTTTTTATAGAAAATCCTACGAGAGTTCGGTACGAAATGTCAAAGACGACCCGACTGTATATATTAGGTGGTCCATTTCGAAGAAGAAGGAAAAACTTCGTGACACATGTCTCTCCTGCAAGCAGGAGGCCCGGATTTATATACGGGCGACGCATAGTGGCAGGGGCTATTTTATTTTTAGTACCCTACACAATAGAATCTCAAAATTGAGCATATTAAATAAATGTTTTAAATATGATAATTTTATATCGTAAAATTGAAATCGCCCAAAAGTCAATTTCACAGCTAAATTTCCAGGTGTTGATTATGACAGATTAATAAATATTACTTAGACGATAACAATGGGCTATTTAAAAATATTTTTCTAGAGTTATGACTTAATCCGACACTGCACATTAACACATGGTAGTTGAAATATATTAATTTTTTTGTAAAACAACATAAATTCATATAATTTTATCCCTCACGAGAGGGTAAATATCCTTGAATATAATTCGAAAACCGAGTAAGTGTAATAATTTTGATTTTTTATGTTTGTACAGTACCCAGGCGACCAGGAATTTGTGGTGGTCGAAACTGACAGAGGAATCGCAAGAGGAAATACGCAAAGAACCGCCAACCACCAACGTCCAAGTGTTTTATCAAGATCTCAACACCGGCATAGAATACGTGAGTTCGCACATTTTTTTATTTTTTTAAGTTTTTTTTGCTATATTATATAAGAGGTCCGGGGCGGGAGACGGTGTACAATATACATACACGATAACGATTAGAAACCGCACGAGTTAATATATGAACTCCATATATTTAAGGAATTTCTAACGATTCAAATCGTTCCTTAAGTATATCAATACGTGTATGGGTAAAACACCATTATAGACATTTTAAAGCCTACTTTGCGATTACTTAAGGCCGAGGATTTTTAAAGTGTCACTAACCTGCATTAGGTTCCCTTACACGGGAAACATAATGTCAAGAGGTGACCATCGTGGGTCCTTTTATGTCTCCCCCTTCAACCCCGAGGACATTATTGTATTAGTTTTTTCCAACTTCGCGGTTATGATGTTTTTTTTAACCGAATAAATTATATGTTTACTGCAGTGCAAGACGTTCGCAATCGGACCGGATGAGAGCGCCAGGGACTGCGTGAAGATCGCCCTGGACCATCTAGAAATGAGGGATGTGGACCCGAGTCAGTATCAGTTGTGGGCCAAGACGCCCAGGGAGGAGCCGCCCTATCCGCTATTCGGTCATGAAAAACCGTATTCCGTCAAGCTGAGCTGCCTCCGGGACGGACTCAGCGCCGAGGAAGGGTTCGACCTGGACCATTGCAACAACGTACACGATCCACTGGCCAGGTGTCATTTCATTTTGAGGTACGGTACCCTTTATATAGATAGTTTAATATTAAATAGATGCCGCACAACGCCAGGTAGGCGTCGAGAGATTGTGTGTGTAAACCATTTTTACGACATTATTGAACGAAAAATTAAAATTTCTCGATAAAAAATGATTGCAATTAGTTTTTATAGAACTATAGCAACACGCCGTGAGTAGTTGGAAAGTTATAAAAGTATACGTTTATAAATCATTTCAATCAAAAAACGATTCTGAACAAAATAAACGGGTTCCTTGTAACCCAGAAATCAATGAAAAGGAAACCGGGGTGTAATTGACATTTACTGTTGTTTTTTTTTTTTTAATTTTATATTTTAGACATCAAAAGAGTGTTATCAAATAAATTATCGTCCGGGGAAAAATTTAACGTTTGGTTTGAAAAAATCTGAGCATTTTCTGAGAAAAAAACCGATTTTTCAACCAGAAATTTCGCCTCAATCAAAAGCTTTATAGGAACTTTCTTATTACATTTTTTTTCTAGCTCGTACTTTGAATGAAGTCGTTTTTTCGATTTTCCGAACAGTTAAACTATATTAAACCGGAAAAACTGTCAAATTTTTTGTGCAGATAATTTTCGATGTTTGCTAGATTACCTCGTCAACAAGTGGAAAAATACGACTAATAATACACCATTCAGAATTATTTTGTACCAACGATGTCTTTGCGTACAGCATATAAACTAAATTATCCCCCTCCTCCTGTTCGGTATAAAAGTATCACCCCTGAAACTCATCGTCCAGGTATTAATATGATTTGCACGAAAAATTACGTAAATAGGTATATCCAACACCTATCATAATAATAATATTGATATTATAACGTGGCGATTTTATCCATTTATATTTTATTAAAATACCTATTGTAAAATATTATCACCATTACCGTAAATAGAATTTCGCCAACCGTTTTATTTGTACGCCCGCCTCGCCCGTGATGTCTGCCCATATTAATTTATCGCCGCGGCCATTACATAATAACAATAATAATCCTGAGGAATTCCTTAAATTTCTCAAAAATACACGGCCGGCCGCCGCTATCAGATCGCTGTGACAAAATATTATTATCATCTACTATCTGTAATTTATAAATTTTTATCATTATTACTGTCTCGGTTTTCGGTCAAAGTTCACTCTCCATAACCTTACGGTACAAGGCCCGTCCAGTCGACCGCCGCCGCGCACACGTACGCGTTTAGTTTATACCCAATAATATTAATTTTCGTATACCTACTGTGTGAAAAAAAATATGTTATTGTAATGTGCTCGTGTTTTGTTCCCGTTTTTTTCGAGTGACGTTCGGCGTTTTTTCCCCGTCCCGCTCGCGTGAGTCGTATTTGAATTATTATTTTTTTTTATCCGCCTATATAGTGGCGTGTTTCGGCCACGCGTTATTTTCCGGCGTTTTCGATGATAATAAACAAGTCACTGCCGCGATGTTAACGATCTGTACCCAACGCAGGTTAGAATTTATCACCTAATACCAGAAAAAAAAAAAAAAACACTACCTACATATCTAATATAAATATACATACATTTTTTTCCGTTCATTCGAATGATATTATTGTCGTGTGTGTGAACGCACCAAAGGCCAATCGATAAGACGAGACTTTATAATAATGTGATTTTGCGTTTTATTTATCTTCGAGGAGTTAGGTACTCTCTTCTACGCCGCTACCATTATAATAACGCCGTCGAAGGCTAAGGTCTAATTAGAAAAGAAAGAAAAAAAAAACCCCCGAACAAATATTGTCGTATTAATATTGCATACCTACAAACGTAATGCAAACAAAACTATTAAAAATCGCCGGTCTTGACATTCTATACTATTATTATTATTTCGTTTAATAATTATTTCCGAGACGGACCGTGAGAATGAACAATATTTGTGCGGACAAACATCGTCACGCGTCGTCAACGGGTTTTTGTTTTTCTATACATTTCGATATGTAACACGTTACAATATTACATTATTTGTTTGCAGGAGTGTAAAAGTCCAAGAGAACGAAACGAACAAAAAGACGCCGAAAAAGTCGTCGGGCCGCATGAAAATCGGCCAGGTTTTCAAGAAAACGCCGACCAAAGATAACGGAGGCAATCTGTTCGGCGTGCCATTAAGTCGAATCTGCGACGGTGAAAACCTTCCAAAACCGGTGATGGTAAGTACACACAATAATAATAATGATTTTTTTCAAGTATTTGGCGCGACGAAATCGAGATAAGTATGTGATCACAGGTGGCTAACCAATTGATAGACGTAAATAGGGTAGGGGGCCTAGGAGGACGAACCAGTTTAGCCTTTGATATTAGGTCTGAAACCTATTTCGCAATCAAGACCTGTGCATTTTCAGACTCTACGTGTACGGTCGCGTAGTTCCCCTAGACTTCTGACGATTGGTCGGACGGGCAAGAAGCGGACGACTACCGAGATTTAGGCAAAGAAATATTTCGGCTTGTTCGTTTAACGAAACGACGGGGACGACGACGTTCGCTCCGATTGTTCAGCGACCCGGTTGCAATCCTTGGTTACGGATTACCCAACTGAATAATAACCGATTAATAATCGAAAAATTAATTAAGTTATTAATGTGATTTCGACGGTTCGATATTATCGTGCGTTGAAACCGCTTGCCGCTCGCGAATTCGCTCCAAGATCGTCTTAAAACGATGGTAACCTATAAATAATGACAACAGTATATATTTTTACTCCCGTGGTAATATTGATAAATGCATTACGAAGTCGAATATCTGAGAACAATAATTATTGTTATTTTATTATTATATACGTTATTAATGCGTTATTTTTAGGAGCTTATATAATTATAATTAATTATACGATAGTAAAATATTATTATAAATGTATATGGGCCGTTGTTTTGATACTAGAATGTTTTTATCAAACGCATTAACCATCGCCGACAATTTTAAAATATCTATCACGGGTGCTCTACTCTAACAAGAGTAAAATCTCAATACGCGCGTTTTCCGAAATTCGCCCTTTTTTTTTTTTTTTTAGAAAAGCGAATAATCCGCGTTCCTGTACAATGAAGTAATTCAAACCCCATTTTTCTTATGAAATTTAGACCAAACGAATCTCAAAACTACCATTAATAGTCTGGATTTTGGACGCTATTCGATTATTTTTTTCAGAAACTATTTACAGAATCGGATTCGCTTTTAAAAATCTCAATCACCAACTCATTTTCCCCTTTTTGAAATTATTTTTAAAGTTGTGAATTTTGATTCTAGTCTTCACTGTATACTGGTGGGAAAGGAAAAACTTAGTTTTCTTGGCCGTTTCGATGTTAATGCATTTGTCAATTTTTTTTTTTTTTTTTTGATATTGAGTTTATAATAATTTGGAAAATTAGTCCTTTTCAGTCATTTTTAGATTTCGAGCGAACGAGTAATGCATTGGTTTTTCTATTATTTTTGTGCCGGCTGCTAACTTTGTTACCAAATATCTCGGTCCTATCAAAAGCTATTGGAACTTTCTCGTAGAATTTTCGATCCGGTTTGTGAGGTAATATTTCGTTTTTCCTTGTAGTTTTTTTCGTAATAAATGCGGAAAAACTGGCAATTTTTTCGTAGAACTTTCGTTGAATTCTGGGTACCGCGGGCAAAAAAACAAAAGAAACGAATTGCGAGACACTAATAATGCACAGCTCAGAATCGTTTTTCGTCAAAAATGACGTACGAAAAAAAAAAAAATGAATCAAATAAACGGCGAAGCGGCTATGCCGCTTTTGCCTTCTTTCCCGTCGTTGTTTTTGGCACGCGATTCGAACGCAGCCTATATTTAGTATCCATTTTATTATTTTATAATATTATTGATATCTTGATGTCGACAATTACGTCAGTTACGCGGATTTCTACTCAAAAAACCGCGCGTACCTAATAATAATATCTTAATCGACGTTCGCAGAACACGTACTCGTCGTTTGTTTTAATGGTTCGGTTTATTAATAATATTTTAATATATCGCGGGTAAACAGTAAATGGCGAAAGACCGTTTCGGCGCGCGCGCGCGCGCGTGCTCGCGTGTTTACCGAAACGACGTGTGTTAATATACTTTCTTCGAATGCTTACAATATTTGTAACGATACTATGTCATAATGTATACGTACGGAGGTCTCCGAAATACATGTAAATCATGCGAACACGACCGCATCATAATAATAATAATAATAATAATATGTTCGGCACGGTAATAATATAATCGGGTGGGCGAAAACCGTTTTTATTTACTTTTTTCTTTTTTTTTTCGGTCAACTCTTAAAAAGAAATCTTTTATAGGTATCGTCTGAGCGAACTAAATGTTTAAAAAAAAAAAAAAAAACCTACGAGCATTTCGTACTACATTCGAATTCACCGAATTGTTTGAACACCGCCGCGCAGTTTAGACCGGGCCTAATATCGCCGGTATTCGGCAAAAATTTCACGTATCTATACGATTATTGTTTAACCGAAACTACAATACGAAAATCTAAATCTAAAAAAAAAAAAAACGTAACTTTTTTAAAATATACGCGGTTTGGGCGATAATTTCGTTTTATGAAGAGGATGCCGACATACTTGCACCATTCGCGGTACATTTCCGTCTATAACGACTTGGCACGTTTTCGTTCAATAGAGAGACAACTTTGTGCTGTTTTAGTTTTAAAGATTTATAATTCTCCGAAAACTTCGGGTTCTTATTATTTACTAACCGAAGGATTATTTTTACTCGAATTACAAAAAAAAAATGTAAATCGTTATTGCCGTAAACGTGTAAATATACTCAGAAAACTACAAGGAAAATGTCAAATAAATAACCGCCTCAATGCCGCCGAATAGTTAGTAGATACAGACTATGTTTACAATAAATACGCTACACTCAAAAATCGGTATAAGATTTCCGGCAGAAAACTCGTTTACAGACACAAAAACTAAAAATTAATAAATAAAAACTCGTCGAGGTAAGCAAAACCAACTCATCCATATTCAAACACTGCAGATAACATTTTTTGTCAATATCTTCGACTTTGATTACATACATTACATTACACACTTCCGAATTTCATGTTACAGTCAAAATTTCTATGAAAGAATTGGTTTTTCAAAAAATGACTTTTTTTTTGTTGACACAATTAACTGTTTTTGATTTTCAAATAGCAACGTATGTTAAAAGTTCCATTAGTAAACGGAGTATCAGTTAAAATACATTTTAGAATTGACTTTTAAACGTAATTAAAGGAAGAGTAATGGCGAAGCATCATTTGTGTGGCGGCACAGCGCGTGACGTGTTCTGCTACTCTTTCTCTCTGTACTTAAATTCAAAAGTATTGTTAAGGTATTGTAAAGTTAATTATTTAAAAACAGTTAACTGTTAACAGCCCCAAAAATAATGGCAATGTAACATTTCAGAATATATATCATGATAGTGAAGTTTTTAAATGAGTGAAATTTGAAAGAACTTGCACGTACTTAGGGCAAATTCACTCATAATATTAATAAAACCAACAGCGGTGTTCTTTTCGTTCTCTGTAATAATATTCTAACTTTTTGTTTTCGTTGGCATTGGGAAATTGCGCTCTACAGGTGCGCACAACACGCGACTCCCTGCGAGTGCGCCGACCACGCGCGGCGGTTTATAAACAGTCGTAATTAAGCGCCGATGACGTATTTAAATCGTTTTTCTACGTAGATATACGATTTTTCTCTCTCTTATATTCGTCTCTCGTCAAACGGTCATTTTTAATATTTTAAGTAGGTACTCGGAAATTATTTTAAACAGAATAACATAATAATATTTTAATATCGTCGAGCTTCTTGTAATTATTTGTTTCCACTTAAAAATCATTAATTACATTTTCTCGCGCGGCGACCAAGGCGATTGTTCGACGTTATCGTTAAAGAACGATTAAATGTTTAACGTTAATCGTTATAATATAATATATACATATTTTTTACGAGTTTTGTAATTTTATAAATATAAATAGTTACAACCGGTCGTTTAAATCGGCTACTGTAATGGTAATGGTCGCCATTGGCGTTCGATAAGAACATCGATATACCTACGTGTTAATTGATTCCAAAGACATTTCGGTATCCACCTATGCGTCCAAATTATACATTCTCGTGGAACGCGATTTTCGAGGACAATATAAATTCCGAGCAAATATTACCAACGTTTGATGTCGTTGTTTAACGGTTTGTTTACGTGGTATTTATTTTAATGTTTGCAGGCGATGCTACACCAGATATTCTCCAAGGGACCGTTCACGCAGGGCATATTCAGAAAGTCCGCGAACGCCCGGCTGGTCCGGGAACTCCGCGAGAAAATGGACACCTGTGACGACGTTTGCCTGGAAAACGTGCCGGTGCTCGTCACCGCGGCCTTGTTCAAAGACATGCTGCGCTCTCTGCCCGACCCTCTGCTGTGCACCAGTCTCTTCCCGAAATGGAGGTCCGCCCTGGACTGCCAGAACCTACCCACCAAACTCTACAGAATCAAAACGTAAGCCCATTTAGCCCGTCCTAAAACTCACCCCGCGGAAATATTCCGACGGCGGAAATTAATAGTTAATAAATGTCTCTCTGTGGGTACTTATTATGTATTCGTCTTGTTTCCGCAGGATTATCGATCAGTTGCCTAAACCCAACTACCATCTGTTGTGCCACTTCCTGTGCGTCCTGTACCACATATCCCGACGGTCTACGCACAACCTCATGTCGGCCGCCAACCTGGGCGTGTGCGTGGGACCCTCGCTGCTGTGGTCCGATTCGCCCGCCATGTGTCCGACCGAAGACTTGCGCACCGTGCCGGCACTGGTCGAGATTCTCATTACTCACTGCGAACTGCTGTGCGGGCCGCACGTGCCAAACCTACTCGGTGACCCTCGAGATTCCGGCACCGAAGAATCCGACTGTACGTTTCCGCTCCTCGTAACCTCTCCTATATACGATACGCTTTTATCATTATAATTTATATTTTGTTTTTTTTTTTTGTTTGTTTTACAGCCATGAGACGGGACGACAGCTCCATCGACAGCCTGGAAGTAAGCCCGCCACCCAGAAAGGACCAGATATCCTTGAGTCGTGATTCAGGGCTAACGCTGTCCGACTCGCAGCTCTACACGCCGGACGAGGAGGAGAGCGGGTCGACCAGCTCGAGCGGATACGACCCGGCGTTTGACCAGGCGCATCACTCGGCGACCATGAAGAATAGCAGTGCGACGGCAGCCGCTACGCCCCCGACCGCCGCGGCCACGTTGTCTTCGATGCCGGGTGAATACGTGCGCGTATACGCCGGCTGGGAGGACCGGAAGAACGTAAACTTCCAACGGCAGGCCTGGTTTCGGCAGAGATCCAAGCGGTTGTCTGGGGCTGCCAGTAAAGAGGCCGTTCGCCGGAGCGCTTCAGAAGAGTCCGTACTTGACGGAAATGTGCCACCCCCGACACCGCCCCGCCGGTCCAAGCCCGCCGCGGTACTCCAGTCCTGCAACAACCGGATATCTCTACCTCCCGTCCCTCATTCACAACAGCAACAGCAGCAAAACCAAGACTTGCAACAGTACCACCGTAAGATGTCCTCAGACTATTATAACGTGCAAGTCATCAACAAGTCGGAAGTAGTTGTCGAATCACTGCACCCGAACAACTACAACACGGAACTGACCATCAAACCGGTGGCCGCCAAAGAGGACCAACCTCAGCAAACAGCGGTGCCTGTCCGGAGGATGGTGCAGACCGGTGAAGTAGTCGACTGCAGCAGTAGGAGGTACTCGGGTAACTTGCAGACCGACAGTTGCAAAGAAGAGGACTCTAGCACGCTATCGGACGAAGACTGTACGCCGCACGTGTCCCGGAGCAATTCCCGGGGAAATGAAGTGGCCGCCGACTCGTTGAAGTTGAGGCAGCACCAACTGCAGCCGGCACCGGCGGCGGCGTCACCGACCACACCACCGGTCCACGTGGACGGCACCGTCCGACTCCGTGGCCGGTTGAAGCGCAAGGAGGAGAAGGCCGCTGTTGCCGCGGCTCGGTCCAGGTCGCTACCTCCGCCTCCGCCGTACCGACCACCGCCGCCGGCCACCAACCGTCGGGCGCCCATCACTTCGTATTACCTGGGCGAATGCAGCCAAGCCCAACAGCAGCGGTTCGTCGTGACGCGGACGTACGCCGACGAGGAGTCTTACGTTTGAAGTGCGGTTGTGTCTAGTAACCAACACTCGGTATGATATATTATAATAATATCGTCTCCAGTGCCTTTAATCGCTGTCACCAACGCGTTTTGTAAATATTAATATTATTATTATTATTATGATTATATACACTTGACACATATAGAGTATAATATTAAAATACTACTTAAGTTACCTGTCGATTTAATAATAAAGACAGGCTCTATATAGGCTGTTTCAGGCTACTGCTTTTTTTTTTTTTTTTTTTAATTGTCCCTGTATATTGACAATAAATTATAATAATTTTCTTTTAATTTTTTTTTTTTTTATAAATATATATATTAAATATTATATACGTTAGGTAGTATGATAAGCAAAATGTATTCAAAGTGCTCATCGAAACGATCAAATATAATAATATTATTAATGTTAAGAGTAATTGCACAAGTACAAAATGTTGTCGTACGCCACATGTACGTACACAAAATACCAGCCCCACTAGACCGTAAAATAATAAAAATAGGTAACATAATATTGTGTTTTCTTCGAAATGTCAAAATTCTATTCTATTATGAAAATTATTTTTAAGTATTATAATATATATTGTAGGTAGATCGACAGAATAACATTCTGAAGCACTGCGATTAAACTCGTGTACAGTATTGTATTTTTAATTTTTTAAAAATTCTTATTTATATTTTTTGGTTTAATAATTTATCGTACTGCATAAGACTAAAACTAAAAAAAAAAAAAAAAAAAACAAAAAAAATTACTTTATCATTATAAATAACGGTTTCCGTGCACACTACTCGTATATATACCGGAGAAACAATTATTTTTTAAAAAAAATTTTTATAAAACCTAATACTATGTTATAAAATGTATTTAAATTTAGTTCATGTATTTTACACTAAATCCAAGCATCTGTAAAACATGAAATAATATTGTATGCTTATATTTTTTACCTTGTATGCGATTATATATATTATATTTATATACGTACACATTATTATATCTTATAATATTACAAAAAGAAAATTGTATTTTAACTATATTTTATCATGTAACATTTAAAAAAAATGTTAAAACGTGTTTTGTATGTGTTTATTTATTTTTGTTTGTACATTTTCATTGGTTTTTTTTTTTTAACTTGTTAAACATAACTTTAATGACGATGTTATTCAAAACTGATCAATAATCTTATATAATATTGTATCATATATTATCGTGTAAACGACTATAATTACATTTGCTGATTTTCATTTTGAATGAAAATAATAAATTATATGTAATTTTGTTTGAATTTTTGTTGATTGATTGGTATGTTAAATAAACACACCAAAAGGTGTCTAAAAAAATTTAATATTGAATTACAACTATTGAGTTAGGCTGTGCACACCACAACTCCAATACTGTGAGTTTTGAAAAAACAAATGAAAATCATGGCAAAAACTAGTGCCATTAGTAGTTACTAGAGTTAGGAAAATACGAAAATAGGAATTAAAAATGTTGAAAAACAACGTTAAAAACAAAAAAAATGAATTTATAGCTAAAAATGCAAAAAAAAATTAAAATATTCTAAATCAAGGGAACACGAAACAAATTTTTAGCTAAGACAACATTGTATAGAATCAAAGGGGAAAAAAAAGCAAAAGTCATCAATATCCTAACTCTAGGCATTACTATAAGACCATTTTATAAAATAATTATTAATTTTACTATCAATTATAAATGGATGAACTAAAGAAATAATGAATGCGAATTTACTGAAACTAGCACTATAACGCAAATCCGCATATAAATATTATTAAATAGGTTGTTTATTAAATGGTGCTCAATATGATACAAACATATAGAGTAAAAAAATAGTCATAAGTAAACAAAAAAAAGATGCGTTTTTTAAAAATTTCTGGAAGGAATTGAACGTCTAAATCCTCCCTGTATATGTGTCCAATTTCAAACAGTTGATTAGGTAGTTGTTTACAATAACCTACTAATGTAATTTCAAAAAGTTTGACTGAACATTAAATTAAAACAAAAATAACAACAGGATACTCAATCTAAACAGTTAGGATTTATATTTACTATTTTGTATTTATATTTTTAAATTGGAGTAGTGATACGTACCAGCTGTTTCATTAATACCTACCTATTTTTGCGAAACTGTTTTCATTAAAAAAAAATAATAATAATACACTAATAAACTAATAAATAAATAGAAACAAATAATTTTTCATTTCTTTACCTCGGCCCTGCATGTGTCAATTCTGAAAAAAAGAATTTGAAAAAATTGTATTATTTATTATTTTATTTTATTATTAATTGCATAAATTACATGTTGCAGTTTGAACTACTGCAATTCCTCGGGGATAGGTACAATAAAATTACAGTACTGCATGTTGGAGGCGCCGAAAATAGCCTGGGCCATGGCGACGACGGCTGACCTTTTGGGGGTGGGGGGGAGGACGTTTTCGTTTAAGAACGAAAAACAATATTACGATTAGTAAAATATACAATGCGAAAATCGTAACACTCGTAATACACTCGGCACGGAAATTTACATCCAATCACCGCCGCCGCCGTACGACTCGCCTACCACGGCGAACGTCGATATGAAATAATTTTTTTCAAATTGCCCCCCCAGTACCTATTTACAGATAACGGCATAAACAATTATTATCGTAAAAAACCTTACTCGGTGCGACAGGCGACAGCGCGGAAAACATTACACTCGTCTCGCGGCGATGCACAGTCGGTGGAAGAACCAGTTTTTCAAACACAATCAGTTCCAGAAACTCGCACAATGATCGCGATGGTGGACGGACAGAAGTCTGCAGACTGATCGCGATTACCTACTCCGGACCGGCGTACGTCGTTTTTGGTAGGAGGAAATATTTGAACTACTAGGAGACGTACCGAAAAAGATAGCGCGCAATCGATTCGGCGTTTATTGAAAAAAAATATTGTCACGCACCGGCGACGAGATCGGATCCGGGTATTATTTTTTACACCGCGAAACGTTTTTATTCCGCGCACGGAAGACGTTACTTATAAAATATGACGACATAGGTACGCGGTCCGTGAACGAAAAACATTTAACGGCCAGGCGTGCAAAGAAAATGGTCAATTGCGCGATGGAAACTGACCGAACGCCGCCGAAATAAACGACTAGTCACTAGACCCATGGCAGACGGGCATCCGGAAAAACCCTCGAATTCGACCACGGTTACGTGTCTATCGGTTACGTACCTAACCACCGCAACCGCGGTCGAACACCTACCTGCTGATTTAGAACAACCGATATTCTTCTTCCATTACTTATTAAACAATAACAATTGTGCCAACGTAAATAATTATAACAAGATGGGTGAAAAGCGAAATGATCAAGTGCTGAATTTTTTGTGCACGAGCAGAGGACGAAAATTAAAAAAAAAAAAATAAATATATGTTTAAACAATAAAGAAAAAGCCCGTAATATTTACGGCTTTGATCATAATTTGATATCAAAATTATTATAAACAAAATTCTATAAAATTCTTTTTTCCGCAAAGTACGACTTAATGAGCCTGCTGTTTGTTATCGTGATGAATCGGAAGGTTCTTACACAAGCAGTTCAGACGTGGTCCATGTTCTCATGTCGACCTTTGGTCTTCTAAAGCCTGGTTGAGGAAATGTTGGCAATTACCAAAGACCAGAGTTGCAATGAAAGATCGCTTCCACGTAGTATGTACCCTGAGCAACGTCATATACCTCAGATAGCTACAGATCTTTTTAACTTTTGGTAGTTGAGCTATCTCTACTGATCTCCCAGAATCTCCCATATGTCAGAAATAGCATCAGCAACAACAACAAATATTAAATATTTTCCGTTTTAATAGATTGCATAATACTGTGCGATAACTTTTAAGTTGAATTTTTTAAATTTTTATTTTTTAATTTCGGTGTTTGTCAAATAGTAATTAAACAATTTTAACAATGTTATTTTGAAATATTTTTTTTAACTATTATGTTGTAAGGGCGGCATTTTAATATCTGCCTCTATAGGCGATATATTCGTTAAAACAGGCACGGTATAAAGGCAGAGAAAATCAGTCGACCATACAATTGACACTAATTCTAATCGTGTAGGTTTCAAGTATTCGACGAGTTCACTCGTTAGCAATGGTTTACTGTTGCGTATAGATATAAATAACTTTCCACCGTATTTACAGGACGATACGGGGACTACCTTGAACATTTTTTTACTTTAACGCTGTTTTTTTTTGTTTTCATGACTTTTATCTGAATAGATCCAGAATATCCAAGCGACCGAACACAATCTCTATGTATATTATATTTGGTGTGTTTGTATATTATTATAAAATTGTATACATATTTTATTCTATATGAAGTAATTAAATAATATTATATAATTGTGTTTTTAATACAAAAATCAATGCATTTATTAATTTATAAATGTATGTTTTTTCCGTAAATGTTGATTAAGAGGTAACGCCAAATAGTTAAGAGATTGAACTTTTTTTTTTTCGCTCAACTCCAAATCTATATGGCTCACGGAAATGTTTTTTTCAAATTATTCGGCCCACCGTAGAAACTAATTGCCAACACCTTTGGTATAAACCCATAAAATAAATACAATATAGTAAAACCTTTAGTTATGTGAAATAACATACTATGAAGGGCACAGGCATCATATTTTGTTTTTTCTTATTTTCAAATAAATGAAAAAACCGGAAAAAGAAATGGAATTTTTAAAATTGAAAATTTTTTTTACTTGGATGATTATTTTGACACAAATAAAATATAAAATTCCAAATAAATCGAGGTTGATTCACAAATGAAGTATTTCAATATACTTACAATTTTTTCACATTTTCTGGAGCTTTTAAAAAAATAATGTTTTTCCAAAATTTTTCTGTACATTTTTCAACATTTCATTAACAATTTTTGGTAAAAATTATGAATTCCAAATACACAACATTTGTATGAATATTTCTTTAATGAAAAAAACATAATTATTAATTTTATATTTAAAGGGGCAACATTATAAACAAAAGTGAATATTACATTTTTAAAAACAAAAGCCTACATTTTTTACTATATAGTATATGGCATATTTTAATACTTTATACATAATGCATATAAATACGAGCCTAGCTATCAGTATTACAAACATTAAAACTAGATTTATTTAAGAATAATATTATCTAACTATCTATAATCATACAAAAAATGATATATATATATTACCATACCTTATGTCTGATTACAAAATTGTTTTATAATTAATTTCAGAAGTCGAATATAAAAAAAAAAATCTTCATTCAATTAGATGATGATAAAACTTATAGCAAAAAAACAGTCATAAATATATTATTAATTTTAATAAAACAATAACTAATAAATGGTATTTGAATAATTATGGATTGTTCATGCAAATTTTATATAATTTAAGTAATATTTATTGTAAATAATTGTGAATGGAGCAGTCACACTTTTTGAAAATTTTGAATTCAGAGATATTTAAATTGATTGAACTGAAATATGTGTACCTACTACTCTGAATAAAAATAAAAGCTCACAGTGAACATCAAAAGCAATGTTATTATTTGATGAGTTGAAAGAAATTATAGTTAATAAATTAGTATATCAAAAAAGAAAAGCTATATATATATATATATATAAATAATACTAATAATAGTAATAGTAATAATAATAATAATAGTATGTATGATAACAATAAATACACTGATAGCTCAACCAAAATTTTTTATTACAGTAATAAAAGTGTGCATTTTATTTATTATTTTTTGAAATATTTTTCATGTAATAAATTTGCCATTAATTCGAGATCTTCCAAATTGTCATTAACATCACGTAAATTTATCAAAGGTGTTCTTATTGGAATTTGGTTATCCGCAACCCCATTCTTATACAGCAAGGAAATCTGTTCACTGGTAAAAAAAAAAAAAAGTACATAATATTACTAAAAACAATTACAGTTGCTCTTCAACAAATGTATGGGTATGCTTACGTATTTCCACAGTACAAAGTCTTATGTAATTCATTTTGGAAAATGAGTCCACAAATTTCAATATTGCTAAAAGGAATCAACCACTTGACTACATCTTTTAACGTAACCAACACAACAGAATAATCGTATGGCGACTTGTTTATGAAGCTAATAATATTTCCTTGTAGTGTCGTAGACTTCACCTGTAACGAAAACATGAAAGGAATAAACATATCACAAATTATATTAAACAAATACAAATAGAATAAATAAATAAAACATGATACATATTAAATGATATTAATTTAAAAACAATCAGCAAAATTATAGAAAAGTTAGAGTATCACTCTAAAATTGTACTTCATTATCAAAAACGTTTAAATATTAATCAAATACCTTCTTATAAAATAAAAATATTAATTCTGAACTCAGAACTGATAAATTATAATAATACAAATTCAAGAATAATATTTAAATATGGTTTGATGTCTGATGTTCTTTTATTATTAGATTCCCAGTAAAATGAGAATGTATTGGATTTACCAAGTTTTATTTTATTTCTTAACTAAAAACTCTATGATAACTTCCATATAGCACTTTTAATATTATTTATGCATTGGGATCGTTTTAATTTATTGATTTCTTGTAGTTTATCTTAATAAATCGGTAAAAATTTATAACATCTCTCTTAAAACAGTGGAACACCTATCAGCACTATCAACATTTTTTTTAAAATACAAAATTATTAATGCATATTTTTTTATTCAAAAAAAAATTATAGTACAATTAATCTAATCCAAAAAAAAATATAGTAATATTGTAACTGTTTAATCTTTCATAACAGTTCATAACAAAGTGTGAAAAATAAGAGCTGATACTGGGGACGGGTGCGGCCACTGTTGTAAGTGAATGGGAAAAGGTAATAGTGGGGAAGGTAGAATACATTAAGTTATTTAATTTATACCTGTAATCAATGGCATACAATTGATAACATAAAAGGATTCGAAATTTAAGTTCAATTATGTTTTGAAAGGTTATAATATTTACAATTATCATCAAAATTTAATGTTAAAACTTATATATATAAAAAAAAATAAAAAACACAAGAATTTTTTTTACTACTAAGTATGACTTACAATAAACCTATTCAATTTTTAAGCATTCCTGTTAACTCCTAACAATTTATTTACATAGTAAAATATATGTATAAAAACTCTCAAAATTTAGATGTCTATAAATACCTAGCTCCAAAATTCTTCAAATGATCTAAAAAAGTTTTACTATGTCTAAAAAAAGTAAATACTAGTTTTCAGTCAATTGTGTAAGGGTTTATAGATATTTTAAACTGAATTCATTAAAAGAAAAAAAAATTAATTAATAAAAGAATTATTTTCATTCATTTTCCCATTTCTTCTACGTATTTTTCAGTTTTGCTTAATTATTAAAAAAAACTACAAAGAAAATCAAAATACAACTAGATCACAAACTAAATTACAAAATTCAACAAAAAATGTCTCTTTTTTTGTTTTTCTATTGTAGCAGTATTTCTGGTAGGAAAGTATAAATTGAACATATTATAAAATAATTAAATCAGGACACTATGTTGCAGTAAATATTTATCAATTTTAATTGTTTTACCCAATAATTAGAAAAACTACTTTGAATATTGAAAAACGACTTACTCTATCAGTGGGGAAATAATATTAAAAGAAACATAATCAACCTCATATTATTCTTGGATCGGAGAAATATTTCTGATAGAAAACATCTGATAAGCATAATAAAATCAAAACCGCAAGGGGCTGTAAATATTTGAACCTAACCTATAATTTTCTTTCTGGTCTTTCCCAATATACAAAAAAAAAAAAAAAAAACCCCCCAATAAAACCAATAAATCTCTTGCTACACTACTCCAAATATTAATAATTTATTTGAATTACACACCATAAAATTTAAATTATACTTTACAATTATTTTTCATTTTTGCCTTATGGTTGGTGTATGGAATACATTGAATTATTATTGGGTTTAGTTAAAATGTTGCAAAAGTCCAACAAATGTAATGAAACTACCTAATATCCTCAATCAATGTTAAAACTCGAAAATCATGTTCCGTTTCACAAGAGAAGATAACTGGACAGCAACTAAAACACATATTAACATACCAGTAACTACAAAACAGCAGAGCTCGTTCATTTAAATGTGCAAACGAGTAGCGTTCTCTTGTGGAACAGAATATGTATACAAAAAAATTAATAACGGGTAATGTCCGTACAAAGAACATTTTGAATTGAGTAGTCACTACTTTTACCCACATAAAAATGAATGACTGAGACATTATTGATTTATTATTAAATAATTATCAATTAATAACCTCATATGCAAGTTGAGATGATGATATTTGCCAATCGCGTTCTTGAATTCTGATGAGTTCTATAACAGAAGTGTCTTCCGATTGTGTTGCAGGATCTGAGAAAGTGTCTACAATTTTAAATTCTGGTGGCTTGACCTTGTTTTTTGCATTACATTCCTGAGTATTTTGAGAAACCGAATCTATTAAAGTCATCTGAGGTGTCACAGAATTAGTATTCAGTAGATTAGGTTGAGGCAGTCTATGATGGGCCTGAACATTTGTATTATCTTTATTGAGTAAGCTACTATTAACTGTGGTATGGTCATTGTATAATAGCAACGGATTCCTGATGAATTAAAAGTTATTATTTTCATAGTTATAATATATAATTAAACCAGAATTCCAAAATTACCTAATGGCAGATTGATTCCCGCCAACACCAAATGAAACATCAAAATCACTTGCATTGCTAGGTTGTCGATGGTTTGGTAAATTCTAAAAAATCCAATTAAATAAAACATCGAAATTATTATAATTTGACAAATACTTTTTACATGACATACTTTTAGAAACCATGGCTCTAAACAACAGGTATATAACAGATGTAATAGGACTATTTACCTAATATAATAACTTTTTTTCTACTGATTTCTTTTCAATCATTATTGCATCTTGATATTTGGCCAAAAAAATTTAAAATGAAAAATGTAAGAATTGGTTTTAAAATTTATTTAAAAGACATTTTGTAAATCTGATTTTTTAGAAAAGTTTTAGTTTCAAAAACTTTCACTGAAGTCGGGTTGACAATTTTTATATTAATTTTATGAAATTTTTTGAGTCCTTAAATGCTTAAATTGATTTTTACATGAAATATTGTCAACACTTATCATTTATCAGATATAATTATCGCCAGTATAAATTAGCAAAAAAAAAATTTTAATTTAAATAAAATACTTATTACTAGACCACTAATTTAGGTATTCACTTAAAAATACTAAAAAGTTCATAAATCATCAAAATAGCACTTGAAAATATTTAAAAAGCAAATGGTAGACAAGTTTTATTAAAGTACACATTCTGATGGTTCTCACACCATTAAATAAATATTTCTAACACTGACAAATGATTAACACTAAGTATTTAATTTTTTAACATGTACAAAATTTATTTGAAAAAAATTACTTTGAAAAAAACATTTTTTTGGTGTTAAAAAATTATTTCTAATATATTAGTAATAATAGAAGAGAAAACCTTTGAATTCCTCTACATTTATTGCTCTTTTAAATATTTTTTTTTAAATAATTTTTAGAGCTTTTTAACATTTTTAAACGCTTTTTTATGAATTTTAAGTACATATAAATCCGGGCCCTACTTATTACATTTGTTAAATAGACCTATTACATTCTGTATAATAACAAAATAGCACAACCACAAATAACAAATATCAAAAGAAGAAATCAATAGATCAAATTTAAAATGTTTACAGTGTCCCATGCAGATCTAACAAATGCAAAATGACAATTAAAACCAATTTACATTAACATAAACTTCAAAAAATAGTATCATTCGATTCACAAATTTTTCAATGAAAATAATAAAAACAAATTATATAACTAATGATTCATCATTAGTAAATATTAGCAACACTGAAATTGTAACAAATTTTAATTTTATAGTTTTAGTTTTAAAAAGAATATAAAAGGAAGGATTTGTAGCACAAATCTTTAGAAATTATTATTACAAGAAAAAAAAAAAAAACTTTAAAAATATCAAACATCATTGCATTTATTAAATCTTTGTAACTCATCCTGTACATAAAAAAATATAAATATATTTAATCAAAAGCAGTTAATTGAATAACAATATTTTAGTACAAACCAAACTCAAATTTGATATAATTGGCGATTGTGGTGGTAGTAGTGGTAGTGGTTCCACTATTTGTTGCTCATATGCAGATGATGTTGTCAGTATGTTTGATTGTATTGGTAGTGGTGCTACTCTTTGCAGCTCTGAAGTTGGTGAGTTTGATTGTGTTGGTAGTAGAACTACTGTTTGAAGCTCAGTAGTCGGTGAGTTTGATCGTGTTGGTAGTAGAACTACTGTTTGAAGCTCAGTAGTCGGTGAGTTTGATCGTGCTGGTAGTAGAACTACTGTTTGAAGCTCAGTAGTCGGTGAGTTTGATCGATTTATTTTTTTTGCATTTATATAATCATAATAATATGGCTTCTTAAACCAGCTGTCGCTTGGAACTTCTTCAGTCTTTGGACAATGCAAAAGTTGACTTAATTCTATAGTTTCTGAGGGCCAAAAATCTTCAAAAGTAGTTTCTAGCTCAAAATATTGTATGATATTATCTAAACTGACAACTGCACATGAACTTTCACTGTAGAATTCTGCTTTGATATCTTGAACTCTACAACAAAACTTAAGGTATGTCAGGTCCCAACCTTCTAATTCAAAAATGTGATCCTTTAAGTTTTCGATTTGTCCTTCAAAAAAAAATAGTGGAACACACTTGTGTCCATCTTTCTTGACAAACGGCACATACGAATTTATTTTTGAATTCAAATATATGTGTATGAAACCAAATTTTTCTTTATTGGATTGTATTTTACTAGTAGATTTCTTCAATTTTTTGGTACAACATTCTAAGAATGCATAAAGTTCTACAACGTCCTCTAAACGGACTATAAAATCTTTGTTAGTGTAAAAACTTTCACTACCGTACACATTGTCGCAGTGTTCTGAATTTATAACGGTCAAAAGATTAGCTTCATAATTTGAAATAAAAAAACTGTCTATTGACAAGCATTTATAAAAAATATCCAAGTGTAATGTTTTTAAATATTTGGTAATGTTGACCATTCTGGTGGGCACAAAATATTCATGCTGGTTGACATTGCGCATAATGAACGGAATGCTCTCATGATCACTTATAGGATTCCAACCAAATTTTCCTACTTTCATAATAATTATTCAAATAAATAATTAGATTCAAATGTACAGGATGATTATTCTATCACAAACTAGCATTTTTTCTACAAAGATGGAGTAAATTTTATTTGAATTATTTTTTTTATTTGTCATAAAACTGTTTAATGACCTTGTTACCAATATTTTCAAAATGTAATTTTAAACCATAAACATGAAACATATATTATCAATGTTTGATTTACCCATGATTTAATCTAAACACGGGTGTTTTATATTATGAAATTAATATTCTTCTCTAGTCATATAATCTAAGTTTGAATCTGTAATAATTGTACAACACTTATAATTCACTAAAAGAATATTGTAATCAGATATTAGTATTATGCATAATCGAAATTTAAAAACAAAGATATCAGAGATTTACAGACATGTGTTGCTAATTTGACAACTGTATTTGTAAGCATAATAACATTGTGAAGCTATTGTAAGATTAATAAATAATTGACTGAAAAAAAAAAAAAAAAATCAAATTTATCTACACTCGAAATATTTGTAGATATCACTGGTTCATGACAAAACAATCATTTATTCAATAAAAAATAAAATAATGTATTTGTTAAAATTATTTCTAAATAATTTACCTTCTACACTAAGTTTGTATGATTTCATTGTATTTCTATCTATTTCTGAAAGGTTTTCATCTCCGTTACCATCATCTGTAATGTTTCACAATGTATTGTTTTTATAATAATAATAATAATAATACTATATGTATCTATAACATAAAATAATTATAACAATTTATGTTTTAATACCGTTTTAATAATGTTTTAATTTTATGGGTACCTTCAAAAATATAATATCAATTATCAATATTATTTCAGTTTTCATGATATATCGACTCACAATTTCAAACAAATATTTCATAACCAAAGTTATCAAGAGATAATTATAATAAATTATAATAAGTTAAAAGTGAAATTATAAATCAAATAAGATGGATATACTTCGCACGACAGGTGAGCTACTAATGTAGTTGAGAAGTTGGAAAGGTAGGATATAGAAAGGAATTTAATGTTTATCTGTACGTAACAATTAATCATTACTGAAATTAAACGACTCTGAACAAAGTTCAGGTTAAACATGATTTAATATTTACGATATTCATTATAATTATTAAAATTATTAAAATTATTATTAAATAATAAAAAAAAAAAAAACACTACATAAAACCTAAAGATTTTCTTGTTGGTCTAACAATTTTATCCCGAGTACCTACCGAATAAAAATTATGAAAAAAAACTCCCAAAATTAAAATATCTATAAATAGTTCAAAAAATGGCTCGTGTTTTTGAAAATCTTACCACATTTAGAAAAAAACAAATACAAGTTTTCCAAATTTCAGGTCTCTACGAACACATTTTTAACTAAATAACAAAAAAAAAAATTTAAAATAATAAAAGCATAAATAAACACCACATGAACTGTATTTGTATAATATACTATTGTTTTATATAAACTGTTAGTTCAAATGCAAATTTTTAAAATAATTACGAAACAATTTAAAATATCTTATTGTATTAGTAAGTGCCAAAATATTCCTAATTTATTATTATAGGTTGTAATACATTTAATATTTAATATTTGTAAAATAAACTTCCATAGTGACGTAGTAGGTACAATTACCAGTTCCATCACAAATGATCTTGCCACTTAAGTGCGCCACACATTAATTCACAATATTAATCACTTGTCGCCAACACAAGAGCACCCTACTTTATACTACTGTGGCGGTCAAGTGGGAGTCGTTAGAGAGTGGAGGACCGTGGAAGGCATAAAAGCGGCACACGCACAATTTTTACGACTTTTCTGGGTTTGTCAGGCAGGAGGAGCACATTACCTTTAGCGAACTCACTCCCAACTTACTAACATTCTTACAAATCTATACAACCGTAAGAGGGCTGTTATATTTGGTTATTCCACACCTCCTACAAACTGGTAGTTGTACCGGTCGTCACTTTGACTTTACCATAATATATCTCTAAACGTGTACCTCTAAGTTTTCTTATACGTAAAAATACGCAACACATTGCCACCCGACTGGTTAGATTACACGAGCTCAACAAATCGCGGCTAGTGATGGCCTTGTTGTCTATTCGTGGGATACTTATTGAATATTATAACTGAATAGTTCCATATCATATTTACAGATAATATCAAGTCTATTTTTTTGGTAAAATATAGTTAGCGTACATTGATACAACGAACAAAAACGCTACCTCCATACGCTCTTCATTCTTGTTGTACATATTACAGACAATTCGTTACACTAAGAGCACCGTCGTCACTAATTCAATATCCGAGGGCCTTGTACAGCCGAATACATGCACCCAAACAGTACAGTGGTTCCGGTGACGGAAGTGTCGGAGGACCCATTTAGATCAATTTAAATCAATTACTGTTTACATTGTAACGCGATTCATCAAGACCTACAAGGTAAGCGTACTCATATTTTGCTCCTTGCATTTGAGCAGCGAACTTCAATCTGGCGAATACCCGAATAAGTGATAACTATCGTCAGGAACGTACACAGGGTGGGTGTTTTGGGTGTTCAAACACCCCCCCCGAAAAAATTTGGTTTTTTGTGCGGTTACTTAGTTATTCAATTTCAATGTTAATTTATACATTAATTGACAGGTATACAATTACATTTTTTCTGTAAAGAACCGGCTAAAGCAAAATAAAAATTTAATGCCAACACAAACTACAAGGATTTATAAATAAAATAAAATAATACCTTTTTGTATTGACCGTGGGTAGAAAAGAATTCTAAAATGTACACCACAGGAAATACCTGAGCTAAACATAACGGAACAATTACTGTGGATAAGGGTATTGTAAATAATGAGAACATCAGAGGACTTAATAGCCGAAATAGTCACGAGGCGAAGACAAGCTCATTCGAGTTTTACATGCTAATTTATCTCACTAATTCTACATTTACATTTGGAACAGGCATAATTTGGCCATGCCAAATGAAAATCGACCAATAACCTTTACCGAAGCTCTAGAAAGTTGATGCAAACAAATGCGATTCAACACTGTACCAATCATAGCTCATCGATTTTCGCGTATTGGTACTACGCTCCCATGTATCCGTAGCTACAAGTGAACGCTCGTTTTCTTCCATTCGCAGCTTAAAAACGTATTTACGTAACAGGCGAAAAAAATATTAAAATGGATTAACATCGTTAAATGTACACGGGGGAGTTAATCGTGAAGGTATTCCTAACACAACGGTTAAAACTTCGCGAAAATTAGTAAAGTACAGCTAATTTTCATAAACAAAAAAATGTCGCACGTTGATTAAAAAAATTCGTACTTTCCAAATAACTGGATTTTCAAAAAAGACGCCACGGAAAACTTTTTTCCGCACGCGTCCCCGGACCACGGTATTTACGCGGTAGGACGTTGACCGTGATGAACAGGTGCAAAAGTGACAACAGATATCCCGCGATAATAGGGGTAGTACACGGCGGCCGACCGTCAACAGAAATACAACGACGGGTACGCGGCGTTTTATATCGACACACGATAATACGCGTCACGCGAGATCATTAAAAAAAGAAAAAAAAAACACAAATCGCGGAACCGATATCTCGTTTAGAACAATAATCAAAACACGGTAATAATAACAGATTGCGCGCGGTATTATTGAAATTCCGGCGCGTCGCGGATCGGCGACGTGACGCGACGCGCGCGCGCCGCGCCGTGCCACACAACACCACGTCGTCCGTCGGCCGGCGAGCGCGCCGCGACCCGTGACCCGTGTGCGTGTTCCTCGACCACGTGTTAATAATAACATCCGTAATTTTTTTACCCGCGTTTTTATTACGCCCGGGCGTGCACACGCAACACACGTCGTGTTAATACGCTCCTAATTAGTTTACGAACGGCCTACAAACAATTAATACCGGCATGCCGGTCAGTATTTAAGACGCGACAAACCAACGACACAATAATACCGCTGGTCGCCGTGTTTAAAATACACGGCTGCGCGCATTATTATCATCGGATCTATGACCTCACCCTTATCTCCCCGCGTTCATTTTGTTCTTGTTTATATTCCGCGAAAAAAAGTCACCACCACCACTATGTACCCGAGCAATATTTTCTTAATAGCCGGTGCCAGAGAGTATACGGCGAATTTAATTTTGTTAACTGGCGCCGTGCGACACACGTCTCGATTTTAATAAACACACGCTGAAACGCCATTTAATTGGAAACGTCCGTAATTTACATTGCAGATTATAACTTGAGAACTAAAAGATCTAAAAGAACAAATGCAAAATCGAACAAATCCGGGTTCTAATTTAAACGTCTAAGACTATTATAAAGTATCGATATTTATGCCTTGCTTACAACCCGAAGATATTTTCAAACCCTTGCTGAAATTTTTGAAAGCGTATTAATTTATTATAGTAATTATTATTTTTAATTGCAATACGTTAAAGACGAATCACTCAGATAAAAGATTTGGAACCAACCATATCTCCTTTCTGCACATATTGTATCAAAAATTAATTTTTATCGATTATTTCATTTACGAATTATTTGATTCAGATACTTCATACATAGCCGAATTCGGCATGAAAAACTAAATAATTTTGATATAAGATACTTCTATCTAGCGGTAAAATCGCGTATTATAATTTATAAAATAAATGAAAACGGATAAATTGATAAACAAATTAATAACTAATTAAATAGATATAATATGGTGTAATTATTTTAGTTTTGTTTGATACTGCATATGTACTGTTGAGTAAAAATTAAATTTTGAGCTATTTCAGGGGCAAACAGAGTCCAAACATTTTTTTTTCATGTCGTCTTGACTACAAATGTACACATATTTTTTTTTGAAAAAAATGCATGCAGAAGAAATATTATTAAAAATCAAACTTTAATTTATTATAGACACATGTCATATTTTAAAGGATTTCAAAGTTTGTTTTCCAATACTTTAACCTCCGATTAAAACATATTTATAAAATTACTTGATCCTTGATACTTAACCTATCCTAACCTAACCTAACATGACCAGTGATCAAAATAACTCATAGAGAAAACAATAACTTAATATTGTTAAATTCCATAAAATACTCAGCTATCTATCACCATTTTAACTGATAATTCAATGGACTCCCAACAAGAAAAGATCCATCCATAGGTTAATAGGTTAATGGTTTTAACTTGTACTATCCAAAATATTTATGGCATGGAAAGGAAACAAAAGGCCGTATCATTCAAGAACCAAAAATTAAAGCCTATGTCCTCTATACATTCTTTTATTATCTATGGAAGGGATAACAAATTTAATTTGTTCAATGTGCCAATTTATCATACAATTAAAAAAAAAAAATGTTGCAACCGTGCCAGTAGTTATTTTTTTTAGGTATTATGTATATTATTTAAGATAATTTTAGTAACAATATTATTATGATGATCATTATTTATTAACAGACAATTTGTTTAAAAATATACATTTTACATTTATATCAAGTAATTATAAAACACGAACTTGTTGTTTATAAAGAACCTTTAGCATAATTTTACTGGATATTTTTTTTTTTTTAGGTCTAGGTGACGTTTTCGATTGCAACTTCCTTGGTTTATCTGTTTCTAGTCTTGGAGTACACACGATTTATTACGAAAAGACTTGTAAGCATAAATTGAAGAGAAAATTATTGACAACGAAATCGCAAAATTGACAGAATAACTAATTTTTAATACACTATCGAAAATTAGTTTTGTTAATATGTGCAATCTAAGTTAATATATAATATGGGCACATGAAAGTCCTTCCAGAGTCATTGAGAATTTCTCTCGTGCCAAGTTGTCACGCATGCCACTTATTTGCTATCTCTGGTCTATGGTCATTTTGCCACGGACATAAAAAACGCGCAGTCTTTCTATTTTAACTTTTCGAGATCAGAGTAATCACAACGCTACGGTGTCCTTAATAGTGTGGTGTTACTGGCCACCAGGCCACCACCTGCTTCTATTAATAAACATTAAAAATATAGACGACCTAATATATAACCCAATAGCCGACAGGTAAGATGTTCCCAGGAAGCGTACTAATGGTTCCCTACTCGAAACACGAGCTAGACACAAATTAAATTCTTCGATTGCCTCTTTGATTACTTTCATAAGTTTATTACATCGATAACAAGATTTCAATGATAACAATAATAAACGTAGTACTATGTTTAGTGTAATTCACTTGTTATCTAATCCCGATTCTGTTTCAAGTCAATGTCCAAATCGTAAACCTAAAAACCTACTAGTTGGTCAATGAAAAATGACCACCGGTTAAGGATAAAGCCGAAAAATAATAAGAAAATATACTTACTTGTAATGTCCTAAAGGTGCAAGTGTCTCGAGTGTAAACCAAAAGTCGATGAAAGACGACCACGACTGGTAGGTTAGATAAAGCAGAAAAAGAATGCAAACCATTATTATGGCCGTCGAATTCGAACCGATTGCAGTATATTGATTACATGGACGTCACGTTAATCAATTGAATCACTATCATATACTTGTTGAGTTAACTGATGTCTACTTAATATCTAGGTTTATACTATGATATATATATATAAGTAAAACTAGCGTAATTTTGATTTTAAAGGAAAATTAGCCATTATTAAATTTATAGAGAACAATAGGAGGGAATATCATAGGTGTTTTTTTTTTTTGAATTATTAACTGTTAAAAAATTACATTTAAAAACAATGTAATTTTTAATAATAATTATAAAGATTTTTGAATGTTTTATACTGAGCTGTATATTTTAAATAATACAAAAACACTACGACATTCCCTCCTAAATATTGTTCTCTATAAAATACGATTCGGGTAAATTGTTTCGGCTAAAATATTTTCGGTGTTTTTTACGCGCTCCCTGACATTCAATCCAAAATATTGTTCTCTATAAATTTCATAATGGGTAATTATATCTCAAAATCAAAATTAAATTAGTTTTACTTCTTCTGCGTAAGCATTGGTTTAGCATGTTACACGGTAGTTGAACCAAGACAGTAGATGCGGGTATAACACATCTTCTAAACGGATACCTACATCGTAATAAATTTCAGTATGCGAAATTTCAGGCAGATGGGTCCAGTGGTTTGGGCAAGGCTATGATAAATCAGTCGGTCAATACATGCTATTTTATACATTACATAAATATAACGGATCTAATGAATATATTATTATATTGTTTTTTTTGTTTCATATCAATAATATTTATTTTAATAAATCAGTTATGGAATACTGCAACCTCGGTAAGAGGCGGATTATTAAAACCAACCCCAACTTTTTTATTTTTAATGGTTGCTGCCAACGAATTGGAAAAACTGATACAACTGGTAGAAATAATACGCCACTTTTAAAATTAGGAATTACCTAATTATTGATGAAAAAAACAAATCGATTAAAAAGGCAACGGAAGTGAAATGTTTACGGGGGTTATGTATTATTTCATGTGTGCTTCGTGACGGACAGTAAAATTATCCAATCGAAGAGCAATATTATTCGCAAAACACAATACAATGTTACCTACAAATAAAATAACCAATAGAAAAATTAATTTCAATATAATTTGTGCCAAACGGTAAAAAAAAAAAAAACGGTTATTATCACAACTAAAATAAACGACAGTCATACCTTACTTTCGTAGAGATGGCCAACTGTATTAAAACTATACTCCGTCCCATATAAGAATGCACCGCTCGGCGCGTCCAAATGTATCGCGTAACGACGTTCTGCCCACTTGGCCGAGTCTATTCGCTTTACGATTGGTCGCCGTAAGTCGGCTGCGCGAGTTTTGACAGATTATCGTCCGCCGCCTGGTGTGTTCTTATTTATAACGGAGTACAGTTTTCAAATACATACCTAGGTTTTAATGGTTTATCATATTTCAACGTTCCCTCAAATCGATAACAGTCTTCAGTCACAGTAGTAGCAGTTAGTACTTGGGAAGTAAGAAAAAACTAAACAATTTATTCCAAGTAGACAGGCACTGATAATGTCCGTTTATTTTATTAGTGATGTTAACATAGGCTTATACATTTAGACGCAATATTTACTCCGCGGACAGGGAGTACGCGTGGTCGGTCCGAATGGATCAAGCGAGATAGGCCGATATAAAAAGCCTAAAGAGAGTAAACTTGCATAAAACTCCACCCACTGGATCGCATTTCATCCTGAATGTTCAGTCCAGATGTATAAGTCTAAGGATATAAACAGTTTTTTTTTTTATACTGCCTCATACCTAGGTAGGTACACAATACAGCCCTGCACGGGCCGAGCCGTTTTGACCCGGCCCGGAACCGGGCTTGGGTGCGCACTTGTAAGTTGTCTGGGCCGGGCCAGGCTTACAAGATCATATTTCAATTATGAACGCGGGCCGAATAAGAAGTGCACTTATCAAATTTTATACGAATTTCACAAATCTATTAATAACTTTAGTATTTCCAATAGGTATTAGCTAATAGATTAGGTATTAAGTTATCAGTTCACTTCATAAATTCTTAATGTGGATTATATTTCATTTATCGTTTTTGTTTTCGACATTTTATGCTGTTACCTGTTCTTATAACTGAATAGTTTAACAGTGCAGTCGACAGACAAGTAGACGGCAGTGTGAGCTGTACAATATAGATAATAACGAGAATAGTTTTGAAGAACATAATATAGGAATATCTAATAATCCAGTTTCAATATCGACAAATGATAAAAGAAAACATAAAACTACCATACAAAATAAAATTAAAACTGGGGAATGCATTTTTGAAACGAATAATGATAAAGTACAACTTCTCAAAGACACAGGTTATATATCTTGTATAAAACGCAAAACAATTTTAACATACAGTAGTTTAAGCGGAGTTTCTCACTTGAATAGACACAAATGCCAACTTTTAAATCAAAAAAGTATTGATACGTTTTTGGTGAAAAAACACAAACCTAATATTCTTCCCAAAGTCGCTTGTAAAGCAGATGACCGTTGCATTAAGTTTTGTAGTTTAGATATAAGACCATTTAAAGCAGTAGATGGTGAGGGGTTCAAACAATTGTGTCAATTTTTAATTGATACAGGTGCTAGATTTGGAGAAATTGATGCAGCTGAATTAATGCCACATCCAACTACTATCTCGAGAAACTGCTTAAAATGGTAGAAAGTTTAAGAAGTGAACTGTTGATAAATATTTTACCTTATTTTAATGATAATCGTTGTGCAGCTACTTACGGACTTGTGGACCGACGATTTTAAAAATATAGGGTAAATAGCAATAACCATACATTATATAAATGATGAATGACTACTTAAATGTTGTGTTAAATAATTTCAGATAGATAAAAAAAAAAAACTGGCAAAAACATCAATAATTGTCTCAAAACATTTTTTGAGGTTTGGACTAAGAATGGCTCTCAAAATTAATTTGGGTAACGGATCGTGGTTCAAATATCGTTAAAAGCGTTAGAAAACTATACACGTATGAATTGTTCAGCACATGTTTTACACAACATTTTACAAGCAATATATAATTTAACAGAAAAAAAATCAACAGAAAATAACGATGCAGAATTACAATGTTTAAAACCAGTGGATATATTAATGTCAGCAACTAAATCATTGGTACGGTGCATGAAAAAGTCTGGTGATAATAATTTACTCTCCTCCAAACTATTACATAACATGTTGAAACTAGATGGTACTCAAAAGTAATAATGTTTCAATCAATAAAAAGTATATACCAAAAAGTAATTGAGCTTTATGGCCATAACAATAAAAGAATCAAAGATATAAACATTGATTTACTAAACCAGTTAATTGATTTTTTAAATCCCATTTAAAGAAGCATCAACTCAATTTGAAGGTGAAAAGTATTTTACAATTAATTTAGAGTCCTATATCGCAGTAAGTTGATAAAACATTTAGAAAGTTATAAGCCTAGTACACAAATTGATGAAACTTCAAATATTTTAAAAATATTGGGTACACGATCTCTTTGTACAATGAAAAGTAAATTTAAACTTCATTGGAATCATGAAATTGCCTTATTTTTGTTTCCACCATACCTTGAATTTTTAGTTAATCTAATTTAATATTACCTATAATACGATTTTTTTCACTTGGATACTTAAGTATGCAAAAGTATGAAAATGATGAGAGAAAGTGAAAAAAATCGTATTATAGGCAATATTAAATTAGATTTACTAAAAATTCAAGAGAGCCAACCAAAAAACCCTGTGATCATCCAGAACTATTACCTTCAACAAGTACATCAAATGTATTTTCAGATTGGGAAGATGATTATAGTGAGTTTGATGTTACATCTTCATACGAGGATGAACTTAGGTCTTATATTAGAAACACAAAAAAGTTTGACAAAATTGAAAACTTATTAGTGGTAAAAATCTAAAAAAAAAAAAATATTTTACCGACAATGGCTAAATTGGCAATGAGGATTCTTGCTATACCAGCAACAAGTGCTGCAAGTGAAAGGGCATTCAGTTCAGCAAGTAGAGTGATCGAAGAAAGAAGATCATGCTTGAAAGCAGAAACTATTGATGCATTATTATTTTTAAGAGATTATCGGAAATAAATGTAAATAAATATTTGTAATCCATTGTAGTATTTTTCGTAAGATGAACCGGGCCGGGTATATTTTTCATTAAGATGAACCTGGCCGGGCCGGGCTAAATCTATGTAAACAAAATATTGGACGGACTTGGGATTTAAAAATCAGACCCGTGCAGGATACTAGTAAACAATACGATTTATTTCCACGTCGCAAACTCCCATTTTGCCGACAACCTATTTTGTTGACTATCAAACTGGAAATTAAAAACCTTCACACTTCGCAGACATACCATTATACCAAATACATAAATCAGTTACATTATTATTTCTAATTGGTGATTATTTGTGAGAAACTGATAAGCAATAACGAATTTGTAGATACTATTGAATAATATTCGATTATCCGTATAAACATCAAACAATTTATTCAAATAACTTAATCGTATTTTCGTAAATTATTAAAATAATTTATTCGTTCGTGGATTATTAGATTACTATAATGGTTGCAACCAATATACCTACCTAAATAAACAAACAGTAAAAGAACCAAATTACACAATCACTGCGCATTTTATGCCAGTGGACACCTTCATTGAATTCATAATAAGATTTAATAACAAATTACATTCTGCGATTATATTAAATTCTATAGAATTTCAATATGTATAATGTAAATATTGTCAATAGCAAAATAGATTAATGGTGGTCAATGATAAATATTAAAATTTCAAATTTTTACAAATAGGTAACCATAGAAACCATAGATAACATAAGAATTGTTATGTTATCAATGATAACAACATTATTATAAACATGTTTGTAATAACCTTAAAAAAGGCATCATATAGTCTTTTTCTCTTCCCTAAAAAAAGACAACGACCCCATTCATAGCCAGTACAGACGACGAGCGTCTAGAGACAGCGCCTTTTATCACCTCTTTTTTAATCACAATCACATAAATTATCTGATCACAGAATCATAACATTGAATCATGGGAGTAGTTCGTGCAATTAAATTTAATATATTGATAGTCATTTGCACCATCTAATATAAAAAAAAAAAATATTTTTTAAAAATTGATCCAAGTCAGATATAAGCTAAATAAGAGGTTTTACTTATCTGTAAATTCTTATTTTTAAAAACAAACATTAATTGTAGAAGAGAAAAAGAAATTAGTTATTTGTAACATGTATTTATAACTAAGATTTTAATTACATGCAATAAAAATAACTAGAGCGTGTAAAATAGATAAAAAGCTAAATAATTAGCTTATTTACACATTATTTTATAATTTTTAATAATATTCAAATAAATTTGGGTTGCAGTGTAGAAATAACATATTTTTAAATTTGATGTCAGGTTAAGTGGAATACTTCATCATAATGGTTTTGTCCATATTGATTTTTAAACCTCTATGTTGGACATAATGTGTAGAAATAACCAATTCCTCCAGTTTCTTTCCAGTTATTAAATTCTAAAATTAATTTTAACAGGTATATTTCGTATAACAAAGCGTTATAAACTTGTCCTTGAAGTAAATCAAGGATGTTTCAAAATTAATTTGTATGTTATGATTCTGTAATAAGGCAATTTACGTGATAATGAGATTAAATACAAATTGTGATTACAAAAAAGTGCTGACAAAAGACAGTCTTTTTTTTTTTTTTTTTTACCGTCTGTGGGTCGATTCTTGAATCTCGTAAATGAAATTTCGTATACAGCAAATTGCGTTTGTCACATGAAAACGAAAAAGATGAACGACAAAATTGTTTTGTCTATTCTTGAATATGTAACGATAAATCTATACGAAAAAGATGTGCGTAAAAAGGTTTTGAGGGTTTATGGGGTACGACTCCACTTTCACACGATTTTTTTATTAGTATCCTTTGTTATCAGCAATTTTAACCAAATTGTTAATTTGTAGTTATTTGTTTTTTAAAAGAACTGATCATTTTAATGATCTCGCAGCTGTATAAGGCTTTTAATATGATTAAAGCTCAAATAATCGAAGGCGTGGGTCTAAATTGATGTATGATACATTTACTCAATACGAAAACTTATTTTTGAACATTTTTAAATGAATTAAAGTTAGGCAACTACAATAGCTTTTAACAGTCATAAATTGAACCAGAAAGAAGATCTTTAATTATACCGATCTCTCTAACGCCAAATGATAATTTTATAATTGAAAGTTTATCTTAACTATAAAAGCAAGTAAAATAGGTACATTTCCTTTTGGTGATTTGAACAATATATTTTTTACGTGTCTTCTATTATGATCATACTAATATTAAAATATTAATATTAGGAAAAATTAATTATATTAAAATTATAAAAACCAGTAAGTACCTACAAAACGTTGATCAAAAAAACAGATAGATTGTGGTAGTCTTGTCACAATTCTTATCATATAGCATTAGTTACCAATATAGTTCATGTCAAAAATATTTCGTATGTGACAAAATACAGTGGAACCTCTATAAGTCGAATTTTCGATAACTCGAATTTTTTTTTCGCCCCTAACAGATTCGAGTTATCGATGTTCCACTGTAATTGCGTTTCACAATCAAATACTGTGAAAAGTTCAAAAATAAGTATTTCAGATGTCGTACGACAAAAACTCAACGAAAAATGTTCCACGAGTGATTTTTTGAACAAGATTCAGCAATCGACATCCTAGTGGACACGCATATATACGGAACGGTAAAAAATCGTTTACATCACTAATAAAAACAGTTCTTATCATGAATTCATAAAAAGTGCCTAAATCGGAGACCAGGGGGTCTATTCTCTGCTAATGAAACTACGCCAAGTACGCGCATACTTAGCTTACGTTTTTGGCATAGTGTTATTACATTAAAATTGTTATTTTGTGTATGCTTCGCATACTGTTGCGTACTAGGCTGCTGTCTTAAAACATGCGAACTACGACACGTCGGGAGATGTCATTGTTAACTTACTTAGCGTACTTCCTCGTATAAATTCAATTTAGTTATCTTTCAGAGTTGTTATCATCGATTGTTTTTTTTATCATTTGTTTATTTACGATGGCCATGTATTGACTGTTGGTCATTTATACAACGTAACTTGTACTAAATTTTTGTTTTTATTTAACGTTAAACGAAATGATGACTGTACACATACAGTTAAGGATAGAGCAAATCCTTATTCGTCAATGGACAGTATATCAATTGTCCGACGAAGAATTTCTTAACAATTTTCGGATATCAAAACATACATTTGAATGTAACAAACAACTTTATTCCAATTCGAAAAACACTAAAACAGACTGACTATTATACATTGCTAACCCCCAAAGATATTCCATCAGTTATTAATATTAGAGTTATCAACAAAACACATAAAAAAATGTTCCTACAGAAAATAGCGGAATAAAAGCCAACGCTAAAGTCAAGTACGCCATAAGCAAGTACGTTTCACTCGGAAGTATACGAAGTACGCACACTTTTTCACGAAAAATAGCAGAAGAGACCGTCTGTAGTTGATCAAAAAATGAAATGAGTAGAGTTCAATAATTTTGAAATGTTGCCAATATCAACATAATTTTTTTCTATTTTTAATATAAAATAATAATTTGACATTTTAAATATTTGTTGAACTCATATCATCATTTATACATGTTATTACATGCTATTGGCTTATAAGTTATAATAAAACTTTATTTAATCTGTCGCTAAAGAGTTAGATTAAATTATATAAATTGAAATGTATACACTTATTGAAGCTAGTTTTTTGTGGGATAAATTAGTTATCAAAAACTTCAAATGTTTTAAATAACATCAACCAGTATACTAAGTCTTTAAATAAGTTATAAATATATCATTTTTCTGACATATGGGAATTAACAAATTTTATTTTTTATTATAGTTTCACAATTATTATAAATTTATTTTTAAAAATATTCTAACTAGATGTATATATAGTCATTTTTTTAATTGTTTCTATGCAAAAGGTCTTTCTTGAGAAAATATTCTAGTATTATTATAGCTTTAGCTTATATTTACTATTAATTATTAAAAAACACAGTTATGTGAAAATGTTTTCGGCAAAAATTAATACAACCTACTATATCACTAATAGTAAAACAACTTACTTTAATAACATAATCCGTACATTATTACAATATACTCGTAACATTTTAAATAATTGAGATATTTTATTGTTACGTTGGTGTACATGTAGGTGGTTAGTGATAAAAATGTCTTATCATTTTCGAACAACTACCAAGCACCCCGCCTAAATACAGTACAGAACCGTGTACCTCCTGCTCATGCGCTAGTATAATATCCAAAGTTCGAGACTCATAGCACTTGTAATCATCAAAAGAAGCGCTAAAGAAAACACTTAAATACTTATACATTATAAGCATTTAAAATATTGAAGTAATCAAAAAAAAGCACGACCACAAACACAAAATCATATTATAATGTTTTTACTTATTTGGAAATAAATTAACAATACAATGATATTACAACGTTGGTAATTTTAATCCTACAGTCGTCATCAGGGACGAGAGTCTTGATAAGGAGATAAGCGAGCAAATACAAGTCTCAGAGTTTATTACTAGGAATACCGAATATGATACTAAGGAGAAAAATTATTTTTCATTCTGGCTTTACTAAAATTTCTGAGTTTTATACTGTGGCACCAGTCATAACAATTAAGTAAAAATATGCAAAAAAGCAAAAATAATTTAAATAACTTGAAAAAACCTGATTAAAAACAATCGAAATAAACTAAAAAAAAAAAAGCACTTTCAAATGTCATATTCAAGATCAATGCAACATGATGAGGGTTTCTCTAGCACTTAGCTGGATTTTCTGTTGGGCCAAACAAATAAGCAAAGGCTATAAGTTCTGAACCCTGATGATTTCACTAATGTTACAAAATCTCTTACCAGTTATCTTTTTTATATCAGTTTTGACATTCAGATTTCTCACGGGATATTAGCAATTGTCAGAAAATTGATAAGAGGTTTATTTAGAAATATTGCCAACGTTGAACAGCAAAATGTTAGTATAGACATTTTCATTATCAATAATATATCTATTTGTTAATGTGTAGACTTTCTTATTAAAATAATTTGTGTATATAATTTTGGTACAATGTAGCATTTGATTGATCACGATTACATGTTGCCAGGTAGGATTTATAAAGCCCAAATCATTCAGAAATGTTTTTCTCATCTATCTGAGCAATTACAAAGACATTAACTTAAAAGTAAAGACCAGATTTAATTGCATTTTAAAACACACAAAAATTACATATTTAAATTATATAATTGCACCAAAAAATACATTAACATTGAATAATAAATTGCACTATAAAAATGAGAATTTTATAAAAAAAAAAAATAGATAAATATTACTTTTTTTTAATTAAAATTGATAATTAGATACATTTCTAAATTATTCTCATTAAAATTTAATCATCTATTAATTAAAATTATGTACAAAGAAAAACTATGTTCTACATCTAGTTTTTGGTGAATATTTAAAACAATTTCATAAAGTAGGCGTTATATCTAAATTAACATTTGCTTTGCTTGACATAACTTCATAGAAAGACTTTAAAGTTTTACACCCTTCATTTTTTTCAATTACATACATACATTTTTCTTTAATTTTTTTTTCCGTTTTGACCAGGAATATTTTCTAAAATATCTTCATTTTTTTAAAAATATCCATGCTTTTCAGTAGTTCACTATTAGATTCCTTCAAGTTTTTAAGATTCATGGATAACTAGGATAAGTGTAATTTATGAATCTTAAACCACATTTGACTGCATTACTTTTTAAAAGCTCTTTCAGCTTTTTAACACTTGTAGCATCATCAGTTAAACTTTCAATAACGTTTTTAAACTTTTCAAAATTATTTGCATAGAAAAGTGCAGCATTAACTATGTTCCCCATCTTGTAATAATAAGTTTGGTTGGTAAAGGTATACCCGGCATTTTTCTTTTCTGTGTTTATTTATTCTTGATGGTGTCACTATATAAATATACACATAGACACTTATCGCTTGCTGAGCTCTCCAAGCTTCTAGAAAATTCCATTTGAACGATAACGCCTATGATTTAAAAATGAGGGAAAATTGCAAAAAATTGCATTATAAAATAGACAGAATATTTTTAGCAAATATCGGCTATATATTTAATCAGATCTGATTTATCTTTATTGCGAAAATAATTGCAATATCAATTAAATCCGGTTTCTAGTAATGAGTACTTAAGAATAATATCATATTCTAATAATAAATATAAAAATCATTGTATCTCTATCCCTATTAATTTCAACAATTTCAACCCATTCCTCACATTTTAGGAAATTTTTTTGTAAATCATTGAAATGCTCAATTTCAGTTACAGATGGATTATCTAATTCATAAACTTTTACTTGATTTTTCTTTTTAATATTGAAGAATATGTTTAGAGTTTCAATTCATATTACAAATAAAAGGTTTTTAAACTGTATAATACAAGTGGATGGACAGGACTATAATTTAAAATATCAAATGATAAATAAGAAATTGCAATGTTAATAAAACAGCTAATACTAATAATAAAATAAAATGTTTAAATATATCAAATAAAAGGATATTAAAACTATTCATTGTCATTGTTTAATGTAATAATTTTACCAATTCTGTTGTAAAATCTTAATTTAATGCAAAACTATTTATGTTCAACTTTTTTTTGCATATAAATTCAAAGTCACACAAATATATCTGCGCAATACAAGCTGATCTCAAGTTTATGAAATATAGCATAAGATAAGATTAATTTTAATAACATACTTTGCAAAATGTTTTAAATAAAACATAAATACAAATAATAATTATTTTATGTAATATTTTTATTTTGTATTTTTTTGACCTAATATTTCCTCTTAAAGTAATTTTAAAAAATCAAAAAATATAAGTTTTATTGGTTTCATAAAGTATTTTAATGATATAAATAAAAAATGTATGGCACAAAATATTTTTATGAAATATAAATTTAACCACATACCATAATGGTTTAATCTAAAGCTGTGTGGTTGATAACAAGATAATTGATAAAATGAAATGAATTAGTAAATTATTAATTTATTCATATATTCTTTATTAAATTAAAATTTGATACACAAAGACTGAAATGAATAACAAGTCTACTAAATATCTTATTTGATATATTATACGCTATTTTGGTAGAATTTCTGACACATCAATCATGAGCTCACCTTCAGATGAAGAGTACTCAATTGCGTCCATTGTAATTAAATTATAATAAAAAAATGTATGTACTTGGTTAAACAAAAATAAAAAATTTCATATTTTTATCAAGTTTTTACCTTGATAAATTTCATATTATCAAATCAATACACCTTTGTCACCAAGTCACCTTTGAAAGATATTTTATCAACTCAATAAGACATTGAAGCTTTGTGCAACATCTTTTAATTTTTATTGATTCAATAACCCAATTTAATGGATCAATAACAAAATTTATTGACTTAATAAAAAGTTTTGTGCAACCGGACAGTAGTTAATAAAATAAAACATAGAAATAAACTGTATACACAAAAATACTACTACTATTACTACTACTAATCAAGAGGACCATGGACTTCTCTGGCTACGCCACTAAGTGTACCCAATACTTTTATGGTTGTAACTTGTATAAATATTATCTTTTCTCAAATATAATATACATAGCCATATATAATCCCATTAAAGATAAAATCAGTGTGAATTTATCTAAGAAAAAACATTCTGTCCATCCACTTGTTTGGATAAAGTTAAAAAACCATCCATTTAAAATCAATTGAAACACAGAACATATTTTCAATACTAAAAAGAAAAATCAAGTAAAAATGTGTGAATTTTGATAAACCATCCATAATTGAAACCGAATATTTCAATGATTTACAAAAAAAATATTTTAAAATGTGAAAACTCTAAATGCTAAAACTAAAACTACTGATATAAAAATAAAACTGATACGAGATTTTACTATAATTATAGATTACTATAAGACATTTTGAACAAAAATAACAATAATAACTTAACTTTTCTAATGTCTGTTTTCCTTTAAAGTTCATTGTTTAATGATTTCCCGAATGAATCTAATACTTACTTTAAATAGGTTTGTATACTGATGGACCATCTTATAAAATTTCAATGATATAGTTTTATAATAAATAATACTAATTTTTACTACCTTATACGATTATTTTTAATAAAATTAAATGTTTAAATATTTCTACTTTGAAATTTAAAATTTAAATGTTCATTGATTTATTAACTTGTTAATTATTATTTATCAATACAAAAATATTAATAATATATCTTTTGATTAATGGGAGTAATCTTATTTAGAGTCATTTATGGAATAGACTCAATCATACTGATAACAGTGAACTTTACTCTGATAAACTCTAATTGCGAGTTTTTGAACACAGTCCTGAAGATATACGGTTCTAGTGTATTTAGGCGGTCCTATTATAAACAGTTCTTATCAGTACCTGCTGCTTACCTGGAATAAACGACACAGTTACCTTACTTACTACCTACTAGAACTGATAGCTAACTGTTCTAAAATATATACCTGGGTTTTAATGATTTAACATGAACCTAATAATATAATATATTGTATTCCAATTAGTAAAATTGTATTCAAATGACAGTTACCTTACTTACTACCTACAAGAGCTGATAGCTAACTGTTTTAAATTATATACCTAGGTTTCAATGATTTAATGTGAACCTAATACTATAATATATTGTATTCCAATTGATAAAATTGTATCCAAACGACATATACCTTAGTACCTACTAGAGCTGATAGCCAACTGTTTTAAAATATATACCTAGGTTTTAATAATTTAATGTGGACCTAATAATATAATATATTGTATTCCAATTTTTTCTCAAATGTTTATATAGTAGTCACCAGTCACAGCAGCTATAATAGTAGCAGTATTGATCAATCAATCAAATTTTTAATTTAAGTCAGATTAAGTCTATCTGGCTTAGTTTTAGAGTTATTCGTATTCAAACATGACGACATTGGGTTTCTAATTTCACCTATACATTTTTCACTTTTCCTTGTGGTATTGCAAATAAATATCGAGGGTTATTAAAATTGTCAGAGTGAGCTCAACAAAATATGGCGCGTTTGAATGTCTGTTAACTCTAAAACTAAGCCAGATAAACTTATTCCGACTTCTATAAAAAAAAAAACTTTGTTACCTAAATATCAATAACTAAAAATAATAATAATGAAAAGTTTTTATTTTTGACCACATGGATTCCAAATATACTTCTTTATAAAGGTTTATATACAAAAACTTCAAAAGTAATGATTACGTTTTGTTTATACCAATAGATTAAGCATCTAAAAACACACAATTTGGAAAAATCGCACGGTACCTAAACTAGAATCGTTCCAGAGTAAAAAATAAGGTTATCATTAGCGACAGTTTTTTATTTATTTCAGTTAAAATTAAGTTTTCATTATTTTAATATTTTTAAAGCCATCATTGTTGTCATAGAAACACACATTTTTATTATTATTTTACGATAATACGAGATAATATATATATATTTATATATATTGTTGACAAAGCAACACTATCAACTGAATTCCGTTTAGAATAGTTTTTTCGTAAACATTGCTAACAGATATACCTACATTAAATTTCCGCCTGCATCCTACCTACATACCTACATACCTACCTACCTACCTACCTACGTAAAACAGCGCGGCGACCACGTGCGTAGTACGTCCGTCCTTTTCGACCATTATATTTATATTTATAAACGTATTTCAACAGTTTTTGTAAAATGTCACGATTAATTATTATTATCCGTGTTTATTGTAGTTGTTGTTATATTATTTATTATTTTTTACAACGATCGAAAATACACGAAACACAACATCGATGTCATAATAATAAATAATACAACTATACGATTGCCGAATGAAAATGTCCGCGTCGAAAAATCTATCGGGGGGGAAGACAACTGCCGCACCGAAAAACTGTCGGGATGGTGGCGACGGGGGACGAGTGGAATGTCCGGGTGTATAATACCCCATTGAAAGACCGACCACCCTCGGGCCGTCTACATTTATTACACCCGGTCGAACGACCCAAAGCGACTACAACAGCGTTACCGCCGTTCAATCGGTGCACGTCGGTGTACCGTAACGCGAATTATATTTAATATATCGTAAAAAATGAAATAGGTATTTACCGCTGTTCATATAGGAATCTGGAGGCGGCGGCGACGGGAACTGCGGTTGCGTCGTCAACGTCATTGTCGTCTGCGGCGGCGGCGGCGGCGGCGGCAGCAGCAGCGGATCGACGGGTTCCGGCGGATTCGTAAAATCGGCGGCCCAATTGTCGTCGTCGTAATCGTCGTAATCGTCGTCGTCTTCGTCGTCCGTCGCTGGTTGTCGGTCTACGAAAACAACAACAACAACAACAACAACAATTATAATAATAATAAAATTACCTTCCGTAAAAACAACGAACGCAACGAACGGTCCGACCGGCGGAGGGAAAGAACAAAAACAAAAATAGCGGCTCGCGGGCGTCGGTCGTTGAGAACGGGCACCGGGAGAGGTACGACCGTCGGCGAGCGGCACACACGAGCAAATGACGCGTTCACGCGCGGCGAGTAACGCGGCGTAGACGCGGACGTCGACCACGTGGAACGATATTACAGCGACGCGACGGAACGAACACCGGGGTAGAGTCGGCCGGGCGGTGAAAACAACGACGCGCACAGCGCGATGCGCATTAACGGAGAACGTGCACGCGGACCGCGGTACAACAACCGATAATAATACACGGCGTGGTTATTAGTAGTAAACCGATGTAATACTGGAATATTTTTTTTGGTCCACGTCGAATCGTACGTAGGTAACCGTACTACGGTTTTAAATCGATGTTATTCGACCGGAATGAACGTCACGGCGACAGGCAAAAAGCGACATATCGTTCGTTTGTTATAATTACTTTTTTTTTTCTGAAACAACGATAGATAATTAACCGCACGGCGCGCAAACAAAAACTGTTAAAGCGATACACGTCCGGTCAAAATTCGATTCGGCACGGTTCGAAACACGGGTTTTAATTTCGTACAACTAACTACTTACCCATTAATAATACGGCAATGGAATAAACGATGGACCGGCGTACGTCGTGGTGGTGGCGGTAGTGGCGGCCGCCGGTCGATAATAAAATAACACATACTATAACAACAAAACAACCGCGCGCGCGCGCACACCGCGGTTACGTACCAGATGATAACGTCGCGTTCACTATATACGGTGACAAACTCGTTTAGACACGTTTCGGCAGACGCGACCACTACGCGCGAAAATATACACCATTCGAAAATACGACACCATTTGATCGCGTTCGCATCGCTCGTTCGTTCACAACGCGTCGCTTCGCGCCCAAGTGCGTTCGACCACGTTTGACCGTTTCCAATGAAAGCGGTCGTTTGACACTATCGCAACGCTTCGCTTCGATTCGCGCAGCGTTCGCGTTGAGTTCGGTCACGTAGGCCGCGCCCGCGTAAAGGTGCGATTTCTATGCACGCGCGTCTAGAGACGCGCGGCCAACATATTACAGGTACTATTAAAAATAATTAGGCACGTACACGCAGTTGTATCAAGTCCTCTGGTTAGGTTGTACTTGTATATTTATATACAAGTGCGTTTTAAAATATTATTATTATTATTATTATTAGTTTAACCATGTCCTTAACGAAAAAAAAAAAAAAACAAAAGTGTATTTTTAAACTACTTCTTTTACAACAAGTAGAAGAAAAAACCACCATGAAATACGTTCGGACAAAAAGTAAGGTTTTTTCAGTGTCCCGATTGAAAAACATTTATGGCGAGACGAAACGAAATTCGGGGAATTTTTCAGATCAAGCTGGGATCAATTAAAATTACACACATTGGACCTAGTTGACGGAAACAAAAAAAAAAAAAAAAAAAAAAAAAAAAAAACATTTGTATGTCTTCTGCTACTGTGGTGAATGATACTTTTGATGACATTTTGTGGCACGCGATATTCACAAAATGTCGAACTTTGAAAATTAAAACGTGAACAACAACATATATTATGTATTAGCTATCGGAGCTATTAGCCGCGCGGCTCGTGCGATTGCTCGCGCCTTGAGACGCGCGGTCGACGCGTTGTGATTTGAATTTTGTCCGCGCGGCTTAACGGCACTAAAATAATTAGGCCTTTGCTCTGTTTGGTTAGGTTGTAGGTACTCGTATATTCATATAAGTGCGTTTTAAAATATTATTATTGTTACGAGTTTGTTATTAACCGTGTCCATAACGAAAAAAAAAAAAACAAACAAAAATGCATTTTAAAACTACTTCTGTTGCAACAAGTAAAAGAAGGACAAACAATTATAAAATACGTTCTGACAAAAAATACAAATTAAATGCGTGATGAAATGTACTTGGCCGGGAGGAGCCGGAGGATTTTTCTGTGTCCCGATTGAAAAAAAAACATTTATGGCGAGACGAAAAACCAAATTCGGGGAATTTTTCAGATAGAGCTGCGATCGATACTGTGAACGGTACTTTTGATGAAGACATTTCGTGTCACGTAGGTGTTCAACAAATATGTCGGAACTTTGAAAATGAAAAAAAATGAATTTTTATTAGCCATTAACCGCGCGCGGCTCGTGCGATATTATGACTGCTCTCGAAGCGGCCGCGGTCATAGGAATCGGTTATGTTTGAAAACGAGTGAAATAGTACCTGCGCGGGCTAACAGGTAAATCGCGCCGGCCGCGCGCATAGGAATCGCACATTTACCTTGTCTTTGAATATACGACCGATTCCTGCGACCGCGGTGTGACGACCGCTTCGAGAGCAGTCGTTCATCAATGGCAAAAATATTCATTTTTTTTTTTTTTTTTTTTTTTTTTAAAGTTCGACATTTTTTGAACGCCTATGCGACACGAAATGTCTTCATCAAAAGTGTACCGTTCACAGTAGGAGAAAACGTACGATTGGCTGAATGTGTAAGGGAACATCCGTGTTTGCATGACCTTGAAAATGCTATGTTCAATGTGCATAATCAAATCGATCACAGCTCTATCTGAAAAATTTGGTTTTTCGTCTCGTCATAAATGTTTTTTTTTTCAATCGGGACACTGAAAAATCCTTTAGCTTCCCCGGCCTGGTACATTTCATCGCGCACTACAATTTTTATTTTTTGTCAGAACCCATTTTATAACTGTTCTTATTCTACTTGTTGCAATAGAAGTAGTTTGAAAATACATTTTTTTTTTTTGTTAAGGACATGGTTAATAACAATAATAATATTTCAAAACGCGCTTATATGAATATACGAGTACCTACAACCTAACCTAACCGAACAGAGGCCTTGATACGACTGCGTCGCGCACGTGCCTAATTATTTTAGTGGCGTTAAGCCGCGCGCGCGTCTCCCGACGCGTGCATAGGAATCGCGCACCTTAACGGCGTGTCCTAGGTGAACGCGATTTTGCGAACGGGCGACGCGATAATAATTAAACATTATTTTTAGAATTGGGATGTCCCGACTGGATGGTTTAAAAACGCGGGCGAACGGACGATAACAATATTATTATCGCTCGCGCCGGAACAAAACCGTTCGTTTTTGGACGCGGGCGATTTAAAACAACCGGCGTCATTTGGCTCTAGATATTTAAAGGGATTGGTGATTTTTTTTTTTAAATTTATTTTTGTTAAATTGTGTTTGTTTACTTAAAATGTATGTAGTTATGGATGAAAAAGCGGAAATTATAATATCTGAAGTACAGAAATAACCAATTGTATACAATATGGCAGAGATATAAATTATCGTTTTAAAATTTGTTGTTGTAGTTGGTGTAATGTATGTCCGGTCGAATTTCATTTAGTGTATAGTCAAATGTTTTAATATTCATTCTTGTATATTCAAAAACGTTTTGGGGATGTTTCCTAAGTTGATTGTATAAAGTGTGAAACATTTTAAGGTGTTAATAAATTTATGTGAATACTCGCCTAAAAGAATTATAATTGTCTTATTCCTTTTTTTTTTTCTCGGTCTTAGAAATATTTTGTTCCTTTAAAGCGTAATATTTTAGCAGTGAGTTTTCATAAAGAATTACATCATTTGGGTCCATTTTTAAAAATGTAATAAATAAAAATATTAATCCACAGTTTTGTAATATTACTTATTTTACATACGCGCCACACACACAATCGTCAATTTGGAAATAAAATTTGAAAAAAAAAAGAAAAATCTAATCGTGCAAAACAAATCTCCTCGTCGGTCGGTCGCTCGCCGGTAGGACACCGCGGCGTTAGACCGCTCTCGAAGCGTGCGGCCGCCGCGGTCATAGGAAATCGGTCACATTTAAAAACTAGTAAAGTAAATACCCGCGCGGCTAAAATTATATCGCGCCGCGTCGGCCGCGAGCGAAAGAACCATAAACCGTAAACGCGCGCGTACGTAATAACCGGGTGGGGGGGGGCGGGGTTACCACGCGCAATCCGCATAGACAATAAAGATATCCAGGCCGTCCGTGCCCTATCAGTGTTCCAAGAAGGACGGTAAGCACAGCAAGTTTGTCAATCCAACATCGGTTCACATTTTTCACAAAGTTTTATCCGTATGGCGACGAATGACAACCCCGATGAAGTCGCCCGGGTTTTCCGCCGCTCCGAGAACAACATTCGCCTCGCCTCGCCTACGATATTGTTTGCCATATCCGTATCTCATTGTTATCTACGGTTATCGCGGAACACACAACAAGAAACGGGCCGAGTATTCGCGAACAAAGCGAACGTTTGCGATAACGGAGCGATTCGATTTCCCCTCCCGCTCCCACCGCGACAAAAACAAACAATATTCCGTCGGCCGCCGAAGAAATGCAATTATTTCGCCATCCGTGTACCGGCCATAATAAATTCGTTTTCTCGCGGTATATAAAACAAGTTTCGATAACTGGGAATTCCCCGCGTAGGTATTTCCACGTCCGTCTTTATTCGCGTTATTCGTTTGAGCGGAACCGAATTCTATTTCGTCGAGGACAATATAATTAATAAATCGGTACGTTTTGCGCGTCAATTTTCAAAAACGGAAAATTTCAAATCTAATCGGGATGTCGGAAAAAATTTGGGTTTCGAAGGGATACGCGCTAAAATGACACTGTCGGCAATCGGCGATTAATAATAATTTACAATATTACCGTAACAATGTCGGCGCGGTTATCAACGATAAGACGAATTGAGATTTTTCGTATTGCCAGTGTTCCTTCGTGTACGAACGCAACGAAATTAATTACACGCGACTGTGATATTTTCCTTTTTATTATTCACATGAAATACAAGACGGCTCTGGTACTACGCGTCGTGTTAACCAAAGTGTCGCGGAAAAGTGAGGAAAGTATCCCCTCTCGTCGTCGTCGTCCCCCTCCCTCCTCCCCACAGAGTTTACGACCAATAACGTTAACCGTCGTCGGCGGATTCGCGATTTTCGGAAACGTTTTACTATTTTTCGGCAGTAAATAATAATAATAAATATTGCTATAATATAATAACGTTTACACAGACCGGTCGGAGTGGCTGAGTGCGCAATAAATAATATATGCGATACGGACGACGACGGTCGGACACGCCGGAAAATCAATGAGATGCGTTTTTATTGCGACACGTTACACGTTTTACTGGCCGAACGATTATTACTCTTAAAACGCGACAGATTGGTCGTGTAACGCGGACAATAATAATCATCTGGCGATTATTTGCCTTTGTCGGAAAACTAGACAACATTTTTTTTTTTTTCTACAAAAAAAATATTGCAAATAAACAACGCATTTTCGACCGTCTACATACACCCCGGCGCACGTTTCGCGCGCGCAAATTCAACGCGCGGAGAAATTCGCGGCGAATTCCGATTTTCCGAACATTCACGTAGGTACAAAGAGAACCGAACCGGCCGGGTGCGCGTTCGTCGAACCGTTTTCGATTCACGGTACCCGTCGAACGCCGAAAAAAACGCGACGACAACAACAACAACGACGACAAATTTGTCTATAGGAGGGGCACGAATAAGGGTAGAGATCTCGCGCGCACACGTTTCGCGAGACACGCAATAATTAATTTGTCGACACGGACACCGTCCCCGAACAAACTCGAAAATCACATCAGACATTACGAACAGGTACCTGAACAAAAGAAGCCGACGACGTCGACCAGAAGAAACCGCGGTGGTTTGCGCGCATAATAAATAGGTACGACGCTTCGCGACGCCACTGCGGCGTACACACGATAAGAACATAACAAGCGGGGAACGGAACCGGAAACATAAAACAACAATAAAATATTATAATAGTTTAGCAGTAGGTGGCGTAGGTACGTACTTGGCAAGTTGATTGTCGGGTACGAGTTGGCGTTCAGCCGTTTCGTGCCCGGACTCGAACAATCGCTCGTGAAATGCATAGCGCAAATGTACTTAGTTCTGTAGACCCAAATCGGATCCATGCGACCCAGGCCTACTATTTTTATCCATTCGATCAGCCTCGACCTACACTTTCTAGGATTCGGAAATCTGTGTACGACGACGCCTATAATAATAATATCAAAACGGGTGGGTACATAACACATCATCGGTATTTCGACGCCTACGCCTACCGGTAATATCGACAATACCCGTGTATCATAGTAATACACAGCAGTCCAGTATTAATAGGACGTCGGTAGGTGCACGCGTGTTCCGCGTTAAGATGTGCGCGGTCGACGCGTAGCCCCGACAAAATCGAAATGAGGGGGAGGGGTGTGAATTAAGTGTAGGGGGGGTGGGAAGAGGGCAACGATGTTACAAAACGGTACGTACCTTTAGATTTGCACCCTTGGACGGAGCACGAAGTCCGCCGCTCCAGTTTCAAACCGCTCGACTGGCGCATTATTGTCACGCGGCGAAACAATAACAATAATAATAACGAAATAATAACCGGAGACGCGATGAGCGGAGAAGGTCCGCGTAGTAAAGCCGAAATAAACGAATTGACGGACAAACGGCGCGCGACGTTTGAGGCGTTTGACAACATCAGCGCGACCAGTGGTGGCTGAACACGACAGCGCCGAGCGAACCTCTCCGGCGGAGCCGAGCCGAACACAAAGGTACGGACGGGAAAAAGAAGAGAGAGAGAATAACAAGAAAAAAATAAAATAAAAACCGGGACCCGAGACAAACCGAACACGCTCCGCGAATAAAGGCCGCCGAATACGATATTATCGTATTCGGCGAAAATATCGTATTCGGCGAATAACACTGGGTACCGGACTACGGGAACGGTGTAACGATACGGGTGCCATTTTTGATCGGTCGAGTATATTGCCGAAATAGACGCGCGGGTACACGGTGTGCAATCGGGGGATTCGGGGGTAATTGTAACACGGCAATGTGAATTTTTTTTTTTCGTTCACGATTTCAACGTAATGCATTGTCGTTGTACGGCAATTACCGATGTTCCCAGGGAATTTCAAATCCGTCAACGTCTGCCTCGACCAGAAATTTGCATTCGAGATTCATAATACCAAACGAAGATTTTTTGGGCGCGTAGCATAACGTCGGAGATAACGAAATTGAAATCTACTTGGGGGAAAAAAAAGGGGAGGGGGCCAATAATACTGTTGTAAATTGTACCGCTGGACGCCGTATCGTAATACCAAAATAATAATAATAATAATGGAAACGCGTAAAAAGTCGAAAATAAATTAACAGAACCGCCCCGTATTTGGAATAGTAAATATGATCGGAAGAAATTATTTACAGTATTCCGGACGGAAAATATCAAGTGAAAAATATTTTATCCGAATTTATTTTGTCCGATTATATTACAGCCGACTGTAAAAAAATACGAACAAATATTGTGCGATAATATCCTGTTTACCACACGGCGGATAGTCTGCGATACGGTGGCGACCGGCCATTGAATTAATAGATCAATATTTGCGCGTTCTTTCGAGCTTTTGTTGAAGGTAACGACGTTCCTTTGAATTTGTAATTGAACATTTTCTCATTGAAAATTAAAATACACCAGTGTTCGACCAGTAGCCTTTTGCATTCAAAATCAAAATTTCGTGCGTCTTGTCACCATTATCACTATTATTATTCTTATCATTATTATTATTTAATTATTATGTTTTATTAATGAGCAATGCACTTCTATTCGGATTGCCCGATTGGACGTTAATTAATTATAAATTAATTAATAAATTGAGTGTAAAGGTACCCACGCGTTGATAACCACCAGTGGATTGTAATACTGAATACGTGCATTTCTCGACGCCAACCGTTCGCCGCGACAACTTTTTTTTCCGTTTGAAACCTTGCGTCGGCAACTTAGTTTTGTTTTTCAACGTACGCGGGTGGGACGGATGGGCTTTCGCTAGTATACGACCTTATGGGCTTTACATTAAAAGTACCCGCCCCGCTCATTCTGATTTTCGGATCAAACGATAGGCTAGTGGTTTCGACCCCAAACAAGTTGACTTGTCGCACCACCACAAAAGTCCGCCGCACCCCCTACACAGTTTGATACCGAGAAATCCCTTCCGAGGGGGCTAAACGCGGGGCCGATTCTCGAAAACGTGATCAATTACCGTACGTGAGATGGTTCATCAAATTTATCGAATGCGATGAAAATGTATTGAAGGCAAATCTAAACACTAAGGTTAAACTAAATAATATTCTTGAACGGAATTCACTACAATTGTCGTAAGTGAAAAAACATATCGAATAAATGGGTCTAGGACACCTAGACACCGACCATCTCGCCGCCGCGGCGTTACGGACTCGCCGCTGCAATCGAGCAATTCTAGTACTTAACCCGGGCGGGGGGGGTAAATTAACACAATTTACGCAGCAAGGTTTACCTAAATATTTCCTACGAGTGTAAAAACTAAAATTTTTCCAAAATAAATTAATATAAATCCCCCTCTCTCCCCGGGTAAATATATTCTACGTTTTCACAAGTGCTTAGTAATCTCCAACGAATTCAATGAACTGGGAGGAGGGGGGGGGGGTATAAGAATTTCCTATGTTTTCTTATAAGAATAGTCCTCAGTAAAAATGCACACTGGGACCAAATATTTCCCAAGGTATTTTTAGTCGACAAATGCACTTCGTAGGGGGTGTCCAATATACTAATTATTATATCCTCGGATATTTTTACCGGGGTGTAAAATTATCGTATTTATAGGATGTTCTTACCGTAGGGGGTAAATATTTTATACGTCATCGGGGAATCCTACGACACCGGTTCGCGCATAAATGACTAAGCGCTCAGCGTTGTCGGAACCCACCCACCCCTCTAATTAATTGATCGAAAACAATCTTCACCTGTCCTGTATAAGCCGTGCTTCGTCGTCGTCGCCACCGTGTATACGGCGAGTCGTAATAACCTAGAATACCTACCGCCAAATAAAAATCATCGTGGTGTACTCGCGTTTAGTGTTTTTCGGTCAAACTAACGGGAAACGTAGCGTAAAGGCCGTTAAAACGAAATATTATCGATATTTTGTTCGCTACGTATGTCGCATACCGTGCGTATCGGCGGCGGGTCGTTCAACGGACGGTAGCGGCGGCGGGTCCGAACGATAGGCGGACAAGTGGACGAAGCGGTACCGCGAAGCGAAACCGGTCGCGTTTTCGTCCGGTGTACTCTTGGAAGTCGCAACTCGCAAGTCCAAGTCGAAGTAAAGTATACGTGGGCTGTTGCCACTACGATTCGCCGGCACACAGCTCTCCCCGGTGTCTAGAATTTCGTGTTCGGAGCAATTATTTTCGATTCAAACGGTTTCATACACAATTAACTAATCAAATATATTATTTATATATACCAGTGGAGTGGACAGGAATTTCCATCGGGATAGGGGGTGGGATATTTAAAATTTATAATATAAAATTCATCGCCACCAGCCGGGTGGTGTCACGCGCACACCGAAACACGACCAGATTTAAATACAATAAAAAACGATTTTATTTTTCTAGAAAATTTGTTTTACTACAATACGTGATGTCTAAAATTCGTTAAAACATGTTTGGACGTTGTTCGTATTGATTAGTAATAATTCAAAATTACACAAATACAATACACAAAACGAGTACACACTTGACGATCAACTAATTACAATATCGCATTATGCCTATTACATAAAAATCACGCGTACGAGTTTAGGTGCGTTGCACTCTGAAACTATACGTCCGATTTTGATAAGATAGCGCTCGATGTCGCGATTCGGTCCAACTTAAAAGACAAGACAATCAGTAATAAGAAAATTCAAGAGTTTCTGGGCCTTTCCGGTACGAACGTCCAATTGTTTAAATAATTATTTTTGTTTGTTCATATACCTTGGCGATGCGGATGAAATAAGCAAACAAAACGAAAAATTGGCCCGGCAAACCGATATGCACGTAAAATCTATCGGTTCAATAGAGTTGAACAATAAAACGGTTTTATGATAATTGATAACAGAGCACATTATCGATTTTTCAATCGTCGCGACGCGCCGGTAAAAACACTATAAACTATTAATCCTCAATAGACCGCCCAAGAGAAATATATCTTTTCAAAAATGTGATCCTGGGTTCGCCAACGACCCCGTCACGCGTTTCCACGAGTACACACGTTTAATGCGTCTAAAACTTCTATTGATTTGTTTCATCACGCCAAGTCTGTCGACATAATATCGTACCGCGTATATGGTTCACCTCTAACTTTTATCAATATCAACAAATTAAATTGTCAGTGCTAATCTATTTCTGTTATCGTCGTGTAACGGCGATAAAATGCTATAGAAACGAGGAACGTAGGTGGTGCAAAGGTCAACGATAACGTTTTTCTACACGAAAATAAACCGACGAAATAACCAAAGTTTTAGAAATCGATCAAGGTCAAAATGTTAATGCGATGAAACTGAGAATTCCGTTCACTGTACGGATTTTTTTTCACACGGATTTTAACTTGTAACGAAACACTCGCATGCACGCGCATTTTAAGTGCGCATTACATCCCGAGCACCGTTGGCCGATGTTTGAGTGAAAAATACCGTCAGTTCTCATACGTCGTCGAGTCCAGTAACGTATTTAGGATTTTGTCTGAGGCAATCGCCTCACGAGCGGGGCGGGCGGACCGGGTGACCAAATATGATGGATTTCGATTACGATTGACTAGTTCGGGGATCGGACATGCCCTCGGTAGTAAGAAAATGGGGGGGGGGTTCTTCCTCGGAAGCAAGGAGCGCCGGGCGCTATACCCAATACACGGCCGCCCGAATTGTCCAACTCTTCATCGACACATATTTTCCACAAACAGCTTTTTTTTCAAAATATTTTTTTTCCTACGCGCGTCACGTACTCGAACTATTTGGACCACGCCCCCTTTATCCAAATATTTTTTTTCCACGTTATCGAATGCTTACTCGATTGATCTATACCAATTTCGTTGTCAATACCTACGATCATTATTTTACAAGTATTACGATATTTTTCGTCTCCGGGCGCTATATCCCGCCTACCCACTATTCATACCCACAGTTAAATATTATTATGCACATTATTACATAAACGAAACGGTTATTAGCAACGTCGATGGTCCGTACATTCCTGGAAGTGCCAATGTTGGCCATACCCGTCGTATTGACCCAAACCACCACGCACGATCCCGCACACCCTGTCCGTCTGTACATCGTAATTGTTAGTACCTGTACAAAAATTTTATACGCATTTTCATAGATATTACATAATCGTCTTTCTGCACATAGATTTTTGTCAACGACAATACAAATTGTTATCACCAATGTCATCATCGACCAACAGGTACACTGACGACAACAACACGATTGTTAATTACACACGCACACACATACATACCTACGGTCGCCCGCGGAAATTATATTTTCGTCGATCTTAATAGTGCCGAACGGTGTATTTTTTAAGCGAATAATGCATGGGCTCCGATAACAATATTTTGAATGGCCGTTTTTAATACTATTAAACTTTAACACGATTCATCGTGCGACCCGTCGGCGACATAATTATTAGAGTACCTATAGGTGGTAAAACCATTATTATTATAATATATCACCCTTTTTAACACTGTGTGCGCGGCACCACATTGATCGTGCACGCAGGATAATTATGAGAGTGTCTTTATGTATATTCCTGTCCATAGATAACAGAATTATCATGTACAATATGTGCCGACCTCGATTCGAAAAATATTATTTTATAAGTATTACTTACGCTTTAGGTAATTTTAATAGCGATGGAATACTACGTAAGTATGAAATATAATCAGTAGTGTCGTCGCCGTTATCGTGTACACGTGCGGGTATAAAGGTCGTGATTTTTCTTCGTTGTACTACTCGGCGGTCGCCCGCGCGCTCGTGTTTTACCCCGCGTACCCGCCGGCTACAATCGGTTGCAGGTGTCAAGACAAAGGATTTTACGAAATATAACCGTCGGCGTCGACGAACGTACCGGCCAGAGAGCTACAACTTCTCCCCCGCCCGTCTACCCTTTGCAGCGGTCAAATATTATCTATGTACTGATATACTTTTTCATATCGACCGTACTCAAAGACAAAAGATTTTTTTATATTCGTGTACCTACACGGAATAAAATCGACGACAGCAACAAGGGACCTCCTATGGGTCCGAGAGCCGTAACCTCTCCCCCGCTCATCTACCCACCTTTCCGACCAAATATTTTCCAAACAGAAAAATAATAAATATCATAACCTTCGAGCGATTTTCTGCACATGGATTTCTCAACGACAATATTATCGTTATATCCGTTGGACACCGTCGACCTACCGGTTCACAGGTCGACAATAACACGATCCTCACTACACACATTGTTAATATAATGCTTTAGACATTTGTTAACACTTATATGATACTGAATGAAAACAAATTTTCAAATTTTACCGGAACATTGTATTTTAAAATAAACATACATCCAAGGTCACATAATAGCGATTCTTGTACTTATAAAATTATTAAAACCTCACGAGCTGTAAACCGACCATTTACGTATGGTGAAAACTCTTTGAAAACGTACATCGTTTAGGATTCGAATCCAAGTGATAAATACGGCGAGTCAAATTACCGTCCGTACGCAATATCGGTCCAATCGCGAACACTCCGCGATCGCCGTATCAATAACGTGGACCCGCGGAATAAAATCTACGATCACTGTCCGTGTCTTGTTCTCCCTCGACGTATATGTCGAGTTCCCGTACTCTACATCGCCGTATATTAGGACGGGCGCGTGCGCCCGTGCGATCGAGAAATAAACAGGGAGAACAGAAACAGAAAGTGATCGTAGATTTTATTCCGCGTTAAGTCCACGTTATTAATACGGCGATCGCGGAGTGTCCGCGATTGGACCGATATTACAGACGGACGATAATTTGACCCGCCGTATTTATCACTTGGATTCGAATCCTAAACGATGTACGTTTTCNATGTAAAAATTTGTTTTCATTCGATATCATATATGTGTTAACAAATGTCTAAAGCATTATATTAACAATGTGTGTGTGTGTGTGTGTGTGATGAGGATCGTGTTATTGTCGACCTGTGAACCGGTAGGTCGACGGTGTCCAACGGATATAACGATAATATTGTCGTTGAGAAATCCATGTGCAGGAAATCGCTCGAAGGTTATGATATTTATTATTTTTCTGTTTGGAAAATATTTGGTCGGAAAGGTGGGTAGATGAGCGGGGGAGAGGTTACGGCTCTCGGACCCATAGGAGGTCCCTTGTTGCTGTCGTCGATTTTATTCCGTGTAGGTACACGAATATAAAAAAATCTTTTGTCTTTGAGTACGGTCGATATGAAAAAGTATATCAGTACATAGATAATATTTGACCGCTGCAAAGGGTAGACGGGCGGGGGAGAAGTTGTAGCTCTCTGGCCGGTACGTTCGTCGACGCCGACGGTTATATTTCGTAAAATCCTTTGTCTTGACACCTGCAACCGATTGTAGCCGGCGGGTACGCGGGGTAAAACACGAGCGCGCGGGCGACCGCCGAGTAGTACAACGAAGAAAAATCACGACCTTTATACCCGCACGTGTACACGATAACGGCGACGACACCACTGATTATATTTCATACTTACGTAGTATTCCATCGCTATTAAAATTACCTAAAGCGTAAGTAATACTTATAAAATAATATTTTTCGAATCGAGGTCGGCACATATTGTACATGATAATTCTGTTATCTATGGACAGGAATATACATAAAGACACTCTCATAATTATCCTGCGTGCACGATCAATGTGGTGCCGCGCACACAGTGTTAAAAAGGGTGATATATTATAATAATAATGGTTTTACCACCTATAGGTACTCTAATAATTATGTCGCCGACGGGTCGCACGATGAATCGTGTTAAAGTTTAATAGTATTAAAAACGGCCATTCAAAATATTGTTATCGGAGCCCATGCATTATTCGCTTAAAAAATACACCGTTCGGCACTATTAAGATCGACGAAAATATAATTTCCGCGGGCGACCGTAGGTATGTATGTGTGTGCGTGTGTAATTAACAATCGTGTTGTTGTCGTCAGTGTACCTGTTGGTCGATGATGACATTGGTGATAACAATTTGTATTGTCGTTGACAAAAATCTATGTGCAGAAAGACGATTATGTAATATCTATGAAAATGCGTATACAATTTTTGTACAGGTACTAACAATTACGATGTACAGACGGGACAGGGTGTGCGGGATCGTGCGTGGTGGTTTGGGTCAATACGACGGGTATGGCCAACATTGGCACTTCCAGGAATGTACGGACCATCGACGTTGCTAATAACCGTTTCGTTTATGTAATAATGTGCATAATAATATTTAACTGTGGGTAGGCGGGATATAGCGCCCGGTGACGAAAAATATCGTAATACTTGTAAAATTATAATCGCAGATATATATGATAACGATTTGATAACAGTGGGTATGGTTAAGAGAGACACCGTAGTTATATGATAACGTAATAGGTATAGTCAAGCCGAGTAAGTAAATATTCGATTATGTGGAAAAATTATTTTGATAGAGGGGTCGTGATCCAAGTAGGTCGAGTACGTGACGCATGTAGGAAAAAAATATGTTTAAAAGTAAAGGGGTTGTTAGGTATAGCACCTGGGCTCCTTGTTCCCGAGGAAGAACCCCCCGCCTTTACTTACTACTGCCCTCAGTACTGGGTATTTTGTATTGTTAATATGCCCACCTACGGATATTGTTGCGTATCCAATATTACGACGTTGTCGATTCGGCAAAATAAGATTTTCGCTGAACAGCAAATCGTTTACAGGACGTATGAAAATCCATGTCTATCGAGCGGCTGGGTCTTCGAGTATAAAATGCTGTTCGGCCGGGCCACCGCACGCGGGCCGTGCCGTCTCGACACGGGCCGGTCCCGACAAAACGTTCTCGTACCGCCGCGGAGAACGGCGTGGCCGGTGTACGAACGAACGGAACACGTCAAAACGGGAATTGTCCGTGTTTCAAATGGCTTTGCGGGACGGCTCCCGACCGGTGTCCGATTTTAGTCCGATTCAAGAATTAGTTTACGAACGGTCTCGAGCTTTACGCAATACACGGTCGCCGTGCTCAACGCGCGCCGATTAGTGTCTGCGCGTCGTGATATTCCCGTCGGGTCGTCGTTACGTCGGCGATAATCGAATATTATTCGGATCCAAACGATTTTAAAAACGGCACGTCATTCTTTTTTAAAACGCTCGTACGTTGCATTAAAATACGAGTACTCGCAATAACTCGCAGACCACAATTCTGACCGAACAAGAACGACTGAAATTCGGTTTTTTTTAGCAATAATATTAAGCAAACGGGTATATCTAAAAAATACCTACTCGAATCGATGTAAAATAGATGCTGCGAGAACTGGCAAGTCGATTTAAATATTATGCATACGTTTTTGGATCCGATCAGGGACTGTTAGTAAATAATGTATAACAGACTTATACGACACCGGATAATATAAAGATGATAATAATAATACACTCGTATCGATATCGTCGAAAACGCATAAAAAAAAAAAAGAAAAAAATGCCCACCATAGTGATACCGAATCGAATTATCGATATCGCAGTCTAGTGCTGATCAAGCAATAATAACACGAACATCCAATCGCAATTAGTTTTCAATCGGTACGCGATTGCCTTAAAAATCGCTAATACGAAATAAATTATTCGCGCACCAATCGTACGACGCCGGGTGAATAATAATTATTGGGTGGGTACCTGTGCCGTCGGATTCTCCGGGAATCGTTAGTCTGCCAACTTTTTCAGCCGGGGCGTCAGGCGCATCGGGCGCTTTACGCGCCGACTTCGGTTTCTTCTCCGGCTCCGCCAATACGAAATTCATGGTGTCGAGATTTGCAGCCAGTTGCGAGTATACCGACGTACCGATGTCCGATGTCCCGGCGAGTGTAACTGACCGTCAAATATCGCAGCTCGGAAACTACTACTACTGATGAACAGCGAGTACCGACCCGGTGGACAGCTCCTCGCAAAGCGATCGCCCGGCTGCATCACGTGATCCGTTTTTAACACCATGTCGATACCGGTTGGTCCATTCGAATTAACCGCACTACATTTAATCGTGTGCGTGCGCAAGTGTCTCATCAACTGTGTGTGCGTGTGTGTTAGGGTATATAACATTGTAGACGAGACAAAAATACTTCTTTACGTCTTTTACGGGTTTTCATATATTTATATTTTGACTACGGCGGGGACGACGCACGAAACGCAGACAAACAAAGTACACACATTTACTTATAAATCCGGGAAATAACAATAGCGATAAACATTGGTTTCTAAAATGTTTCCCCGTCACTTTGCCAGCTGATCGCCGATGGTTTTGCGCAACAATGCAGGTCCGACGTGAGTTGGTGAGACCACGATAACAATTTTTTTTTTTTTTTCTGCCTATCACCCACCCTACATCTAATCCCTCAGTCCTCTAAATTCTCCCATACCCCCCCCGAATAGGTTAAAATACGGGATATAAGTTTGAAAAAAATTGTTTTGTTGCGCGTTCCACCGCTTAACGGCGACCTAGGCTGCGGCCATTTCGGCCTGTTGGTTAATTAGGCCCTGCGCGTGTTGAGCTCCGGGCGCCATAGGTTTTCACCATTCATTCGGAGACAGAATTCCCGAATATTATTTTTCCGATTCATGCGGCCACTGCTCCGCCCATATTGCGTTGCTGTTATTAACGTTATCGTTTCATATCGCTTCAGATGATGATGGCTCTCTATTCTATCGCTCATGTTGAAACTTACTCGAAAACCACTCTCGATTAACTTTCATAAAAAATTACGTCGGATAGATCAAAGGGAAAAAATTATTATTTAAAAAAAAAAAAAAAACCGTAGATAAATTATTCCGTTTATAACAATTCTGAACCAAGTAATGATGATTTGTGATCGATTCTGTATTAGCCGGCATTTGAACTCCCCCCTCCCCCCGTACCTTCCCCTGCGGATTTTTTAACGGCACTGACGAATTTTGCTCACCGAGTCAAAATAATATAATGTATAGTTTTATTTTACATTATACTTAAAGTTTTTTTTAGGAACTATGGTCTATAACAGTGTTTCCCAACCTTTTTACTACCACGGACCATTTCGATAATTTTTAATAGGTCGCGGACTACCTCAATTGAGGGGCTCCCTGTAACAACTAGAAAAGTCCACTTTTTAAAATTGTTCAGAAGAAACAAAATTGTAAATAATAATTATTTTGATAATAAATTTTCATACGCGTTTCATACACGTACAACTAAAATTTAATTGTCAAACATAATAATTTTAAACAAGTATCCCAACCTAAAAATTTATATAAAATTACCGACATGTGGACTTACATAAGTGTAAAATAGTAAAACAAAATTTAGGAACATAGTATCCATCCCTAAGATTGATTTAGTCTATAATTCGCGTGTTTACATTGATATTAGTTATGGTTTATTACAAAATAAAATAATAAATTATCCAAAATACTACGTGATAGACCAACATATTGTATAAAATAAAAATAATGTCAAAATAAAATAACAAAACAATGTATTGTAAATATTTGTATATCAGTTCATGAGAAAATGAACCGTTGAGAAAGCTCGTCCAATTGGAATTGTATACTCAGTAAAAATACGTAAAAACGTACAAATTCCATTAATCTCATAACTAAATATTTGAGAAACTATGCAATCGGTAAACAATTATCGGTCGCAGTAATAATATTTAATAAATCGTTATTTAATGGTGTTTAATAAATACTTTTATCAAAATAATAAACCTTTGGTACCTACACACTTATAAAAATTGAAACACACTAATCGATCGTCGGCAGTAATAACGATAATAATATTATTCATTCCTTTGATAAACACTATTAAAAGTGGAAAAACACAACGGATAATATATTTTTTCGTAATTTATTTTTTTTTTTTTTTTTTTTTTTTTTTTAGAAATGAACGAGCAAACAAAATAAGATTAAATCTATGGGACCGCGGACCACCAATGACAGGCTCACGGACCACTGGTTGGGAAATAGGTTAGTAGGTTAGGACAATATTAAGCCCACATAGTAATATGTTCGAAAAATTGGTATACTTTCGTTTTACCTGAAGTATCCGAAATAATAAAAAAATAAAAAAAAAAAACATAACTTTTATGAACAATAGTTTGTATTTGTATCAGTAAATTTTGTATTTTTATGACGTTCGATTTTGAAGTATATTAGTATATGCATTAAGGCGATTGGTGACGGTGTATACTTTAGTCGATTTAGACCCAAAAGCTAAACAAAACTGTAGGTGTTGTGGTTGACGGATTTAAATTTTGAAAACGGATACTGAATCTTTGGGTTCTTTACCAGGACATGTCGGAAATAGAAATGTAATTGTTTTACTGGAAGTCGTAAAATAAAATGGTTGTGTTTTTGAAAATGCGCATAAAGCATTTTGTCTCTTATCTATGATATTTAGAATTAATAAATAATGAAAAAAATAATTCCAGCATATCCTAGTAAACAACATATGGATTAATAATCTTCGTCAACCTTCGAGTCCTACAGTTTCGTTTGGCTTTCAGGTAATCATCGTTTATTTCGATTGAAAAATAGTTTATCTCAAATAACGTTGGCTCGTGTCTGCGAGTGCGTACACACCCCGCCACCCCGCATATCAAGTCGCGTCGTCCGTCGCTGTTGTCGTCGGTACGACGCTCGCTAAATGCAGATAAGGTCGATAAGGATGTTATTATTAGATATTTTACTATTATTATTGTTATCGTTGTTATAATATTTCGTAACAGTATAATACATTTATACGATAAATACCGAGAGCGGCACGTCGACAATACTATCGTGTCGCGGTACTCGGAATCGTTATTGCTATTTTAATATTCATTTAAAAACGAACAACGCAGCGTGGCAACTTGGGATGATACTCCGACGCCGTCTGTCTGTGTACAGCCCAAGAAAAAAAAAACTAAACGATACCAAAATTTTCGTTCAGAAAAATTTAAAAACAATTGTAATTCTGACCATGCAATTATCAACTGCGCCAGTCACATAAACAATGTGTATCGAACTTGTATAATTATACACATCGTTTACATAATACATTTTCAATATAAATAATAAATTGTGTATTATTACGGACAGTTCCGAAGTCGTCCGTTCCGATAATATTCAATGATCGCCGAACATTCATATCCGAACTAATAATGAATCAGAAATTACTGAATGGTAAAAACTAATTTTAAATGCTGAACGTATAGCAAGGAATGTTTTAAGGAATTGTTATTTTTTCTGTCCGTAAACAACTTTTCTACCAGACGTACCAGGATCTGATATTGTGTGCCGCGCACACGTACACACATGGTACGTGCTAATAGTCCGTATAGATGCATAGGTATTGTGTAAAACGACGTTTACTATTAGAAATCTAACTCCAATTGAAAAATTACAAATTAAAAATCGAATTTGTACCTTTGAAAATCTAGCCACTAACAAAGAAAGTAATTTTTTTTTTTTTATCTAAATTGGTTTTCAATCGGGAAACCCGAAAAATGCGATTTTTTTTTCAAATTACCGCGCAACCATTTCATTATGTTAAATTTTAGATTCTGAGTGGAAATAAGAAACTTATGTTTTTACAAAGATGTTTATTTTTTTTTCCTATGGACAACTTTTCTGAAAAGGAATCGGTGTGGGGAGGTACCTTAGAGAGGTCATTTTTCGATTGTCTCAGGAGAAACCGGGAAAAAACCTGGGTCTTTTTTTATTGTAACTATTTAAATATAAAAGTTTGATAGAAATCCTAAAAATCAGAGCATTTCGAGTATTTTTCGAACATTTTAAGTCTGTACGATTATTTTTATTTGAGTTACAACAAAAAAACAAAAAAACAAAATAGCGATATCGTTATCCTCCGAATCTAAAAATTAAAAAATATATATCAAGAAATGTACATAAGTAATAATAGTTATTATAATATATTATGCAGGTATGTGAGCATCAAAATATTGAGTATTATAGCATACTATTATTTTGTTGTTTAAAAAAGTTAACATAATACTAATGCAGACGATGGAGTATAAAAAAAAGCAAAACACCACAATTATACACATACACACACTATGTTTTTTTTAAATATGGTATAAACGTATTAGTTTTAGATTCTGAGTGGAGCGAAGAAGCGTATAGTTTTACAAAGACGTTTATTTTTTTATCTGTGTGCAACTTTTTTACTAGGAGATTTGCTCAGATTTCTACGTGTAGTACCTTTTCTGATAGGAAATCGGCGTAGGGAATTACTTTAAGGAGATCATTTTTTGATTTTCTCAGGAATTTTCTCATCAAATTTGGTAAAAACCAAAAAAAAAAACAGAGGAAAACGGGAAAATATAAGAAATGTAGATATTAATTAAAATATATTACGGCCTTCTTTTTTTCTGTGCACAACTTTTCTACCAGCACTTTTGCTCCAACTTTTAACGATAGAAATGTTTCTAAAAGGAAATTTCGCTAGCTAGGTATTTTTAAGATGTCATTTTTCGATTTTATCAGGAGTTTTCTCAGAAAATATGAAAAGCCAGGATAAATCACGGGAAGACCTGGAAATACGTAGATAAACTGGGAAAACATCGGTACAACATTAAACAAATATTACTAAAGAAAATATATAGAGCCTATTTAATTATTTCACTATAATATGGCATATATATTACTATCAACTGAACTCCGCTCAAAATCGTTTTATCGTTGCTTACATGTATTAATTAAAATTAATTTATCCATAACAGTGGCTGCGACCGTTTTATCGCATCCCCATTATCCTAGGACATTTTTTTTATAACTTGTGTCCCATTATGATGCATTTCAGCGCGGTCAAGCCGATTTTATCGACATAAAACCAAACAAACTAAGAAAAACTCAACAATTTAAAATGTCTATAAATAGTTAACGTGTTAATATTATGGAAATAATATCAGATATCTTGCGGCGGTGACGGCCGACGCGACGGCGTAATATATGACAACGACGTGAAACGCGACCAAACCAGTCCTGCCATGGTGGTGGGTAGGTGGGTAGGATTCACACTCACACTAATGATCACTTACTACGCACACGGACGCAAGCCATAGATGCACTTGCATACTATATTGTCTAAATTGAACCCCATCAATAGACGTTGTCACCAGTCCCTCCCTAAATAAAAGTTATGTGTAGTTACTTATTTGAATTTGTTTTTTTCTTTAATTCTTATCTGTGAGGGGGGGGGGGATTATCCCAGTTGTGGAGGAAACGTCCTGGATTCGATACACCGCCAACACTTCGTATATGTATCGGTATCTTAACTATAAAAGCAATACAATATCGCATTTCCACAGGTGCACTAATAAAATGGACCGATCACAAACGGGGAGTGCTATAACGCTTATATCAGTGGTGTAAATACCGAGTGGGCAAGGTGGGCAAACGCCACGGGACCACAACTGATGAGGGCCTTAGCAGTGGCCTAGACCAAGGCCCATGGCATTATGAATGATCTTTTTATTTTGTTTGTATACCGGTTCGGCTTTTAGGGCCATTATGAAATATTTTACAACGGGCATTACAAGTTTTAGTTACGCCACTGATGATTGATATTAAAATACTAATGTGCCACTCGGCAAGTAAGAAACTACTGGTCTGGCGTTCAATTTTCAGTCTTGTTAAGATTTCTATTCATAATTTTTCGAGTAGATATAGTTATTTTTTCGTTGCTTGTGTTACGAAGACCGGCATGAATACGATAATGGAAATGTACTTCTGGCAATTACTGCGCAACTGCAGTCCGATTCCGTGACTACGTGAACCATGAGAATATAAGTTTGTGTTGTACTCATGAATTAAAATACCTGTCACCTATCAATTTCGTCAAATAATGCATATTTATATTTAACGCAATTTATTTATTAATTCTGATATAGTCATGTTAAATTCGCGAACGAATGGTTCGTTTGAACTATTCATTTTGTTGAACTATTCTAACTGTTTTAGTATCTATAAACTACCTGTTCACAGTTCAAAATATAAATAATTGGCATCATTTTTTTTATGTTTTAATAAAGTAGTTCGTGTTATTCGTGAACTGTAATTTTAACTGTTTTAAAAATCAAACTACATTTCCTTTTAGTATAAATCTTATTTTATTTAATTTCGTATCCATGATAAAATATAAAAATATAAATTGTACAAAAATATAACTTCCATAGGTTTTTACCTTTAAAAAGTAGATTTTTAAGTACCTTATTGATCCATATTAAGATCCATATTGAACAGCGGACAAATTACAATCTTATCTACTTTAAATAGTTTCTAATAATGATTCAGAAGATAGTAAAGTACCCAAAGATAAATTAATATCAGCTGTAGCAACGTTATCAAATTTCAACGGCCAAGGTTTTGGTAAATGTCAAACAGAAAGCGGCAATGTCAAACCGGCCGATTTTTGTGTTTTAAAAAAAAATTAAAATGTTCCAGAAAATGCCACCAAATCATAACATGTAACAATAAATAGTAACTAAAAACTAACAAAAAATTTTAATTAAATAATATAATTTGTATTCATTTTTATACTTGTACTACCATACCACATCAGTAATTTCAGTAATTAACTATATTTATTAATAATTGAGGTTTCAAATCAATAGGGCACGGAATTAAAAATATTTCATGTATTTAAAGTATTTTACATATTTATAAATTATACATAATTTTTATACAGAATAGCAATAAATAATTAATAAAAAAATGTAGTTTGATTTTAAAAACGTATCATTTTTATTATTTGCTTAACTTGAAATAGGCATTTATTTACAAATTAAGGTATTTAATTAAATGACTAGGCATTTAAGTAAATGGTTAGGCGAATATTAAAATCACGTAAAAGTTAAATTATTTGACTATTTGCCAAGGCATTTAGTCAAATGCCTGATTTGACTATATGCCTATGACATATACATATACCACTAATAATTAAATTATTAATATAATATAATAATTATAATTACAAATAAATTTGGGTAAATTAATAATTAAATAAATTTGACTGGTCTAAGTAAGAGAGTAGGTAATCAAAAAAAAAAGTCATTACTATAATTTTAGTAATTTATCCCCCCCCTCCCCCAGAATATCCAGGAACATTGTGAGTAGATATCTGGTATATATATAAGAAATAGGTAGGTAATAATATTTACATTTAAGTAAATATGGTTAAAAAAGCCAAGTCTATAAATGTGGTTCATTGAGTATATTATAACACGAGAAAAAAAGTACTACAAACATAATTTCTAAAGAAATATAAACTAGTATTGCTCATTGTTTAAACATTTAACACGTTATAACACTTGTACATAAATTAACTATAAAGTTAAAATTGTTTACATATTATAATTTTTTTTATAAATATATTATGCAAATAAAACATTCCTAGCCATTTAGCTATCTACAACTACAGATATTAACAAAATACATACATAATTTTTGACGTTTTTAACATCATAAATGAATATAATTTAATGGTTATGTTATACATACATAATATAGAAAATTCATAAATATATTGAATTAATGTACATTTCTGAGGTATTTTGTGAACAAACATTATTGTCAATTAATGCTGCACAATATCTATTATTTTGTAGTTATATTTTTTATATTATCTATAATTAGGTGCACATATATATTTTGAATTGTTAGTGGTTTACTAGAACGTATAAAGGAATTTAGTTATAATAAGATTAAAAAACAATCACCCTAATGTAGTTTTTATTACTATAGTTATTTGTTTTTGATAAACCTATAAACAAATTATATACTTGTGATGTGAAATAATAAAAAACAAGTGATCATATTATTACTATTAAGAGTATTTTTAATAATATTATAAAACATTTCTTTATAATATTATTTTATGATAATTAGACAATGTTATCATCTACATAGAAATTTAATTTAATTTTTTTGTTTGTTATAATTCACCAACATTGAAAACACTGTATAACACATACGCATTGTCTGAAAAAAATAACAATAAGAGTTAGTCAAAAAATAAGTTTATAAATTAATATTGTTTGAGTACAAATAATTGTTCTATTATAGTGAATATAACACTACTGAAAAGAGTGCAACTAAACTATTTTATACATATCTAATAAAAATTAGAAAATTAAACTAATTGCTTGTATAATATAGCGGACAGATGGTTTCTATATTTTTTGGAGACACGCGGCTGGTAGGTATTTTATTCGTATTCGATGTATAAAACACAGTACCCAACCAACATTTTAATAGTTTTTCATGTTTTGATATTTATGTTTATCAAAATGAAATTGGCCAGATTTTTTGATGTTACACACTTTTAGGCGTAATATTTGCATTTCATTTGGAATTAATCTTTAAAATTACAATAAGCGATTCGCGTCAGACAAATTACTAAAATTACTCTGTTGTACAATTTGTAAAATGTTAGTCACTGTGTTTAATGTTTCGAAAGCCATATTTTTTTGTGCTGCGATCAATAAACACGTGCCCTTTTTCGACAGAAACCATTTCCATAGGAACTTTTTTATCAAAGCTTTTCGTTCTTTGAGGGCAGTGGGACGTTTCTCTTAGTAAAAAAAACTATTAAAATACTACTTATATTTCTCCAATAGTCATTTTGGATAAACTATTAGACATTTTAATAGTTTACACAAAAATAATTTTTTACGAAAATGTAAGAAAAAATGCAAAAAATTGAAATATCATTTCTATTGCCACTTGGAATTGAATACGAGACCCTGCACATATTAACGCCTTATCCACTAACCTATTTACCTAATTATTGAAAGTTGAATTTTATGATTATGTAAATTATTAAATCAATTTCAAAATAAAATATACCTATTTACAGTGACATCTCGAAATTGCAGAATTTTTGGGAATGGAAATTTTAACATCCTTTGAATAGTGGACACCAGTGCCAGGGAGGGGTAAAGGGGAAGGAGGGGTGGGAGCACGTAACCTCTAGTTTTGTTTCTTGGTTATTTTGGTGTATTTTGATCGTATTAAAAAATAGTAGTTAACATAAAAATGATCAGTGCCCATCCTCCCCACAAAAAAAAATTGGCTATGGTACTCATAGATACCTACGAGTAAAGGACAAAGTTTTATTGATCTCGAGGGTGTGAATGTCTAAATAGTTTACGTTTACCCGTATTTGATTCAGCATGGGGGTAAGTATGTAAGTGGGGGGTGGGGGGGTAATTTCAAAATACTATACAAATACAGTATGACTAAGGTGATCATACGTCCCGTTTTTTGTACCTGTCTCGTTGTCTCTTGCGGAATCTACGGGACGCAAAAATTTATTTTATTTTTGTTCCGTAAAAATATAATAATACGTGTATAACTTTGTTTTTTGAATAGTTCTGAAAAAATAGTAAGTTATGAATGGCGGCGGCGGCGGCGGGTGGTGGCGAGGTATATCAATATAGATAAGTTTGAATTTCACTGTTGCATAACTACTAATTGTAATAGTATACTATACGTTATTAGATAGTTCACTACTAAATAACTACTAAGTGTAATAGTTCACTACTAAAAAACTACTTGTTACAATAGTTAACTATTGAATACTGATATTTTTGTTTTACTAAGCGATATCTCAAATGTGAGACGCATAGCATAAAAGTGGGACTATCCCGCCGAAAGCGGGACGTATGGTCAGTGGTCACGTTAGGTATATACATACGTTGGTAAACATTTCTAAGTTAACGATTCTGAATTGTGTAAACTGCATTTTTATCTGGTTAGCATTATTCATTTTCATCATCAATAAAATTAATTGTTTACTTTTCATGTTCATTAGCGTCCAATTGCTGCTATATAACGCTAAAATTATCGAATCTTTCTGAAAAAAATCAGAATAACGATCGATTTGTAGTTATTAATAATGAAATAATTAATGTTTATGGACGATTTATTTGTAGGTATTAATGTAAACCAATAAATAAACTGACAACGATATATTTTATTTTAATATACTGTACTAAAACTATTACTTTTTCTTTAATCAATCCAAATAAATAACACGTCATAAACAATTGAAAAATAAACACAGGGAGTACGAACATCAGCTTAGCAGATATTATAGAATCTCCCATTTCACCGCCACCGAAATAACTCTAAAACCATATAAATAATTGTATACATATTTGAATGTTAGTTTTAAATGTCAAAGTAAGTAAGAAAGTCAAATTATTAAACATTATTGTGAAGTTTATATTAATTATTTTAAGAAATGTAAATTATTTAATTGGAGTTGGAGATACATTGACAAATAATGAAGTAAAAATTATAGTAAGGGTACCTGTTTTTGTGCTCAGAACATACTTTATTGCAGAATTCACTTTCCTGCTTTGTAGAGACGTGTAATTTCAATCTTTTTTTTTTGGAAATATAAAGACTTCTTTTAAGATGCATTAAACTTTGATTTTGAAAAATAAATTTCCAAATAGTATAAAAATAATTAATGTATGAACGATTTTAGATTCTGAGTGTAGCGAATGTAGAATGCATTGGTTTTACAAACATGTTAATATTTTTTTAAATAATGTACAAAAATTTTACCAGAAATCTAGCTCCGATATATACGATATTGACCCTTTTCCGAAAGTAAAATTTCTTGGGGCGGTCCTTTAGGAATGATATTTTTTAATTTTCTCGGCAGTTTTCCCAATAAAAGAAAAAAGTAAGAAAAAAGTGAGAAAAAACGTAAGAAAAACGGATAATTTACTGAAATAATGCTTATCTTCTTTTTCAATTTTGTTATTTGACTTGAAGTTTGGCCAGAATTCTATATATTCACCTTATCTAGACATAAATAAAATAATCTACATTTGATACATGGGAGCAAGATTTCTGGTAGAAAAGTTTGCATAACAAATCGAAGTGTATTTTTCGATTAAAATCGTTCGAACTTTAGGTACACTTGAAATGCATTTGTTTTTCCCCTATTTAGGTAAAAAGGAAAAAAAAAATGCAAACATTTTTTTTTCAAATCCCAGGTTAGAAACCCGAGGCCCCACTATGTCAATACGTACTCATGATCATTCGACTACAATAAATGTATAGTAAAGTAGACAATATAGAGTTATATAGTTATTATAGAGTTATTTAACATAAACATGTAATATCTGCATAATATCTGAACTTCAAAAAGCTCTAATTTCGAAATTTATTCAGTCCGCTCAATTCTGACTTAACCATCGTTCTTAAATCGGCAATATACATACGTTCGAAAAAAAATATTGAAAAATTAGATTTGTTCCACATAATTTTTTACTCGAACAATTTTCGTCTAAATTTAATATCAAAAAAACTCTTTTATAATAACAAATACTATATTAAACTCAATTTTTTTTTTTTTTTTACCAAAAAGTAAAACTTAATGCATCTCCGGTTAAATTTTCAAACAATTTTACCACGCAGTATCTACCAAATAAAAATTACGTACAAAACTCACAAAATTAAATTGTCTACAAATAGCCCAAAAATGGCTTAAATTGTTTGAAAAACTATAAAAGGCAAATATAAGTTTTCCGTCCAAATTTCATGTCTCTACGGACATTTTTAACTGAATTACAACAAATAACAAAAATGATAAAATAATAAAAGCATTAATTTCGAATATTTCTTAATTCTTCTTACGCTTTATCCTGGTTTTACTCAGAGATAATGAAAACTGTTTGGAAATTCAGAAAATGACTACCCAAAAGTACAATCTGGACAATATTTCCTTTCAGAAATAGTGCCACGCGTATATATCGGGGCAAGATTTCTAGTCGAATTTGTGTACACAGTGTATAAAAAAAAAAAAATAAACACCTTAGTAAAACCAATATATTCGTCGTTCCGCACAATCTAAAAAGTAATTTAAGTATAACTTTCAAGTTTAAAGTTACCTTTATTTTTTATTCAACTAGTAAAAGTTACGCAATTAAGTTCAATAGTATAATATAGATGTTAGACTTCGAAAACTATAGTATGTATAAAGTTAATTAATTGAAGACGTGTTACGGCCAATCGGCGATTTCTTTGTGTCTATAAATATCAAAATATTTCAGTTGAAAATACTACCCGGAAATGGCTGAAATCAATTAGTAGTTTATTTATTAATAAATAATAATTGAAATCTACTGGCCGTGTTGTTAAATAGTTTATTAATTAATTTATAGCGTTATGGCCGTCGGTAAATCGAATTTCTTTTAATTTCCTTTACAATGATATCGATATCATAACAACTATTAATAGACAATTCGAATATTCAAACGCGTATGAAATACTGCCAATATTGAGTAAATGAGATATTATCTATTATTTTTTTTTTTCTCTCTCAGTAATGATTGCCCCTATAACTTTTCTGTTCAACATCTATAATACGGCTATAATGCATTAATACCCATGTTCCGTGAAAAAGTATAAATAGTTTTATTTATTACTTGGAAATTATATTGTCAATTTAGTGGGTATAAAGTTGTATTTGTGTACGTTACGTTGAAACCTAGATATCGTAATCCAAGAATAGTGCGAAATTCATTATATCGTCGACAGTCTACAATTATTTAAAATATAGAACCTATGCGTACATTTATTGTGTAATAAATTACAATAGTATTGTATTATAAATAATATTCCAGATAATTGTTATATTTCTTTTCTATTGTTCAGCCAAACAAAGTGCAAATTATAAATGTATAAATTTAGAAGTTTATATGTTATGGAAAAGTTCACCTCAACATGAATATAGACTTAATTTACCGCGAAAAGTTACTTTATAGAAAAAAAAAAAAAAAATAATAAAAATAACTCGTTAACCCGTCATTGGCCATTCTGTCACCACCGTCTTTTATATCGGTGTATTGCCTAGTAGTTACGCTGTATCTTAACAGACGCATTTAATCTAAAAATTAACCGACTTTGTAATCGATCTATTGTCAGTATCCGGCTGAAAGTACGGTTTCTTATGCGCGACTAGCCGCAACGACCGAACGCAACGCCTAGTCGTAATGACCAGAAGCTGCGTACCGACTGGTGGTTTCCTACACGCGACTATACACTCTGCGACTGGCGTATAACAGTCCGTTTTATCCTGAGATTTAGTAGCGTGCAAACGTGTTTATGATTTTTTTTAAATTTAATAATATTACTGTAACGTAATTATTAAACGGACTACGACGGGGAAAATTATTATTAATCGTGATAACATAATCAGTTTTCTATTAGCGGAAGAAAACGAAGTAGATTACTGCCTAGAGGAGTAAAATTCCGTCCTCGTTTGGCAAAAATTTCGATTTAATGGTTTTTGACATGATTATTTATTTACTATTGTTGTTCGTTATTTAACGATTGTCAATATATATTGTCAATTTATTAATTAAGTCGTAGTTTATAGGCAAAAAACAAAAAAAAAAATAACCTAATAATCAAATTTGTCGCGCTATTTCGATTGAAAATATGAATATAGACTCGTATGCCACCCGTAGACAACATCGGATCAGTACAGTCGCGATTGTTTTCGACACGTGCACGACGACCGCACGTTGGAAATCACGTTCGTAGATTACATGCGAATGCGTCATTAGCGACCGGTCGTTGCGTTCAGTCGTTGCGGCCAGTCGCGCGTGCGAAACCGTACCTTTACCGCGACGATTACGCACGCGGTGAGAGAATCTCTTACCACGCGACCGTAGGAGTGCGAAAAAAAAAAAAAAGGAGACGCCACCAACGACGGGTTAAGTTCGATGTTACTTTTTCCAGTGAAAAGAAAATCACTCATTATGACGTAACTTAACTCTAACTCTTAAGCTGGCCAATGCCAAACTTTCCCTGCAGGAATTTTTAATCTCTTTCAAAAATATTAAGTATATCGTTAGTGCACGTCTCTACGAGGGGCAGGAGATTTAACACGGTAAATAACGAGAAAAAAAAAAACGGATCGCGTACAGACCCTCAATTCAAAAATTAAAATCGATTACATTTTTTCTTAAACATTTTTAAGAATTTTTATTTGTTAATAATTCGTCGTAAATAATGCGATATGTGGGCAAACGTTTATTTTAATATATACGTTTAACTGTTTAATCAAATGTATGTATGCATCGTACCTTTGCTAAAATAAACCAGATTAGTATGTGTGAATTTGATGATATAAATATTTGAATCAACATTATTGACCGGGAAATATCATAATAAGTGTTTAAGTTCCTGAAAAAAACAAAAAATCTCTTATAATTTGTTATTGTTTTTTATATTGTATGTAAAATTATACAAATGCGGATTAAACATTTTATATATTATATCGCCTGCCGTAATGAAAACGGTCGTTTCTCATTTTTTCCAACTTCAAATCTAATCTCTTTGAATTAGTCAGAGATACTAATGTTTTTGTGATCGATGCAAAAAAAAAAAAAATAATAAAAGTACGATCTAGAAATGAATACCTCAAAGATACGACTCGAATTGACTTAAGACCTTTTTCGTTGCGGCAAATGATGTGTACGTATATTGTGTAATGGTTTTACTAAATAAGAAATACGTGATAATTATTTCAATTTGTATAAATAAATTAAATTAAATTACTCACTTAATTATGTTTTGGTGGTCAATAATAATCTTTTTTAAATCGCTAATTACGTCACAATCTTTTTCTAATAGTATCTTATCATCGATATCTATATAAACACGAATTTCATTTATACAATGATTATTATGAGTACCAGTGGCATATTAATGACTTTTTCTGTGAGGTGATATTAATAGAATTTAAAAAAAAAAATCTGCACACCATATTTTATATTCTGAGCAATAAAACATTAAGGGCCACTGGGCCCCCAGGCCACAACATTTTAAGAGCCTAAATTTTACCACAGTATATTACGTTCTATATCTATACATTTAATCATTAAATTTGTAAAATATTTTATTAGTTTTAATATTTCTTCATTACCCCAAGATTACTATAGTGGGCACTATTATAGTAATTTTATATTCTGAGTGTAGCGAAGAATGTATTGGTTTTACAAAGATGTTTATTTATTTTTTTTTTTATTTTATGTCAACACTTTTTCTACCAGAAAACTTACTCCGGTGTTTACAATGTAGACACTTTTCAAAAAGGAAATTTTCTTGGGGTGGTACTTTAAGGACGTCATTTTTCGGTTTTTTCAAGAATTTCCTCATCAAATATGAAAAACCAAAAACAAATCGGAGGAAAAACGGAAAATTTACAAAAAATATTAGTAAAATATTACGAATTTTTTTTTTTGTGGACAACTTTTTTACCAGAAGTTTTGCTCCGATTAACAATAATGGAATTTTTTCTGAAAGAAAATCTGACTGGAAAGGTACTTTAGAGAGGTCATTTTTCGATTTTTTCAACATTTTTCCCAGCAATTGTAAAAAACTGGGAAGAAACATAGGAAAAACGGGAAAATTGGATCAATATTAAACAAATATTATTATAGCAAATATATAATGCCTAATTAATTATTTTACCATAATATGACACATATATAGTTGACAAAGCATCACTATCACCTGAACTCCGCTCAGAATCGCTTTTTTGTTAGCAATGGTTTATCTTTGCTTATAGATATATATTATTTTCTTTTCTGTATCCTACCTTCCCACCTACAACAGTGGCTGCACCCTTTCCCATTATTCTAGGAGAGTTTTGTTACAAAAATAAATTTATTTGTTCAAATTTTAAATATCACTTTACTATCTCTATGACATTATTTATTGTTTTTCGTATTGAGTAATAATTTTTAACAATAATTGTTTTATTCCTTCTGATGGCCTCGTTAAAAAGTTTGGCCTTGGAGGCTTTAAATTTCTTAACCTGGGTTTAGATGTATTAGTTCTACTAAAATTTTTCTTTTTTCAGATTCTGAGTGTAACTAAAAATGTATTTTTACTAATAATGTGTGTTTTTTGTAAAAAATTCTAGGGGTAGTATATCAACCGAATACCATTCCCTTTAAATACGCCACTGGTTCAACTTACTTGATTTTTATAAATATAATTATTATTTTCATTATACTTACAAAGTTAATCAAAAATTTGCACGAAAAAAAAAAATATGAGATTTTTATTACCTTTGCCATTATTTTAAAATATTCATTTTTAATCACTTTATATATCTGCCTATAAATCTAAGTGATTAGTGGGTATACATTCATTTATTTTGTACCCCTGTATTCACTTTATTACAAATATTAATATTATGCACATATAATAACTAGTATAGAAGTAGAATCGTAGTGTTTATAGGCTTGGTATAGTTCTCATATGCAAAAATATAATATAAAAAGCGTTCACATTGGATCCGGTCAGTTCAGTTAAATCGCATTATTCCGAATGGGATCGGTCAGTCATGATTTTGACTTATACCGCACATCAATAATTTTTGTTTAATCACCAATTTACCGTAGTGTCTGTTCCTTCAGGAATTTAAACAAGTGTTTTATTTAATTTGGGCGTCCGTCTTTTGCTAGTCAATTGCCGATGAACTAAACTGAACTGAACGGATCCGGTGTATTTGATTCTTCAAACATAAATATGCACTCACTGTAATGTTTGTCTTTACTGTGTCCTAATGTTTGGAATCCGTCGTTGATTGTTTCCAATTGGCATACCAATGTATAACATATCATGACCGTTAAAATGTCGTACAACATCGTAAAAAGGAAGAACAAATCAAGAAAAACAGTTTCGACGAAATAAAACAAATGGAAATATGTGTTATATATTTCATTTGATATCGGGAAATATACATTTAAAATGTTCAACCGATAAATAGTGTACGAACCGTCGATGTTTTTCACCGAGACCGTGGTTTCGTTGTAAAAAAACGGATTTGAAGTCCAAATTAACGCACTAAAGCAAACTGTTATAACGTACATCAATGCGACTCTCAGACAACGTTTCTGCCAGTGTTCAAGTATATTTCTATTGTAGCGTCTGTAGGACATCATATTAAAATTTGTATTGATAATGCATTTCCATAAATCGTCGGAAAAGTATATGATTATCAGAACTTTGTAAACAGAAAATAAGAAATTTTCCACTATTCCGAAGTAAAAAGAGAACGCAACCGCGTCGTTCATTAAATAATATAAACCATACGGACCCACTGACAATATTATTGTTATGTAAGCACTTAGGAACACACCGATAATGTGGTACACGTTGTAGTTATAAATTTTCGTGGCCTTGGGATCCAAAATTTGGTATAAACCGATAAATTTTGACAATTTAAAATTAAAAACGTAATCTTTGTCTTCGTGATTATTCATTCTATCTGTTAGGTATTTATTTGTCAACTGAATGAATATTGACTGCACGCGTCAGCAGCACCTGCCAAAAATAACCACAAAAAAGTGAATAATACTGTATTAACTGCGTTCTTGGGAGTTGATACTTGATGTTTAATATACAGTCAATATTATAATAGTTGATATTTAACAATAATATGGTTTTATTTTAAGTTTTGATTTGTTTTCATATAATATTTTTCGTTGAGCATCGAGAACTGCATCATACTATCATAATAAGAATGTACATTTTCTGGGTCATCTTGGTAGAAATTACGGTTGCATCCGAATTGATTCCCGAAAACGGCGAAATACAATCTAATAACATTGTAATTAGTTATTAACATCTATTTCCCATCATTACGCACGGGCGTACAAACCGTGTCGTTACAATAAACAATATAATTCCGTTACTCGTCACGGCACCCATTCAGTAATCCATCAATAGCCGTGGAGTTTACGTGTTAAGTAGGTAATGCTTGTATTCGCGTAATAATATCATTGATTATATTTATGTTATATATAGTTGACGGTAATATTATGTAGTCGGCCATTAGAGGACGCCAAACCCGCATCTACTGTCTCAGTCCAACTACCGAGCAACAAAAAAAAAAAAAAAAGGGATTTGAGATTCCCTCCAAAATATCGTTCTCTATAAATTGATTTTAGAACGATAGAACCTATTATGAAATTTAAAAATATGAATATTTTTAAGGGAATGTCATAGGGTTTTTGATATATTCTAAATAGACAGCTCGATATAAGACACAAAACCTTTTCTTTTTTTTTTTAGTTTTTTAAGTAACTTTTTTAATATTTTATAATTTTAAATTAAAAAAAAAAAGAAAGGGATTTGAGATTCCCTTCAAAATATCGTTCTCTATAAATTTCGTATTTGATAATTTTACTCTTAAAAATGAAAAATTAGCTAGTTTTACGCAAACATTGTTTTTGCATGTTGCCCGGTAGTTGGAGTGAAACAGTAGATGCGGATGTGGCGTCCTCATAAGCCTATATAAAATAGGAAGGAAAATTTAAATAGCTTTTAAAATAAAACTGGGAATCAATTGGAATATACCCTTAGTAACAACTCAGGGACCATTTCGAATACACCGGACACCAATCAAATAACAACATAATTGGCAGTTAAAACAATTATAAGCTGATTAATTATTTACAAAAGTAATGTCCAAAATAATATTTATGGCATAGAGGTATCTACTATTATGCCATTTTTTATTATTTACAGTTGAAAATGTTTATTTTTTTTTCACATTTCGTTTGTTGTGGCTATACATAAAATATTACTATTTTTTTCAATCTTACCTGAAGAATTCGATAGATTAAAAAAAATAAGATGACTGCGAGTATAATAAATAAACGCCTGTTGTTCACAAATACAACCGATTGTTGGCGGTATGCGTAGCATTCGCATATAATTGATATTATTTCTGTATACCACGAAACGTATAAAACAAATTATAAAATGTCTGGTTAACTATGACGAGTGTAGAGACTGTCCTCGCTGTGACGATTTAAGGTACACTTATATGAACAGTTGCTCCGCCCAGTTTGTTTTTCATTCCGTATTATGGATACCGAAAACAAATTAAAATTCAATTTTCATTGTATCGCCAACATTCACTGTATGGCAATCTATAATTACGTATGCAAATGGCCATTATTAATTTAAAAATTATTTATTGATGTACGTATAATGATGCGACTCTGAACGAAAACGTATAATAAAACGAATAATACGAAACGTATAATGTAATTTGAAGTTCTGTCGTGGCCATATGTTTAGGTACGCTTATGGATATTATTGTCCGATGAACGACTATTGCGGGCACTATTGCCCGGCTCCGTCTTAACAAAACACACATCATATCATACACACGTGTTTCGTGTTATATATATATATATATATATTGGTTTACATAAATAGTTGCGATTCCCACCCAAAACTCCTGCGGAATTTACCCGAAAAACGCCGCGCTATTAAAGTATTCGAACATTCCGTATTAACGAACCGTTCGGATGAATAAAAAACTATTAGAATAATTTGCGAAAATGCGAACAACGCAAACGAAAAAGTCGTTGGACAGTACGGATTGGTCGTCACTGTCCGTCACTGCCGCCGGGTGTTTCCCGTTTTGTTTGAGTTACGCGGTGATTTTGTGCGAGCCGCAAACGGTTATTAGCGCTGGCGACTTTTATAGCAATTCGAATATTTCCATTGCGTTGCGACGACCGCCGCAGTTATCCGTTATGGTGTTACGTGGCATTATACGCCCGTAATGTTTGACCGCGATTAAACGCACGCCTTACATACATATTTAGTATGTATCTTTCACCGCGTGTTTGACACAAATATGTGGTCTAAAAAATAATTATTACCTATTCGGAATCGTTATTATTTATAGTTACCATACGGGGTGGGACCCTTTTCAGTCTGTGTTACTCTTCGGACATGCCACGGTAAACATTTTCGGCCAGTACACTATTTCGGTCATCAATGTAAGATTGGAGCGGTATATTTTAGAGATTGGGGGCTATAGTATTTTAGTAAATCTAAATAAATAAATTTTATATAGGTATGATATAATGAAAAAAAAAAAGTCTACAATCAATAATCAATATCTTCGTATTTTCAACGAAAAAACAAAAATACAATTGTTTTAACGTTTTATAAAAAAAAAAAAAAATAAATATTACCTATAGTTATCTGCAGAATACCGTGGTTGAAAAATATATAGTTTATTTCAATTATGCAATACGAACGTAATGATAAGTATGCGTAGTATACGTATAAGAACTAATTGATCGTTGAAAAAAATTTGACATATCCCATACGACTCCAATAATATTATAAATTCAATAATTTTATTTTATTTTAAATCTATTTTATATATTTTTATTAATTGCAAACACCACGAATACCAATAAGAAAAGAAAAAAAAATTCAATTGTATGCATACTTTGGTTTTTTAAATTTAAAAATCTTACATTAGTGACCGAAAAGTATACTGGCCGTAATCGGTTCTGTCCACATTACGATTGAGAACATTTTACCTTTTTTGGTGTACGATTGAGAAGGCTTGAAATGAAACCGTGAAATAACCGCTGACCTCAAAAAAACAGTAGATACTGTTGAGAATGAAGTTATGTGCAATGGTGCCATATGTCAGTGGCATGTATGTATTTCATATTCATATTTTAAAATTGAATTCTAAAAACATGTTAAAAAGAAACATGATTCTTAGATTACACAACAAAATCATCATCAATGAAAAGTAACTATAATTGTTATCCATTAGGCTGTAATCGCATTTTTTCACAGTCGATTATTATTAATGTTGTTAATATTGTCTGTACACTTTTTTCTCTGGACTTTAAAACGTTATTAAAAAACACGAATTTAATGAAAATAGAAAGTTAAAACATCAACATTTTCAGAAGAATTAACTATATAAAATGGAAATATTCAAATTTTTAAAATAATAAAATAAAAAATTATTTTCTCAAGTTTTTTGTCAAACATAAAAATTAATTTATCTTTAAATATTTGTAGTATTTATCCCTGTGAATAATATAGAAAAAAAAAAAACAGAATTTGACTATCTTTATTGTCACCGGTGATAATGGGTACAATGGGTATATTTTCGTGAGACACTGTATGAATTTTTGATTTTCAGATGACTGTTTATATTTGGCAACGATGCTATGAATTTTGAAAACTGAACGTTCTCAGTTGTAAATCATGATAGCCAAAAAGGTCTCAAAAACGCATTAACAATAATGACCGTTCACAATCGTTTTCTACCATTATTGATATTATATACGATTATGTATAAAGGTACAGTCTATTATTATTATTATACCAACGTAAATACAACACGCGAACCGTTTGCAGGTTACAGCAAACTGTCGTGTGTTTATATTTTTTCAAAGAGCTGATTTACCGTTGGTTATACACACATTTTTCTTTGTTTATATTATCCGTACGGAACACGGTATTATTTTATCGTCTGTACGAATGACAACTGTTGTAGGACCTACGGTAATTATTAGCCGAAAATTAGTTGAACATAAATGGGCTGGTTTAGTTAAATCCTGAACGCAACAACGAACCTTCAGTAAAAAAAAAAAAAAAATAAAAAACGATTATAAAAATAATGGACATACTCGTTTGACCTTTTTACTCTCGAAAAATGCAACACTATTGCGCTCCAAAAAATATAGGCGTTGTCTTTTCGTTTCCGTGAGCAATGATTTATCGTGTATATTTACGCAAATATAAATTATATACCTCTAAGTTTCCTATAAGTTACAGACTTCCCCCCACAACAGTTCATTCATTTATTCGGGTGATTTGATTATTTATACTTCAGATTACAACTGAGATAGGCAACCTTATTTGCGTTGTATTTATATTAAACTAGATAAATTAATCAAGTTTATGTATACCTAACTAGATGAAATCCAATACGCTAAATTATTTATTGAATTTGTATGTTTTATTTTTTAGATCTTCCATTCTTATATAGAAATGACGTATGTATTCAAAATATCGAAAATTCATTTCACATACTTTTACAAGTATATATTTTCCATTATGTATTTATAGGTGTGTGTTTTGTTTTTTTTTTTTGTTTTCAAACGCATATTTCACGATATTTCATGGAATCTGCGATCAAATATCGTTGTTTTATATTTTGTTAACTGAATCTAATCCGAGTTTGGTTATCTGTATTTTATATAGATTAGATTCATACCATGTTTCTTAAAATCACAATAACTATTAATTAATATGACGAGAATAAAATAAATAGGTACCTATTTATACATATATATTAGACGGTTTTGGTTTTGTTGATTTTAAACTTTGTTGTTCTTTTTCGAATTAAGACTGGAAATTAATTCCTTGCAGTGGTCTCAAATTTACACAAAAAAAAAAAAGTTACGAGGTTTTATATTGTTTTTTTCTTAAAGATCACAAACAAATACATACGATTCACTTGGAATCAAGTGAAATTTTACTGTTATAAGAATAGTTAATTTGTTATATATACAAATTGAGTTTTTATAACTTTTTATATATATTATAAAGTTGTATAACTCAGCAAAAAAAAAATTCAAACAACATTAATTTTGTAAGTTGCGAAAAGAACTTGCAATCGGTCCTTTGTTATAGATCAAAAACAAAATTAATAAAAAACGTGTGCTTAAAAACTTCCGAGAATCACGATAAAATAATCACCCTTTACGAACAATTAAATACCAATACGATACTGGCTAATTGTCTTGACTACTGCGACTTATGCTCACAGAAATAAACAGAAAAGAGTATTGTATCACCGTGGCATAAATAAATAATATCCGTTCAAATCATTGTTGGATACATTGTTCAATGTGAGTGTGGATGTGTACACTCGTCATATTTGGTCAGACTATCAGTGTTAAAAGTGTTTTTGAAATTTCGGATTATTCTAGTCCGGGACTTTCTGGCATAGATATTTATGTTTTTCAGATTTATACAGTCTGGAATATTAATTTTTCCGGGCGATTATAGTCCGGACGACTGTTATTACTTAATAACAGTTATCTTTATTACTTTATAATGAATCGGGCATATGCATCTGGGAAAAAAAAAAATGAACGACAGTGAAAATAAAAAGAGAGTCAAAGAAAATGTACAGAAAAATGATTTAGTTAATGCAAAAATACAAAATTGCCTAACTATTTTACCACATAAGTGGCAACGAGATTGACAAGTAGGTACATTCTACCTGCCCGCCTCATAATAAATTACTGTAATCGTCTTTCCTTTTTTTATTATAAATAATACAAAATAATGTATCAAATATTTTGGTTATTTTGTATTTTATTACTTAAATAGTTTATATACGTTTAACTTTAATATGTAATTGAAAATGTTGGAACTGGAAATAATATGGATGGTTCTATGTTAAATTTGAAATATGGATAAATAGAAATGGAAAAATGAAAATATTATTTGTTATTAAAAAAAAAAAAATTAAATTTTTGGAGAACTTGAATTTTGTGAACCTGAAAAATATATTGTTCCTGTATTGTAATCTGTTGATGATTAATCAAAAAGTTCATATTGTAAGTAAAATACAATTATAATTTCTCTTTAAAAAAAAATCATTAAAATTATATGAATATAGTTTTTAACAACTTAATGGTCATGAATTCATCATAAAATTTTTAAAACTAACATTTAAAATATATTATGTAGGTATAATTTTGCTAATAATTAATAATACATTAAAAATGATTTAGTTTTAAATAAAAACATATAATATAAATTACCCATTTCCATACATTATTTCATTTAACACTGATGAACTGCTTACTGTTCCTATTCAGGGATCAACAACAATGAAGCTAGATTTGATTGATATATGTATTGTAAGAAAGTGTAATACTTATTATAGTCAATCTAAAAAAATAATTATTAAATACAGCCTAATTATAATTTATGTTATTTAGGATCAAATTTACATAGAAAATGACAGATGGACTTGATGATGAAAAAAATAATGTTTCTGAAACTGATCCAGCTAAATGGACTTTAAATGTTAACACAATCAATTATTTGGTTCCCAATAAAGTTTCATGTCATTTAGACAGTATTGAGTTCAAATTGACTGGACGTATGATTGTTACACTAGTCTTGCCTTTAGAAGTGATGATCAAATTCTAGGTTCTTGTCATAATAAAAATTATTTAGGATTTCTTGAATTACTCGTTAAATTTGATCCATTCCTTTCTACATATATTAATAAGTATGCAAATAAAGACAAAGGAAATGTATCATATTTGTCGAATACAATTTGTTATGAGTTAATCTTTTCCATGAATAAAACTATTTTAGATAAAATAGTTCAAGAAATTAAAATTGCCAAGTATTTCTCTATTATAGTTGGCTATACATCAGATATGTCAAAAATTGATCAACTAACGGTTGCATTAAGATTTACAATGCCTGATGGTTCACCTATTGAACTTTTTTGGGATTTTTACCTTCTGTTGGTCATAAAGCAGGAGAAATGGAGTGTGCTGTACTAGCATTTTTGTCCAGTCTAGATATAGACATCAAGAATTGTCGTGGACAAAGTTATAACAGCGCACAAAATATGAATTCATAACGAATTACAAGCCAGAATAAAAAATAAATCCGCGATAGCTGAATTTATTCCGCTGACTCATTGAATTTACTTGAGCATTTAATAAAATTATTAATAATAATTAATAAATAAAAATTTATAATTTACATTTATGTTGGTTCTGTGGACATCAATTTAGGAAAGATTCAACATGACTAGTAAAAGTTTACAATCTGTTAATATTGATTTGTCATCAGTGGTAGTATTATACAAATCACTAATTATATGTTTCTAAACTAAGAAATAATTTTGATATTTTTTTAAATGAAGTTTAACAAAATATCAAAATTATGTTTATTTGTAAAAAGGATATTTTCCCAAATGATTTTAAAAGACAATCACATAGGAATGTGTTTTTTTATGAAGGTGATACTGAAGAAACTGTATTTATAGAAAATAAAAAAATGAAAATTGAACATTTATTCTTATTATTGATGCTTTAATAACTAATTTGAACAGCCGAAATGAAGCATATAGTAAAATAAATAAAAAATTTGTTTTTTATTTTAAATCTATAAGAGATAGATAATACAGATTTAAGAGTTTAAGAAGAAAATTTAGTAAATACATATGAAGAAGACTTGGATGCTGATTTCATCGAAATTCAGTTTAAAGCAATATTTTCATGTATGCCAGAAAATTCAAAAAATATTTATGCATATTTTATTGAAAGCATTAACAATTTATCCTATAATCACTATATTTCCATCAAAAGAAATTTCATTAAAAATATTTACATGTTTGCCATGTTCTAACTCAAGTGGTGAACGATCATTTTCAGTTCTTAAGAGTTTACACATACATTCGATCATCATTATCAAATAAAAAAACTTGACAATTATCAATCTTGTACATGGAAGCTGAAATTGCAAAGAATATTGATTGGAGTAAATTAGCTAATAAATTTGCGAAAAGGAAAACTAAAAAAAAAATGTTATCATCTATTAATGTAACGCAATTGAATAAAACTAAATTAAGTTAGATAAAGTTTTTCAACATTATAATTATATGATAAAGCTATCATATAATAAGTATAATCATATATAAGTTTATTAAGCAATAAACTTATTACCCACTAAATCCATGTTAAGGTATTGTAATGCACATTTAAAATGAACCAAATTAACAATTTTAGTTCTATTTGATTTGTATCTACACAACATCAGGAATCTGGATTCAGGATCATCAGACAATTAAAAATATAGATAATAATATTTTGGAGTTTCAAAAGAAAAAAGTCATCCTATATTATTTTATATACTTGAAATACTAAATAACATGTGAGGAAGTCAATAAGTGGAGGATCTAAAGAAGGGAGTAGGATTGGAGCACTTCAAAATTAGTTCCTTTGGTTGCATAAAAGCTTAACACGGCCTGCCTACGTACTTTTTTTATTCGCCATTTCCACGTTGTTGGAGTTTGAAGCTACTATACAATTATTATAATTCTGAAGTCCCAGATAATAGTATTTCGGATGTTCAAAATGGTTTGTCGCACGCCGCCGTGATAATATTGTTGCATTCGAAGCGAATGTTGTTGGTAGAATATTTTCGTTCGATCCCTTTCGTCTTTTTTTTACTTGCCGCTATTTTTTACACGGGATTTTTTACTCCAATGTATACGATGTAGACCTTTTTTTGAAAGGAAATTTTTTTTGAGGTGGTACTTTAGGGAGGTCACTTTTCGGTTTTCTCGAGATTTTTCTTATCAAGTAGTAAAAAATTATGTGAAAAACCTAATAAAAGACTAAGAGAAAACTGGAAAAATGTAAGAAATGTAGGTATTAGTTAAATAATATTACGGCCTTTTGTTTCTTGTGAACTACTTATCTACCAGCAATTTTGCTCCAGTTTACAATGATAGCACTTTTTCTAAAAAAAAATCTGACTGGGAAGGTAATTTGAAGGCGGTCATTTTTCGATTTTTCCTAGAGTTTTCCCAGCAAATCTAAAAAACCAGGAAAAAATATAGGAAAACCGGGAAAAACTTAGAAAAATCGGTATTATAGTAAACAAATAACATTAAAAAAAATGTATAAAGCCTATTTAATTATTTTACTATAATATGACATATATATTGCTGATAAAACATTACTACCAACTGAACTCTGCTCAGGTTCGTTTTTTCGCTAGCTTCGTTTATCGTTGTTTACAGATATACATATTTAATTTCCTTTTGTATCCTATACCTTCCCAACTTCCCATCTACAACAGTGACTTTACCCGTCCTCATTATCCTAGGACAGCTTTTTAATATAGGTTCTCATTCGAAAAATCAAAGTTGGGACCACTATAAGATATTCCTTCATTTCTAGTAGAAAAGTTGCTCACTAACAAAAAAAAAAAGGTACATAATATAGTAAAACTAATGTGAAATATTTCGAAATTAACAATACGTAAAATGTCTAAATACAAAAGACAAGATACAGTGTATTAGTCTCTATTATCGAGGAAAATTCGAAAAAAAAAACAATCTGATTGATTCAATGTTAAACTAATATAAATATTTTACGAGTAGAAATAAACAACCACGAGTTCATATACTATAATATTTTCCTAAGTACAAGCTATACGATATACTCGGCACTCGTATACTTCAACTAATCAAAATTACAATGTAATTACTAACACATCTAATATATATATATATATATATACACACGACAATTACAGAAAGCGAACACATACGAGAGTTGATTGAAACCGTTCTCTGTTTAGCTTTAGCCGTGGAGTTTCACGTGAACGATTACAGATTGCTCTCCTAGTATCCTACTTGTATTATATTATAATTTATCGTTCCGTTTCAAAACTAAAACGTATACCTATTGGGGAACCTGTAAGGAAGGCGAAGGGGGCGTTCAACCCCCCCCCCTCATTTGGGTCGTATTATTATATGTGTATATGTGTACATTATTTTTTGTTTTTAATATTTTTACATTTATTTTGAATTTTTATATAGAACATGATCAAATCCATAGATATTAAAATATCTTTGTTTATCTACGGTCGAACTGGGTCAAGGTTTCTGGTTTTCTCATTTTGTTTTGGAGTTCGACTTTTATCTCTGTCATCTCTTATCATTATAAATTTCTAATTTCGAAATAAATGTGGCAGAATCGCTTATGCGGGCTTGCACTGTTGCAAGCAGGAAATATGTATACCAGTAGATGATATTATTGAAAGATTCTCTTCTATAAAGAACCAGATATTAGATTTTGTATTCAAAATATACGAGATGCGATATAATATTATATTTAATTAAATACAAATTTCTTATTTTAAGTATTAAAATGTTATATTGTACAAATATAAAAGAGCTCATCCTGTGTCCAGTTGTTGTAGCTGTGACGTTACCTCCTGTAAGAAAGACCTTTATATACGCCAATGCATATACCTAATAACAAAACCAATGTGAAATATTTAAAATTTAATCTAAACATAAAAATTTGACAAGATACGTTTATTATCGGGAAAAATTCGAAAAAAAAACAATCCTAATATGATTCAATAAAAACCTGTTATTTTATTTTAATTTTCCGATTATCAAGTATAGCACCTTTTCTAAAAGGAAATTTTCTCTGGGTGATACTTTGAAGAGGTTAATTTTTAAAATTTTCATTAATATTCGAGATAATGAAAAAAAACCTTGGTTTTTAGGTTAAAAGAGATTGAAAGATTAAAAGTAAGGTTATCATTAGCATCCGTTTTTATTTATTTTTTGTTATTATTAAGTTTTTATTATTTAAAATCTTTTTTAAACAATCATTGTTGTCATGGAAACGCATATTATTTTAATCATTTTGCCATAATATTATATTACATCATATATTCTATCGTTGATAAAATAACATTATCAACTGAACTCGGCTCAGAATCGTTTTTTTGTTAGCAAAATGGTTTATCGTTGCTTACAGATATACATTAAATTCCCGTCTGTAGCCTATCTTTCCAACTTCCTACCTACAACAGTGGCTGCACCAATGTGTGAAGTATGTCCATCCTCTTTATTATTTAAAATAACGGACTTAAGTCCAATTACAAAGAATATATGACAATTTAAATACAAAAAGCATAAAATAAAGTGAAAGAGAAATAAAACAAAAAGAACAATAATTAAATAAGTTTTACATTAACAAAATTGATCTAAATCACGGTTAACACTATTACTAGTGGTTGACAAAATATTAATTGGAGCAGATGACATATAAGTTGGTGTTTAAATGGATTATGAAATAAACAAGTATCACGAGTGTTATGTGTACGAACTTTAAAATTAATCTGATTTAACAACAATGAGTCGTCAATATTGTTATTTAATAGTTTTTTTTTTAAAAAAGAATAGTAATGATAAGGTATGAAGAATAGTAAGATTTCCTTTCAAAAAATATGCTATAATTAAAAATTGGATCAAAATTGTTGGCAGAAAAGTTATTTACAGAAAAAAAAAAAACATCATTGTAAAACTAATATTATAATCTAAAAATTTCTTACACTCGGGTTGTGCCACGTGTATAACGTAAATTTAATAACAATTAAACAATTAATGTTTCTTTTAAATTAAAATTTTTATTTTTAATATGAAATCATAAATAAACGCTCATATTAGAAATTGGTCGTTAAAAAAAGAAAAATAATTAGTAAACAAAATGCTCATTAATAAGAAATTATATTTAGTTGTATATAATAAATGTATATTTATTATATTTTATTATAATTATTTGTACAAATAAAATACTGCACAATTTATAATAACAATAGACATTTAAATTAAAAATAAAACTATGAAATTTAAGATATTAACTTTATTGTAGTCTAGTTACCTATACAAGTTACAACTATATTTACTTGCAAAAGAATTACTTACGATTCTAATTTATTTTGTTTTTATTATAGTTCACCAACG